CATCCTGGGTAAATATAACCATGACAAATGTGCTAAGCTAGCTCTAGCCGGAGAAATTGCTTCTTGTTTTTCACCAAGTACAAAAGAGAAATCCTAAAAGAAAATCTGACTCCATGTTTGTTTACATTTTGTGTAGAAGGAAGTTGCGCTCAGTGTCTTCTTGAGAGATTTTTGTGTCGATTTCTTCAGTGGTTCTTTGTGCAGCGCCCCCACAGGAGAGGAGGGGAACAGGTTTTCCAGGTTAGTTAGGCACAGTGCAGCGTGAAAAAGAACCGCAGCTGAAAATGTGACAAATGTTGCAATTTTGGTTCCCCGTCGAACCGACTCAGGTAACTAAACACCGTTAAATCGTCAGAGTGAAGTCGTGCCTCTGTCTGCCTTTGTAAATTTTCACCAATAGAGTGAATCAAAGACTGTGTCTGAGTGTGAGTGAGCAAGGAAATGACACATTTGGCTTCATCATGGCGCGACTGCTGCCTTCACTGAGGGTGAGGTCATTTCCATTGTTTCTTCTGCCTCTGCAACCATTCTGTTTGTGTTATGGGTGTATGGAGACTTTTATGGCGTTACATAGTGCAGATTTTTAGAACGCCATTGAAATCAAGATTTCCTCCTTCAGTGGTGATAACACACGCTCACATCCACTCACAGTGACCTCAGCTTCACCTCTATTGCAGTGTTGATAACAGAAAAACTGAGGGGAGGTTTATAAATACTGCATTGCATAACACAAAAGCTCACAATGAAGGTTACAAGTCTGAATTTGGGAAGGGAAAGTTATGTTTTAGAAAGAAAAAGTGAGAAAAATCAGTTTTATTTATATTAAGGACATCTTCAGTCAGCATTCTCCCTAAATATGCTTTTATAAAACTGTTTGCAGATTGTTTAAAGCAGTGTTGCTCAAAGTGCGGCCCGTGGGCCATTTCTTGTGGTTTTAGTGCTTTTAAAATATATATATTTTTTGTCTTGATAAGTTTGGAAACAGATGTTTTTATTAATAAAATATATATATTTTAATCTTCCTGGGGTCTAATTAATAGAATACAAAAATATTCCTACAAAATATCTTTAACTTAATGTGGACAAAATTGGCCAGAAATTACATAAATTAATATAAGTGTAAAAAAAAAGAGTTTCTAATCAATTTTGTTTCCACAAGAGTCTCTGGCAAAATAATGATGTGAAAAGATTGTTAGATTTAACTTTTAAGAAGTACTCATAATTATTGATGTTTTAAAGTTTGTTAATTGAGTTTAATCAATACATTTTGTCACATAATTATGATGTGCAACAACATGCTGTAGGCACCTGGTGTCCAAACTTTTTGAAAACTGGAAAATTTAAACTGCAGACGGGAAACATTTCCATTAAATTAAACTGAAAATACAAAAATTACTTTATTGTAAGTTTTTGTTTTAGTTTTACATGAGGATCAGTAAACTATTTTGTTTTTAAAGAAGTTGTCATATTTAAAGGAAACAGACATTTTCCAAATTTTCTCTATTTTTTGACTTTTGATCAGCGGCCGAACAAAATCATTATAAGGGCAGCAAATGGCTCCTGGGCCACATTTTGGACACCCTTTCATGTCATTTCTCTCCTTTTTAACTTTTATTTAATAATAAAAGCAAATACCAGCTTTAATTTTTCGACAAAAAGATGTTAAAAAACAAAACATAATGTTTGTTTTTATTAACTTCAGGGATTTACCTTTATGGTTTGAGCCACTACAGTTTTTCCTTCCCCGACTCGCCCAAAGCCGCCGCCCAGTGTTTCCAGTGGTGCGGCGTTACCTCGGCAATCGGAAAGGCCTCCTCTGCCAGGGCCGCCGCTCCGCAGAGCCTCCTGCAAGGGCAGCTGGGAAACAGGAAGAGGAAGCATTTTACAGGAAGCAGTGTGGAGCAGCAACACAAAGTCAAATGGTAAACGTCTCTGCAGCGGCTAGCGTCAGTAACACACAGGGTTTTTATTTTATAGCAGTTATATGTTTAAAAAAATCCACGTGTTGCACTGTATCAGTATTAAATTACTTGAATATAATCAGTTGTGTTTAATTTTAGTTAAAGATGCACTTTCCTTCCAGAAATTAGTGACAACTGCAATAAAGACAGTTGATCTCTCTTTCTAATAAAATACAACATATTATACAACTCCCTTTAATAAACACGTAGCTATATTGTTTCAAAGACATTAGCTTGTGTTGCTTCTATTAGCTTGCTCAAAAACACAGATTATTTGGAATTGGAACAGAGATGAACTGAATCTGATGTCATGTCCAGATCCACTGGCACATGGATGGATCACTTCAGTTTTCAACATTTTGTCTGTCAGCAGTAAAACCCAGTTGAACTGAAGTGCCGGAGGTACGGTTGCTAGGTAACGGGGCTGGAGGTTCTACGGTTGCTAGGTAACGGGGCTGGAGGTTCTACAGTTGCTAGGTGACGGTGCTGGAGGTTCTACGGTTGCTAGGTGACGGTGCTGGAGGTTCTATGGTTGCTAGGTGACGGTGCTGGAGGTTCTACGGTTGCTAGGTGACGGTGCTGGAGGTTCTACGGTTGCTAGGTGACGGTGCTGGAGGTTCTACGGTTGCTAGGTGACGGTGCTGGAGGTTCTACGGTTGCTAGGTGACGGTGCTGGAGGTTCTACGGTTGCTAGGTGACGGTGCTGGAGGTTCTACGGTTGCTAGGTGACGGTGGTGGAGGTTCTACGGTCGCTAGGTAACGGGGCCGGGCTTTGCTGGCGCCGCTCGGGGAGGTGCAGTGCCTGCTGATTTGTGATGTTGCATTCAGAAGGTTTCTGAATGAGATCATTTTTCAAAAAACAAAAATAAATAAAACTTAATTGTTTTCTAAGCGAAAGAACAAAATATGAATTTTATACAACATAATTCCTTTAAATAAGTGAATCTTTATGGCATTTGGTGCAAACTAAATCCAGATTGCAGTTATTCTAATTTACCTTCTTATAATAATAAATGCCAGAGTTTCTTCTTCTACTACTGAAGGCAGCTTAACATACAGACTCTGGATACAGTTTGAGAACAATGCATAAAAAATAATTAACAAATTAGTTTATAGCTTCTCAGCTCCCTTTTTTCTTCTCTTTTTGCAACAGCCAATAGGAAATGGATTAGTCTATAAAACTGTCAGTTATTTTCAGAAAGTTATTTCTGTTTTTATTTAGATTTTAAACACCCATCAGTGTTTTTTTTTGTTCAAAATGTGATATATTTTCAGGGAGAACCAAGTTAAAGGTGTATAATCTTTTTAAAACAGAGTAAAAAGTAGATAGATAAAGAACTAGTTTATAAATTAACTTAAAACATTTGTCCAAATGTATGGCGGTGAAACTAGTGCTTTTTCATAAATATGAATCAATCAAGTTTATTTTTAGAGCACATTTCAGCAACACATCAGTAAAATTGTTTTACATCATAAAAATACAAAATTAGAAAATAATAGAAACAGCATACAGTCACCGACAGAACAAACATCAAGTACCATCATCAAAATCATCAATTTATTGGTCAAATATGTTGGTCAATGTTCCAAATTATTCCAAACTATTATATATTTAGAACAAGCATGCATATCTGAACAGTTAATTTTTAGTTAGTTTTGCCTTATTTACAGTGTAATATTTCCACTAGAAACGAGACCAAACATACTTGGTAAGATTTGTTTTTGTGCAGCGTTGGAGAGACTCACTGTAAAACCACTAACACATAATATTCAAACCCGTTACTATACAGTAAATCAGTTAATATACTCCTTAATATTGATAAATTGCTCACATTGACATGAGGAGATAATCAAAAAAACTGCTATGATTCATGTCGACAAGCCCACTGGTTACTCCCACTTTCCATCGATTACAAGGCAGGGCTCCAGTTAAATAATCTTTCTTCAAATTGCACTTTTATGGATTTATCACATTTTCGTTGGACATTCCTTATTGATCACGAGTCTTTCTTATGAGTCACTATCAACCGACTATCTGTCACTTCCTCCTCTGTCTCGGTGTAATCCAAACACCGGGTAAAACATTAACCACTGTGACCGCTGCTGCGTCCGGGTGGACACACAGGTATGTATTCCTGCATTAATATCCCTCTGTGGGCTTTGAATGGACCCACCAGCTGTGTGCACTGCAAAAACACACAATTTTATTTGGCCTAGTTCACTGCAAATATCAGTGTTTACTAGAAATAAGACGAAACTAACCTACAATTTAACTTTTAAGGAAGATAGACGCTGGTTTAAAGTCAGTAATTATTATTACTTGCAGATTATTTCACTTAGAACAAAATATTTTTCTGTTATCAGTGAAATAATCTGCAAGTGAAACTAGTAGTTTTTCATCACTATAAAGGAATTATTGACTTAAAACAAGGTTGTATTTCTTGCTAAAAAGTTACTTGTATGTTAGTTTTGTCTTTTTTTCAAGTGTACTAAGACTAAAAACTAGACCAGAAATAGTTGGTAAGATTTTTTGTTTTTGCAGTGTAGAAATTAAATACATTGACGACTTTATACTCTGCAAAAACACAAAATCTAACAAAATATTTTGGTCTAGTTTCTATAGAGCAAATATCTTAGTACTTGAAATAAGAAACAAAACTTATAAGTAAATGTTCAGCAAGACACAGGAGTTTGTTTTAAGTAAAATTCAAGATTATTACCAGATTATTTCATTTATTATATAATTTCCTCACATTATAAGTGAAATTGTCAGCCAGTGGAACTATTCATTCTTTAAAAGTATTAAGGAACTGTTGCCATGAAATAAGCTCCTATATGTTGCTGATAACTTCCTTATAAATTATTTTTGTCTTATTTTAAGTGTAGTTAGATATTTGCAGTAGAAACCAGACCAAAATAATTTGTAAAATTTTGTTTTGGCAGTGTGTGTTTGGACTTTGTATGGGTGTGTGTGTGAGAGAGAGAGATCTGTGAAGCAATGAGATCATGTCTAAAGAGGAGGGGCGACTATAAAGGACCACATGAAGCATCGACAGTCATCAGTGGGACGGCAGGTGAAGCGGCAGCATCACTCCAGTTATTTCTAAACTCGAGGTGCAAGAAGTTAGGAGTCGTCTTTCTGAAGCGGACCCGGTCATTTCAGACGAGTCGAGGCCCGGTGTTTAAAGCTTCGTGGTCAGAATGTGTTCGGGCGGTTTCGCCAAATGTCTGGGCATCAGCCTGATGCCGCTCGCCATCGTGTGTGTGCTCTGCAACATCCTGCTCTTCTTCCCCGGCGGGAAGGTTGCAGATAAGGACAACATCACAGACGAGGTTTGGTACTTTGGAGGCATCCTGGGATCCGGTGTGCTGGTACGTTTCATGATGGTTATGCTGTCTAGAGTTGATCATATAATGGTAAATTTGTTCATTTTATGTTTTATAAACAAATTCAGAATTTTTGAGAAGAAAAAATTTGGTTTTAAAGTACATGGACCCAGTTTTTTCCATATCAGGTAGAGTGGGCGTTTTCCTCGTATGTTTTTTTCTCCAGATAACAAGTTCATTCTGCATTTTTTGCATAAACTTTTTACTGACAATTTTCTCTAGATAAAGAATTAATCTTGACAAAAGAAATATTGTTTTCTTGAAGTCAAGAATAACAATTTTTTCTTGATAGATTTTAAGAAATTTGACGGTTTTCTTCAGATTAATTAATTTCCCAATAATTATTTTAGAGGTGAAGGGTTCATCGTGACAAGTTTTAGAAAACTTGACTGTTTTCTCTGTATAACTAGTTAATTTTCCGTTTTCTGCATATTTAGTCCCAATGATTTTCTCCAGATACTTAATTTCACAATAGTTGTTTTTAGATTTAAAAAATCCTTGAGAAAACTTTTTTCTCAGAATTCCTCAATGGTTTTCTTGAGACTCAAGAAAATAAACTTTGAGAAAATATTTCCTCTACAAACTCAATGGGTTTTTCCGAGATAACGAGATAATCTTGAAAAAAAACACCGGGAAAAAGTACTTCTGCAGAAGTTGAAATGTATCGTTAAATAATTAAGAGTTTTTCAGAAAATATTGTATTTAAAGTACGTGAAACTTTGTTTGATGCTTTTTTTGCTCATCAGGTAGAAGTTGAAATGTACATCAAACGATTGATGCTCAATAATCTTCTGTAGGTTTGGTGACGGAAATGAACACAATAAGGAAATGAATGATTCCTCATTGAGATATTTTGTGTGTGTGTGTCTGTGTGTGTGTGTGTGTGTGTGTGTGTGTGTGTGTGTCTGTGTGTGTGTGTGTGTGTGTCTGTGTGTCTGTGTGTGTGTGTGTGTGTGTTTGTGTGTGTGTGTGTGTGTGTGTGTGTGTGTGTGTGTGTGTGTGTGTGTGTGTGTGTGTGTGTCTGTGTGTCTGTGTGTGTGTGTGTGTCTGTGTGTGTGTGTGTGTGTGTGTGTGTCTGTGTGTGTGTGTGTGTGTGTGTGTCGTGTGTGTGTGTGTGTGTGTCTGTGTGTCTGTGTGTGTGTGTGTGTGTCTGTGTGTGTGTGTGTGTGTGTGTGTCTGTGTGTGTGTGTCTGTGTGTGTGTGTGTCTGTGTGTGTGTGTGTGTGTCTGTGTGTGTGTGTGTGTGTGTGTGTGCGTGTGTGCGTGTGTGTGTGTGTGTGTGTGTGTGTGCGTGTGTGTCTGTGTGTGTGTGTGTGTGTGTGTGTGTGTGTGTGTGTGTGTGTGTGGTAGATGATCTTCCCAGCTCTCGTCTTTCTGGGTTTGAAGAACAATGACTGCTGCGGTTGCTGTGGAAACGAAAGCTGTGGGCGAAGATTTGCGGTAAAGAATTGTTTCGCCGTTTAACATTGTGAATTTATTTAGTTTATTTGACAAAAATCACTTTTTAATTGGGACTAAAGTTTATTTTAGTCACAGTAGCTTTTCATTTGGGTTTGATTTATCTGTTTTTCGTATGTAAAACGAAAACAACCAGGAAACACTGATAGTTTGTCCAACTCAACAGGAGCTGATATGCAGTATAACATAAACTAGTTTATAACATAAACAAGTATAACAGAAGTGAAGATTAAAAATGTTTTGTCTCATCTATGTTTTTATGGAAATTCAGATAAAAAATTGACTAAAAGTCCAAGTGCTCACATTTGAAAACATGTTTAAATATAATTTTAAAGTACAATAATTGATATAAACCTTCCTAAATATGGATCTCAGGTTTCTGAATGCTTCAAAATGGCTGCTGTGATAAATCCTGTCCTTTGCCCTTGGATGCAACATCAGACGCTTTAAAGCAAATATGTTAAAAGGAATCACAGAGCCGGAGCAAATAATTTCCCATAACCCAACTGGGTTTACTGAACTTTAATTTGAAACAAACATGTGATTCTTACTGAATTTATTAATTGTGAAACACAAATGAAAAAGGTGGATTTAAAAGTTAAATTAATGTTAGAGGCAATTAAATTGTATCTCCAGTTCAATTTGTTAGTTTTTCCCAATCTTTTGTTTCGTTTACCTGTTTTATGACTTACTTTTTTTTTTTTTTACTCATAATGTACTTTTTGTGAAGCAGGAATTATTATAACAAAGGTGTTTAGTGTTTTGAGCAAAACAAATTCGGTACCAGTTATTTTGTTCATTTGGTGAAAATGTTGGAGTGATAGACGGCCTCCATGTTTTACTGCATGTTATCAGTTTAACTGTAACATGCAGCAACAGGCTGAGGCTGTAATGGAAAACAAACACAGTGGCACTGTGTACACACACCCATCATGATTTACATGGCCATAAATGAGAAAACACACAGAGAAATACATAAAACTGAGCACACGTATTAATGAGGATTTGGATGGTTTAAACACGTCTCTCACAAAGTTACTATTGTTCTGCCAAAGATGAAAACACACACACACTTGGTAAGACTTGGTGAGTTTGCAGTGATTCCATTTAAATCATATAAATTTTATTTGTATTTCAGATCAAGAGGAGGCTGAATTCACTGTACCATTTTCTTTGTTGTGTCCATGTAGATGCTGAGCTCCATACTGTTTGCGGCTGTCGGTGCGCTTGGTGCAGGTTACTCAGTTGTGGTTTCATGTGTAGCTATCAACAAGGGGCCGCGTTGTTCTTTGGTTGACCCTGAGAGCTTCAACCAAACACAATGGACATACCCTTTTGACAATGGGTGAGATGCTGTGCAAAATCACAAATCCATGAAACACATTTCTTAATACAGACCCCGGTATTAGTGTTAGTGTTTCCATTAACCATAAAACTGTGTAAGTTGAAAAACAAGAAAATAAATTTGCTTTATGGTAACATGTCAATTTTCAAAAAACAATTTTTTTATAAATCAATTTGGTACCAGATGAAGATTTTTGTACTTTGAGCGCATTTGTAATAAAAACGCAGCTAATAAAACTTGCACAAAAACAATGTAAGCTGTTTGCGGTACATAACTCCTGCATTTCCGTTACACATATGTGCAAATCTCTGTCCATATTCAGCTGTTTTTTTACATTAGCAAAATATCCATTATGTTTTGCGCACATTTGTAACGTAAACCCAGCAGAAGTCAGAAATGTATATTCTACTCCGCAAAACCAACTGCAATAAATAATCAGACTGTATTTAATCTTCAGAGACTACCTGAAGAACCACACTTCCTGGAGCGTGTGCAAACAGCCAACAAATGCGGTTTCCTGGCACCTGGGCCTGTTCTGCGTGCTGCTGGTGATGGGTTTGATCCAGATCGCTCTGTGCGCCGTGCAGGTGATAAACGGCCTGCTGGGGGCGCTGTGTGGAGACTGCTGCGGCTGCTGCGGCGGGGTCAGTGTCCAGGCGGCTGGATTCACTTCAAACACTACAAAAAATTAAATAAAAAACATTACCAAGGATTTTCTAGAACAAATATCTTAGTACAGTAGAAATGAGCATTATTTAAATAACATAAGCTATTTCCAGTAGCAGATTATTTCACTTATTTCAGGTTATAAGTGAAATAATCTGCCAATGGAACAAGTATGTTTTTCACCAATATTAAGGAATTATTGACTTAAAACTAGCTGAAAAGTTACTTGTAAGTTAGTTTTGTCTTATTTCAACTGTACTATTGTATTTGCACTAGAAACTAGACGAAAAGTACTTGGTAAAGTTTTTATTTATTGCAGTGAACAAGTCTGCAAAGAGATTTCTAACTTATTATTCTGTATTTTTATCTGCTGTCATAACCTGAAAGACTTGATCTGGGTCTGTTTGGATGAGTTATGTGAACTGAAAACATCTGACTGATGATAATGTTTGTCTTTCAGAGCGATGGAGCCGTATAAGCGCCTCCTGTGGATGAACAGACGGCTGTCCCATATTTATTCTCCGTCCTGAGGATGACTTTTACGCATTAATCTAACTGCTGAAGAGGAGCTTATTGATTACAGTGCGTCATCTGAAAACACTGCAAAAATGACAGAGCTCTTTTCACGTTCTTAGTTTCCTTTCCTCATGCAGATTCTTTTGACTGTGTATTATTACTGTTATTGATAATATAAAGGTTAATCTGCTGTACATTGTTTTTACTGAGTTTCTATCTGCTATATGTATTTATTTTGTTTCATGGCTTTGTTGTTTATTTTTATTTTCACCCCAGTTGCTTCTTGCTGTTAATGCTTTATGAAGTAACATGACTGCCTCCTGGTGGGCTTCATTCACCAAAGATTTTATCGTACTTTAAATGGTAATTATTACAGATTTTTTCTGTCGCTTTGGTGCATTTCTCTTAGCAAAACATAAGAGTATTCTCAGAACAATTTGCACAAACAGTAAAATACCATGGAATAACTGCAAAAGTCAGTTTATTTCTCAGAATGCTTAGTTTATATCACAGAAATTAAATTTCTGTATCAATAAACATGTCTGGACAAAATTCATATTTGCTGTTTTATTGTAATTTTTGACAGATCATGTTATTGTAATTCAGAAAGGAAAATACAGTTCTGCATGTTAAGATTTACAAGACAAATGTGTGCCTCAATGTTATGGAGTTTCAGACCATTTAATAGAAACCTACATAAATAAGATGATAAGTAGTTTGGAGAATTTCAAATATGTTCTGAGAAATGAGACAAAACAACAGAGAAAATGTCTTTAAAAAAATAAAACAAATAAAAATAAAGTTGAAAAGGTTTTGTCTGAATATGTTCTAGTAAGAGAATTTTCATATATTTACTTTATTCTCCTATTAAAGGTTTCGTGTCTCCGGGCAGCCAGATGCAAGCTGCATCTTTTGTTAAAGCAAAACAAGTTGCAATTAAAAGAAACAGAAAAAAATGTTGTTTTTTTCATTATTTTTTTTCTAATCTTGATAAAAGCAACAGTCTATTAAGTCATTGCAGTTTTTTAATAAATAGTTTATTGTTTTACTGAAAGTAACATGTCAGTGTGATAATTTTGGACAGCATATAATTAAGTTTTTTGACTTTTTGTTTCATTTAGATCAACGGTTGCTGAGATCTTCAAACGTGGTTTTAACAAATGCTGAAAACATCTGGGAAAGTCCCCACAAAGTTTAAATAATTAGCATGTTTAAATTGTTTTTTAGTCATTATGAAGAAAAGTATATCACTGAAGTTGTTAAAAAATGTACCAATGAAAAATTCAGATCAATATTTACATGAATTATAACAATAAAACATATTAATGTGATAAATAATCCTATTAATTTATGTTTTTGTTATGTGTATTTTGATAATACACGCCACATCGATGTCACGTCCTAGTCCGTAAGCGGAACTATTAAGTTGTGGAAGTTGATGCGCCCGGAAGAAATAAACAGCGTACCAGGGTAAAATCCTGCTGAATGACCCCGAAGAAAAGCTTAAAACATGAAGTATTCAGACTGAAACAAAGGTAAATTTAGCAGCTAAGTTTATTGGACTTTGATATGTAAATACTCGAGGTTTAGTTATGCATCTGCAGCTGATTGGTTTGTGTTGTTTCTGTTGAATCTTGTTTTGGAGAAAATGAGATTCTCTTAGAAATCTAAAACATACTGAATGCGTTTTTTTTTCTCTGTACCATTTGTCCCGAAGTTTCAAACAATGTTCTACAGTTTCTTGTCACTTCCAGTTCGCCTTGTTTTTCTCGCCATTGACAGTTTCCAGTGATATATTTATAAATTCTCTCAGAATTTCTCTCTAAATGTCAAGGAAATAATTCAGCAGATTACATAAACACGGTTACCTGTAAATGGGATTTTGCCAGAATTGACTGTTTAAGTCGGCATGTATTCATCATAATTACAGCTATTATCCAAGAAAAGTTCGTTTATTTAGGTAATTTAGTTCAAAAAGTGAAACACATAGCCTAATTACAGACATTTCTCTGTTCATTTTGATTTTAGTGGTTTATAGTGAATAAAAACCCAAAATTCAGTTTCTCAGATAATTAAAAAATTGACTTAAAAAGTTTGTAAAAACTAAAATTGTCCCAATTAAAATGATAATGTGAGAGGTACAATGTATATATTACGCACCAGAATGTATGCTCTTATTGTGAAGGGCAGAAGACATGGCATAATGCCACTCTCACGGAACAATATATTTAAATTTCTAATTAACATTAACTGTGGAACTGGAAGATATTTTAAATATCAAACATAAACTCTAAACAAAACTGTTGTCCCAAATGGTGGCTGATTGAGACCAAAGAACCACACGAAGTCTTTGGTCTCAACCAGGTTTTGTGGAAATAAATAAATAAATTATTAGAGATCCTTTTAAGACCACAGTGAGTGAAATGTAATACTTTGATTTCCACAGAAATGTGCCAACTTCGTCCAGGTAACGATAAATTCGCACTTACCCAGGATAGCCGCTAGAACACTAGCTAGCCGGCTAGTTAGCATTAACCGTTAAGAGTCGGAACGTAACAAAGATGGCGGAGAGCGACTTAAACTTTTGCCTGACAGGAAAGCACCTCGAGAAAAAAAATACATAAATTAAAAAGTCAAGACAAAAACTGTAAAAGCACGAAATACAAAAAATCTGTAGATACAAGTAAAAACCCAACAACAGACTTAAAACAACAAAAAATCTGCAGATTTTTTGTTGTTTTTAAAAAGATGTCCGTTGACTTTCCAACAGTGATTCTGAATCACTGAGTAAAACTTTTTTCGCCTCAGATGCTGACTGTCGCTTTAAGAAGATGCGTCATGGCAACACCGAGGGTAAGAGATCCGTCCTCACAGCTGGTTTGGCTCAAAGATGAATTTAGAACATAAATGTTCAAAGTACGGCCCACTAAGTGACTTTGTAATCCTATAAAAACAAATTTGTGAAAAACACTTTTTAATCTACAATGTTCTACAGATTGATTTTCTACAAATATGTAACTGTTGTTACAAGAACGTTTTGCAAGCTTAAGTTTTTTTTAGTGTACGGAAGAGTGTTAGGGCCAAACTAAAAGCAAAACTACAAGAATAAAGTCATATTAAAAAACTCAAGGATATTATGAGAATAAACTAGAAATAACATGAGAATAAAGTTGGGATAACTTTATTCTCCATAATAAACTTTAATCCTCATATTTTGGGATTAAAGACGGTATTAGAATAGTTATAAATATTATAAGTTCATAATGTCATAATACTTATGACTTTTTTCTCGTAATATTACAACTTTATTATTTTGACTTTGTTCTAACAATATTTTGACTTATAAAGTTAAAATTTTATTCTTGTCATACTGATTTGAATCTCGAAGTGACTCACAACTTTTATCTCAAAATGTTACTATTCTGAGTATTATGACTCCAGTGGCTTTAATTTTGAAATATTATGACCTTTTTCTCTTGATAAAATTTTTTCTAAGTATATCCCTAAAACTCCTCCGTAGCTTAAAACATGATTTTGGCCGTCAGGGCTGACCACTCATACAGAACCTGTATTTCCTGTAGGTTTCCCTCTGGGCTCGTTGTCCTCCAACATGGCGGTCGTCGTCCATGACCGGGTCGCCATTCTCCTCTAGTTTCTTCCCGGATGATTTCAGACGACTACAACCTCATGGTTTCACTTCCGTCACCCAGAAAACTCCGCGTTTGAACGCTTTAATCACATCGCAACATTTCCACTCATCTGTTGCGAGGCTGAAGAAACGAAACCAACCAGAACCGCCTCCCCGGGAACTGGACTTGCTCCGGTATGACATAAAAGGCTTGTGGGAAGGTCCGAAGCCGGCGCTGTGTCTGGGCTTCGCCGGGCTCATCCCCTTCGTTTCCCCGCCTCTGATCATGGCCACCACAGAGACGTTTTACCCAGAGCTGGCCCACGCCCAGCTGGCTTATGGCGCCGCCATCGTCTCCTTCCTGGGCGGCGCCCGATGGGGGTTCGCGCTTCCCGACAGCAGCCCGGCCAAACCCGACTGGATCAACCTGGCCAACAGCGTGGTTCCGCCGCTGTTAGCGTGGGCGGCCATGCTGTTGAGCGACAGCCTTGTTCCGGCAGCCATGATGGTCATCATCGGACTCGGTGTTTCGCTGCACTATGACCTCTCTCTGCTGCCGACGTATCCCAGCTGGTTCAAAGCGCAGCGCTCCATCCTGACCGTGACGGCGTTCTTCTCTCTACTCGGAACGCTTTTAATGAGCGGGTCGTTTCCAGAGAAGTACTTTTTCTGAAGCATATTAATGTTTCATGTACAACGCATTGGGGCAGAGGAGGACATTTTCACCAAAAACCTCAGAAAATACCTACTGAGAGAAAAAAAGTATAGAAGTTTTCACTAGGTGGCGCAAAAATGCCATATTTTCATCCTGATTTCACTATATTGGATTTAAATAAAGAAAAACAATGATATTCTTTGCTTAATGTTTTAAATATTTACAATAAAAAAGGATTTTTAGGCAACTTAATTCAGTATTTACGTGAAGTATGAACCTTAATTTTTTTTGCCTGAATTGAATTCATTCTGAGATTATGTCTCGCCTCCGTTTGTCACATTAAACCTCAGTGACGTAAACTGAGGTTCATGTCTGTCATGTCTGTTGATATTTAAAAAAAAAAAACTGCTCACAACTTAATTCATAATTAGATGTTTATTGTAAACATTATCATCTATAAACCAAAGGCAAAAGAAAACATAAAAAAAGACTTAAGGCACATTTTTATGTACTTTTACTTAAAGGTGCAATAAATCCCACATATCTCTTTGGAAAAATCCTGCTGTCAATTTTTTCCTGAAGGGATAAAGTATTGCACTTTAATTTTTCAGAGACATCTTGCATAATTTTGGGGTTTTGACACAGCAGGAGATGGCTCGGACTTCTGATAAGAGTCGAAATTGACGCAGTTTGATTAAAGGTAAAATAAACAATGGAGGCTGAACAGGTTTTCTGTTTACATCAACCTTCTCTGAGCAATTTAAGGTTATTTAACCCAAAGTGTGTCAGTGCGCTTAAAGCTGTGGTTGCATTGTAACCAGCGAGCAGGATTTTTAAAGTGCTGCTGACACTTTAAATCCTCCACAGGAGTTCAGCTGCGTGACCTCTAGTGACCTCCAGGTAAACAAGTTGAAGAATGGGGAGTGTGAATGGAAAGTAAAAATGGCTGCAGCTGGAGGGTTCTGCAGCTTACTTTTGGATTCCCAGACTGGAGCGCATGTTCTCGTAAACGACGTAGCTGATGCTGACCGCCGGGATCACCTTCATGAAGTTGGGCAGGATGCCGCGGTAAAGTCCGAAGAAGCCGTCCTTCTCCAGGATCTTCTGCACCATGCGGCCCATCGGCAGCTGCTCAGAGCCTTCCAGAGACGCTGCGGAGACGGAGAGGCACATGGAGGGTGTCAACATGGACGAAGCTAACAATTTAGCATTAGCTTCCACTAAATACCATGTTGGAGCTTTCATTTTAGCTTTTATGAACTACCATAATGTTAGCAATTTGGCATTAGCTATGGCATTAAATACTATGAGAGCTTTCACTTTAATACTACTGTTAGCATTTTAGCATTAGCTTTCACTAAATACCATGTTGGTAAGGCATTTTAGTGTTGTTGGAGTTATTTATGATCGGTGCTTTAGAGTTAATGTAAATAACCGTTTAATTAGCAATGCCCACCACTATGATATAGTCTGTGCTAATGAAATGTGTAAACAAAATTACAAGAATAAAGTCATATTGATCATATAGTCAAATGAAATAGCTTTGTCTTCTCATATTACCCCTTTCCTTAAAATTTAATATCCATTTGGGATCAATAAATGAACTAAATGAAGCATGCAACATTATGGCTTTAAGTTTGTTTTTTTCTGATTTTTTAAGCATTTAAATCAAAAATATACACAACACAAAATTGTAAATGCATAAATTTCTAAATATGCAAGTATGTGGGAAAATGTTAAATGTTTTCTATTTAAACATCTAATAAAAGTGGTTTTATGTAAAATATTTACTTAGATTCCTCAATGCACAGTAAAGAAAATTAATGTTCCTTATAAATTAATTCACTATTTCCAAGATGGAAGTGGTTAATCCACGTTATACATTTTCAATTTCATGTTCAAATTATGTATTGATGAACAGGGAGGAAAAATATATATTTTATTTCCCAATTTCAAGGACATCACATTAAAAATAGACATAAAATTATGAATTAATTTAAAGTAGAAGCAGAGATCCTGATTTAATCCATTACCGACTTTGTGTTTGTTGCACAACAGGCAGTGAAGATAAAACCCATTAAGAACCGGTTCTGTTTCATGACACTAAAAACATCCTCAGCTGAACCTCAGCTTACGTCACTAAGCCCCTAATCCTAATTTAAAACAGTTTTGAGTTCACAAGAACATTTTGCTCTTCTAGAAACTTCCTTAAATCTGAATTATTTGAAAGACGATCCATTTAACACGGCTGCACAATCAGCCAACTAACATCTGTGAATTTGTAGCGCGTAATAATTTCATAAGAAAAACTCAGATTGGATTTTAAATGATGCATTTTTTCAGGGTTTATTTCACCAGCTCCAATGTGAAACTTTTAAAGACTTTAAGATCATTAAGAAAGAAATTTTATACCAATATCTCCACAGAAATGTATGAATTTCATCCAGTCTACTGGTAATAAATTTGCAATTAACCATGACAGTTGCACAAACGCTAGTTAGTTTACAAGGGAGTAGTAGGGCCATGTTAAGAAAATAACAAAAACATTTTAAAAAAGTTTTTATAACTTTATTCCCATAATATTACAATTTTATTCTCATAGAAGAACAACTGTATTTATTAAAATATTGTGATTATTCTCGCATTACAAATTTATTCTTGTATGATTTCATTCTAATTATGAATTAACTTCATTTGTAATAAAAAAATATATTTATATTTTAGTGGATTTTTTTGCTTCTCTTAATGTTCATTAACTTGTCTCCAACAAGTTAAAGGGATATTTATATTTCTAGCTACATATTTATTGCATTCAAGTTATTTTCCTTTACCTTGAGCTTGCATGCGAGTGCGGATCAGCGCCAGCGGGTAACTGGCCAGCTGACCACAGGTGCTGGAAATGGTACCGCAGCCCAGCAGCACCAGAACCCCTGGGTTCGCTGTGTCTTTGGCGTATTTGGACAGCCAGAAGTTCTTTAAGCTCTGTTGGGATTGAGGAAACATCAGTCCTGATTTATTTACAGATTGAATTTATCCAAGTTATCGGAACAAACCTCGTACACAGCCAGATCGATCCCAGCATACGGGATTATGCCCAGAATATTGGGAACGTATCCTTTGTAAAATGCCTTGACTCCTTCCTTCTGCAGGATTTTCTTGGCGCAGTCGAACATCCCTGAGTACTGCCCCGTCTTTCTCAGCGTCAGACGAGTTTTCATCACCTGAAGAGACGAGATCCAGATGACCGATCAGCAAAGCGGCTCAGTTTTTTTTTTTCTTCCTGGAAAAAAAACTCACTTTTTGACATAAAACTCAGAAATAGTCTAGAAAAAGTTTTTCAACTTGAAAGACTGTCAGGAAATTTCAAAAATGTTGACATCAATTTATTAAGTTTTCTGGAAAATACTTGAACATTTCTGACTAAAATTTGAAAGAAGCAAACACATTTTGAGCTTAATCTAAAATTTTCTGGAAGAAACCTGGAAATGTATCGGAAAAGTACAAAAATAATCAGAAAGATTAATCAGAGAAATTTGAGGAAAAAAAAGACATTTGTGAGTTTCAAAAGTCAAAAATGTAGAAAAAAACCCCTAAAATTTCAGGATAATCTTAGACATTTCTTTGAAAAGAACTTGGAAATTTCTGAGTTTGAAAAGTTGAACATTTTCTAAAATAAAACCCCATCAATTTTTAGATTAATCTAAGAAACTTTCTGGAAAAAAAATTGATTTTAAAAAGTTTAAATTTGTTAGGAAAAAAAATATGTAAATTCTGAAATCAATCTAAAAATGTGACTGGATGAAACAAAGAAATTTCCAAGTTTGAAAAGTTAAAAACTTGCTGCTAGAAACCACAATGAGACTTTGTAGTTTCAAAAGTTGAACATTTACTAAAAAGAAGAGCCAGAATTTTCAAGAAAAACTTGGAAATTTCTGAATTTCGAGGTTGAAAATTGTTGATATTACCCACTGTTTGGATAATTATCCATTCACATATTCAGTACAATAAGTTAGGGAAGTACAATAAAAACAAAAAGCCCGACTTGAAGTAGAAAGGAAATGTGTCACACTGAACTTGTTTTGCAACTTTCTGACTTCCACATATTCTAATCAACCGGATATAAAACTTCCAGAAACAGAACATTTGCATCTTCTCTGGACACTTTTCAAAATTTATGATGAAAAAAAGTGAAAGATAATTCAATTAGAACAAGTAAATATGTTACAAGAATAAAGTTTATAATTTCTGGTTGTTGATGCATCAGGTTGAATCATTCAAGCACTGAGAACGTTTATAGTTTATACCTCAAAGTATAAATCCTGGGATGAAAATCTTCTTGAGTTTGTTTTTTTTTATTGGTATTGTGAATTACTGCAGCAAACCAGCATGACTTGTTTTTGTGATAGGAAGGTCAAAATTTGCACATTTTAAATTTACTTGAAAACCTAATTTGCCATATTTGTTCAACCTGCACAAACTGAGATCACAAAGAATTGGAAATTGACTCCTACACTGGAAAAACATACAATTTCACCAAGTATTTTTTTATCTAGTTTCTGATGCAAATATCTAAGTGCACTTGACATAAGAAAAAACTAACTTATAAGTACATTTAAACAAAATATAAGCTTCTTTTAAGTCAACAATTCCTTAATATGGATCTTTTTAAAAAAGGACTAGTTCCAAAAGGAGACTATTTCACTTATAATAAGATATTTTCTAATTTTATAATTAAACTGTCTGTGAAACTAGCACTTTTTAAATAACATTAAGTAATTATTGACTCCTGTATCTTGATGAAAAGTTACTTGTAAGTTGGTTTTGCCTTATTTCTAGTGCAGTAAGATATTTATACTTGGTAAAACTTTGTTTTTGCGGTGTAAGTCCATCTTGGCTCACCTCCATGGGGTAGATGGCAGTTTGCGCCGTGGCTCCAGCCAACGATCCCGCCATGAACCTCTCATGGCTCTGGACCTTCCCCGGTTCACTGGCCAGCAGCTTCTTATACTGAGGAGACAATTCAGTAAGTATCTGAAATACGCAAAATAATTCAGCAAATTATAAAAAATACGTGCCTGTTCATATGCCATGAATTTAATGGCTGTCTCCGGGGCGATCTTCAGGACGTTGATGCCGTTTCCTCTCCACAAAGACATTACCCCTCCTTCTTTTAACATCTGCTTAAAGCCTCCCACCAGGCTGATTTTGTTGCTTTTTGAGGCGTGAACCTGCAGATTAAACAAAACAAGAATTAAAGCTGATTCCTAAAAGCAGATTCACCCAGAAGGATGAAAGTTATCGATTACTAGGTTAATCTAACCTTGATTGGTCCAATCTTTTTAATATTTTGTGTTAAACACTGAATGAATAAACAGAAAATAGTAATTGCCAGATTAATAAATTTGACAAATTTATAAGATACGTTAAAACAAGGATTTCTTAGACTGATGAATAGATAAATGAAACACAAAAAGAATAAAATATGTGGGGGGAAAACAGTAGTATATTAGGACCACTGTAGAAAGAAAAAAGATTAATCTACAATGCACCGTTTTATGCAACTTACGGTAATTACCGACGAATAGACACTCATACAGAATTTTCGTCTGTTTGCGCATGAAGAAAATTTAAAACTTCCCTTCAGAAACTGATTTAAGTCACAACAACCCTCAAAATCAACCTCGTAATTTGGGATTCGTTGTTTTTTGTTTGTTTGTTTGTTTGTTTTGTCAGAACTTTCCTGCGCCTTCCTGTCATCGCAGCCTTACCATCGTGGCTAGCAGCCATTTTTAAATGAGAAGTTGACGCTGTTCCGTCATGAAGCTCGGCTGAATCAGCGCCATCAGGGAGAACATTTCAGTAAGGAGTTTGTCTAGAGCTCATCTTTCCAAATAAAACCGAATAAAGCGCATCTTGCATCACACACCGAACTCTGAGCCGTTTCTCCTTCCCGCCCTGGAATAATCCTGCCGCCATTTTAAATTTCTGTTCGCGCGGCTGCGCTTAAGAATGGCGAGCAGCGCCCTCTGCTGGACGGCGGCTAAATCACTAAAAGACAGCAAACCGAGGCTATCAATCGATTAGATTAATTGTTTCCATAAAAATAATTTAATATTAAGATCAGAGCTGATCCCTGGAATTATTGGACACAATAATAAGCAATAATTTATGTTGAAAGGCCCAATAAAGAACTGCTTGTGACGCACCTGCATGAAGACCTTCATTCTGTCCAGCGGTGCGGTTCCTGTGCGGGACACGGCTCCAGCAACGGCCCCCGACATCAGCTGCTTCCACCACAAACCCGTTGTCTTCTCCTCCTCTGTGAACTCATCTGGGATGGTCAGGCTGTCGCCAATATCCAGAACCTGGAGGAAACACGTTCACTCTCATTAAATCTGATTTCAATCTCACAACTGTTTCCATCATAAACAAGTCAAAGTTTTAGAGATGGGCAATAAAGAGATTTCAATCAATCAAACATTTAATTTTTGGTTATTCTGGATTTTTTTCCCCCAATGCACTCCTTGTGTTCCAAAGGTCGCCATCTTGTTTTAGAGTTTGTATTTATGTTGACTCTGAATTCAAGCCAAACAGGTCAGGCTAAGATTTATTTTACTAAATAAAGTCATAATGTTACAAAGGCATGACAATATGTTACAAGATTCAACAATAAAATCAAAATAATATGAAGTTTTAATGTTACCGGAATAAAGTTGTAATATTAGGAGAATAAAGTACAAATAATAGTAATTATGATGGCCTAATTTGATGAGTTATTTCCACCAAGGCACTCAATTTTTTTTTAGAAAAAACAAGTAAATTTTAATATTTCAGGGAAAAAAAGACATTAAAAAACATTTCTAAGTTTGAAAAGTAGAAATTTGATTTTTTTTTTTAAAAAGATAAGTTTGAGATTAACATAAAAAAAATTAAGAAAAAAGTTTCAAGTCAACAAATTTAGACTTTCCAAAAGCAGTAACAAGATGCTGAAATTTTTTTTATACTTTTTTTAAAATAAATTATTTTTCCACTGAAAATGGCTGAATTTATAGTTTCTATCATTTAATGGAGGATTGTCAACAGATTGTGAAAACCTACCACATCCACCTCAAAGAGCCCTCCTCCATCTTCAAATTCGAGTAAAAACCAGTTAGCATGTTGCTGCAGCAGAGCCATGGCCGTCCAAAGCCTTCAACAGAGCCACCAAGTTCCTGTTTCTCTTCACACGACTCTAATAAAGAGCCAGGATCTATTCTGCAGTCCCGGCTCCTCATGCCTACTCTTCTGCTCTTCCTTTCACCTCATCCCTTCCAAATCCCTCTGAAGGGCTAATCTGCATGCAGGTCAGATTGAAATTAGCTCATCTCGGCTGCGTTTAGATTTATCCACACTGAACGGAGACGGTGAGCATCAGAGATTAGACACGGGCAGCTCTGTTTCTGGGCCCAAGTATTTTATAAGAAATTCAAGATATTTCAGTTTATGAGCAAAATAAATTAATGAGTGGAATATCTAAGGTACCAAAATCAAGATATATAATCATAAAGGATTGTTAGACGTAGAAAAACAACCAAATATATTTCCTTTAAAGGGGAAATAAAAAAATCTACTTTTTTAGCTTTAGATCATGTTATAATGTGATTCCCTCATCAAAAACATACAAAGAGTTTTGCTTTGATTCTTTCATGCATGTTTGAGAAATTGTTTAATCTCCATACCAACCACTCAGTCGTGCTGAACGCCTTGTTGGACCTAGCTCCGCCTTCAAGGCGCATGAGCTTCTGCATTACAGAGCAGCCCTCCCCCACTCAGTTCCTTCAGACTAGCCAGCAGCAATTAGCAACCAACTTGTGGATCTGCTGAGCTTATTACAGGAGCTATTTCTCAGTGAAATGCTGGTAAAAATGTTGACAAAGGTTTAATAGAGGAGCCATGTTGGGAGTTTTAGAAAGAACAGGAGTATTTAAAAAGATAATAAAGAGGTAATTTCAAGGGTTAAATTACCAAGTCAATTTCCCTTTAAATCATATTTGATATGTATAGCATTTTTATAACCACTGAAGCTAACACAGTTACTTCATTATTCTATAAAATGGCAATGTGAAAGCACATAAAACTGCCCCTTTAATTTCCTTCCTTTTTGTAGATAAAAGGTGTTTTCACTACTGATAATCTGGTAGATTCAGTTCAACTGGAGACCAAAGTTGTAACATTTGTTACATTTTCAGCTGCTTTAAGTTTTCTTTCTTAGTGCACTAAGTCAAATGAACCAAATCATTTGAAAAACTATTTCCCCTCCTTGCCCTGTGGGGGCGCTGCATCAAGAACCACTGAAGGAAACGACATAAAAACCTCTAACGAAGACACTGAGCGCAACTTCCTTCTTCACGAAATGTAAACAAAAACGGAGTAATGTCAGATTTCAGTGATTGGAGGATTTCTTTTTAGTCGTTGGTGAAAAACAAGATGGCTACTCTTACCGTGCTGTGCTTCCAGTAGCGAATGATCTCCTGCAGGCTGGTTGCCGGGTTCAACAGGAAGTGCTCCCTCCATTCATTCCAGTCCAACGACATGGTACCATCAGAATCAATACTGGAGAACAGAGAAAACATTTTCATTTAAAATATGCATTTCAAATTAAACAATTAATCGGACTAATCATGATTAATCAATAATTTCAATAATGATAAATATATATATGAATTTAAGACAAATAAAAGTCTGTAAATATGTGTCCCTGAGAACTCTTCTTGTGGCAGTTTTAGATTCACTGACGGTCAAATAAAATAAACACATTTTCTATCGAGCCCATGTTGCTGTTCAATAAGTAATTGATGAATATAAAAAAGATCTACAGATCAGCTCTACGCTGTCTTAATATTAAGTGAAACAGAAAGTGCTGAGCTTTTCATATGTTGATGTTTTTGCTACAAATTATTAACAACTAATGGAATCCTTTGTTGTTTAATTTTAGGAAATAAAACATTTTTTTCTATTTAAAAAATTTTTAAATCCTTTTGTTTATTTGCATCTTTTAATGTATTTCTAATACTGTTTTTTTTCTTTTTTTAAAAAAAAGGCTTAAGTGGTTAAATGAAGAATTTGCTATGTTTTATTTGATTAATTGATTAATCGTCAGAATAATTGATAGAGTAAATATTAGGTTCAGCCTTAAACAACCTTTATGTTGTTATATTTGTTTCTGATTGTTGCTTAAATTCCTTTGTGTCTGTTCAGTAAGTTGCCCTTTGCTGTGGTTTTCAAACCGAACCTCTGACTCACCAACACACATCTTGTTCTACTCTTTGTTTTCGCTCATTCATCGCACGTTACCACCTCTTTATGTTTCTTTGTGTAGATCTATTGAATTTCACCAGTTTGTCATGTTGAAACAAACCGGTGAAAACGTCAAATGTATTTTTATATTTGTCTGCTTATAAAACAGACAAATATAAAATATCATCAGGTAAACCTGGAACGTGAGCAACATTGTGGATCTCTCAAGACCTGGAAATAACAGGAAAACTAGAAAATGTTCCTAAAGGTCCAGGTTAACTAGGGCTGCAACATTATGACCTTATTTTCGTTATTGATTTATCTAATAATTATTTTGACAATTAACTAATTAGTCAGATTTTGCAGATTTGAATTTAAGCCTTTTTATATGCAATGTTTATAAAAACATTAAAATATGCAAAAAATAACTATTTAAATTTATTTTTAAAATAAGGAAATGTAGATTTTATTAAATGTGACAATAACAGCATTACTTGCATGCTTGATTATTTGGAGACAATGATGCATCTGCAGCTAAAAAAATACTTCTGACACAAAAAGCGCAGCCTTTTCTGCTCGACTTAACTATAGCAACAGCAGATATGTTGGTTATTTTTTGGATTAACAAACTAATAATTGGAGAAGGCGATAAATATGAGACATTTTTTCATACAATTTGAACCTGGTGAATATCTAGGAAGAAAAGTTGTTTTTTTTATCTTAAAAGCAAAAGTTTTGGCCTAATTACTGCTCTGACTGTGTTGTTCTTTCAGTAAATGGCTGTTTTTAAAGTCTTTATACTCCAGTTAATGATTAATTGATTGCTAAATTAATGAATGATTATTTCAATAACTGATTAATCGCGATTAATCTGGTTAATTGTTTCAGTCCTAATGCTAACACAAGCCCAAAAAAGGAATCGGCAAACATGTGCAAGAAGGTGCTTCATGAGACGGGATCAAAATGAATCTATTTTGCTTACATGCAAATGACTAACAGAAAGCAAAGACAGCACATCATTCTGAACACACAGATGCAAATTATATCATGATTGTGGCAACATTATTCCACAGGAAAACTTTTTCTGAGACAAACAAATAGATGCAGAAGACTAGAAAGTTGGAATGAGGCTGAGAAAAGCAAAAAAAAAAATACAGAGAAATGGAATCCAAAATTGATTAATTATTGTTAAATAATAAATATAAGTAATAGATGTTAATTACATTGAAATAATGTAGTACTTTTTTCACCAAGTTTTCTGGTATTTTCTAAATAGCAATAATTTTGATCATTATAACTGACCCAAAACAAGAAAAGTTTCATCTGATTTAACTTCAGATAGTGAAGAAAAAAAATGTGTCTGATTAGGTGAATGAACATATCTGGCTATCAAATTAAAACTTTTAGCCAAACAATAGATATATATCAATATCAAGCATTTTTTATAGAAATCAAAACACGTTTTCAAGTCAAATTCAATTTAAGTTTCTCTCTAAACTTAAATAAATCACATTTGAGCATCAGAGTGGCACAAATGTTGCAGGAAATTCCTTTAGATCTGATTTAGTGACGAGTTGTTGAGTATTTGTGTCAGTTTTCTTCTCAGGCCTCTCAGAAGCTCTTTATCATGTGGCTCTGCGTTCCCCCACCGCTCCCTGGTTATCAGCCCCTCACACTGGTCTCCACCTTTCACTTCATGCTACTCTTTCATTTTAAGCTTTCTAATTCTAGAAATCCACATAAGACTGTATCTGATCCAGTTAATCAACTGCAGCAATAAGAGACAAACAGAAAAACCTCTGAAGGATCTTCTTTGCGTCTTCCTTGGTGATCTCCAGACCCAGATCGGCGAACGACTGCTGGATCTCCATGTAATCTATTTTACCTGTTGGAATAAATGAGCACAGCTCAAGCAGGTAAACTCAAAAAGCATTTTTAAATTTAAAGCTGAAAGGCATTTTCCGTACCGTCTTTGTTTTTGTCCAAGCTCTTGAAAGTCAGGCGCAGCTTCTGCTCATGCTCCTTCAGGTACTTGGCGAACTCGTTGAAGTCCAGCACATCATCTTTGTTTTTGTCGGCAGAGGAAATCATTTTCTAAAGATAAAAACACACAGAATATCAGCTGTTCAGATTCGTCACAGGGTTTTCCCGGGTGTTTTTGTAGTGTTTTCTGACCTCCCCTGTGGGCGACGGCAGAGCTTTGAGCTCTGAAGAGAAAGATGTCGACTCCACCATCACTAACACAAGCAGCAGTTACCATAACCTGCCACTTGGAGGCAGAATACTGCAAAGATAAACTTCCTCCTCAGAGTTCAGTTCCTGTCTGAGCTTTGTGCTTTTAAGAACTGCAATTAATAATTTATTCTGACAATTAATCGATTAATTATACTTTAAAAATGAGCACACTCTGCAAATTTATCATATAAGTCTTTAGATGCAAATAAATAAATTCAATTCTTTTTCTTGAATACAAAAATAAGCATTTTATTGCCTAAATTGCTAGAAATTATTCCCATAGTGAACATCATTTTTATTATTATTTTTTTTATAATTTTTTTTTACTGTTTTGGCTGAATTACTGCTCCAAGTATGTTGTTATTTTAACAAGTGGCCTTTTGATGCTCCAGTTAATAAACAAACAATCATTACTGTAATTGACAATTATTTCAATAATTGATTAATTGTTTTAGCCTAATAAGTTAAGATCAGAAATATGCAAACTTCATGTGGCTTTACTTAAGTTAAACATATTACACCTATTATTTTTTAAATAATGAATGAAAATGTCATTATTTTTGCTCCTTTTAGAATCAAAGAATATAATAAATTGAACCAAAAGTCTTGTGAGAAAATGAAAGCAACCAGTGTGGAGATTTATTACTGCTTATCACGTCACAGAAAGCTTTTTATTATTATTATTTTACAGTCCTGAGGCCCACAGAGCAGTGGACTCTCCCCAAGTTAATCCTTCAAAACTCACTTCTGACAGAGTAAAGGCAGATTCTTCCTCCCGCAGCTAACAGTGAGATTTTAACTGCAGACTGAACGTCTTTCATATTTCCTGAATTTCTGTTTGTTCCTGTGCTTTTTATCCTGCCTGGTCCTGCAGGATTTTCTCTAGATAGTTGCGATCATTAAGATAAACATGCTTTCTGTGTATTTTTAAGCAACAACGTCATGCAAAGCAGACATGTTTATTGTAGATAAGGTTAAAGTGAAGCTTTGGTTTGTTTTGTCTTCCCCCGTTTCTTATTTCCACGCTGCAGTTTGCTGATTAGTGAATCCAAACACCTCCAGGTTGTCAACATTTCTTCTTATTCAGGTCAATTCAAAATGTTCTTGCTGGACTTTAACAGCGTTGAATCAAAATCAACCTTGATGAATTATTTTGTTACCTTAAAAAAAAGGTTTTGTCTGACTGTATGGTTTACATGAAAGTTGGTATTTTCTGGAAATGTGCCGTGGAGCAAGACAGCTTCCCTCAAACCACTACGGCATGTCGGGGGGGTTGACCCTAACCCTAACCCTAACCCTAACCCTAACCCATCCAGCAGATTGTCTTTGGCTCCTCTTTTATAGTGAGATGAAGCTACATAAGAATCGGTCTCCTATACAGATGCAATCAGTCCTTTATTTTAACAACAATTATTTATTTTCTACCTATTTGACCATTTTTATTGTGAAAAAAAGAATAAGGAAGATATCTGTCTATTTATCAGGATTTTTTTTTATTCACACTGAAGTGAAAACTGGAAATCAACAAGAAACTAGTTACCAGCATAAAAATATGTTTGATTATTTGGACTAAAATGCTATGTTAAGAAAAACAAACCCATAGGGCTGCAACTCTCTAATATTTTAGTAATTAATTATTCTGCCAATTAATCCATTAATCTGTAAAAAAAATAAAAAATGTTTTACACATTTTTCATCAAAACACTTAAGCATTTTCATACAATATTAGAAATACATAAACTACAAAAATATTTTTAATTGATAAAATACATTTTTTGTGCCTAAAACTAAAAGGAAACCTGAAGTTTTTTGTTAAATTTGCAGACAGAAATATTTTATCTTAAATGCATTATACATGGTGCAGTTCTGTCTTAATTCCTGCTCTGAATATATTTTTCAGCAATTGTCTTTTATTATTAATATAACTAGTAATCAATACCTGAAATAATCATTAAGTGCAGCCCTAATTCAAACAAAAGCATTTTTGTTTAAATTAAAAGTCAAGTTTCAAGTTTATTGATCAGACCATCAATACACTGGATCAAGTTTCAATAAACTTGGTGGTGTTATGCCGCTATTCATTAAAAAAGTAATTTAATTCTATTGTAGGAAAAATAAGGAAATAATCAATTTTATTTAATGTGCAAAAAAACTTTAAAAGCGTAAAGATAAAATCTAATCATTGATCAGCTGCACTGTCTGTATTGTCATGACGATAAGTCATTAAAAAAATATGCTGCGTCATCATCCTCCACACACACTTCCTGTTCCTGTCTTCTTCGTGGTTTGCGCCAGTGGTAACATCAGATTATTGATCACGTGATTCGTTTTGAAGACTGTTTTGTTTCTTGCAATGGCCTATAGGACTATCGTAAATAGAAAGAATGTGTAGATTTTAGAAAACAAATATCTGAGAAGTTTTCTGGGAAAAAAAAAGGAAATTGAGTTTGAAAAGTCAAAAATGTATAAAAATAAAATAAAATTTGAGATTAAACTCAGAAATTAAGAGAAAAAAATGTCGAAATTTCAGTTTGAAAAGTTGAAAAAAAGGAAAACAAATTTCTAGAAAACGTAGATATTTTTGTAATAAAATCTGACATCTTCTTTAAAAAAAAAAAACGTGTAAATTTCTGTTTCAGAAAATTTCCAAAAGCTGAAAATGTTCATAAATTTCAAAGTTTTATTTTTCTCAAAGATTTCTCAGACTAATCTACATTTTTTGGAGTTTATTTTAGGCGAAAATGTACTTTTATTTTTCCCAATACACCTTCATGTGTATTAGGATCATGGTATATTTGTTAAGACAAAAAGTTTCTTCCTTTCATCTTAGAAATTTCCTGACACATTGTTAGGAATTAGAATAAAACATCTTGTTGTCACAGTGCAGTAAAACCACTGAGTACTAAGTTTACCAACATATTTTGCACATATTGTTTGTTGCCTTACCTGCACAGCTCCCTTCCCGGTCTGGATGCCCATTGAAGCCAGGCCTGCCTTCAGCTCGGAAACATCCACTTTCCCATCCTTGTTGGTGTCCAGCTTGGCGAACAAATCCTTGTACGTCTTGGGCGGATCTTCGGCGCACCGACAGTCCGTAAAGATCAGCTTCCTCAGTGCGGGATACATGGCGTAGCCTTGAAATATCTCAGAAAACGAGGCCTGCGGAGCTGCACAGACGAACCGAGCAGCAACAGCGATGGGGAAACTCGCAGATCGGCTGCTGCGGTTGGCGCTTTTGGTTTCAGGCAGAAGGATCGCAACGTCTGATTTCCACACCAATATCCGCGCTGCAGCCTGGAGAAGAATCTCCTACAGGGTCGCTGGAGAGGGAAAGTAAATGGATAAAAATGTTTGAGTAAAAAAGTTTGGATCGGATGAGGTAGGCTGGCAGCAGGGTGGGGAAAGGGCTCGGCTCGGTCGGTCTGGAAAGACCTCCTTCTTTTACTGCACAAACATGTTACAGACACACCCATCCAACGACCAGACAATCCCCAGCTACACTTTACAGGGGAGCGTAAAACTGTTCCTGAAACTCCTCCCAGTCATGCGCTGATGGTAAACTTTATGGTTGCTTTTACCATCCCGCAGAAGCTGCAAATATCGCCACAAAATATCAGCATACCCAAAAGAATCCGCCAGGTGGCGCCAAAGCTCACTCGGCAGCTCAATTAGAATAATAACTTTTGACTCGCTTTGACTAAAATTTCCACGTCCATGTTTTATGTATTTGACGAAAGGAAACATATTTCAAAACATTGCAGTGCTAAGTTTGAACCACGAGGTGGCGACAACGTACTAGACGACAGCAGCCGGTTCCGCTGTTTTAATCTGTGCCATCTGTGCTGATGTTCTCCGTCTGACCGGCAGGGGGAGATCGAGAAAAGAGGCGGGCTTTTATTTTGAAACTCCAGGGGATTAAAGTTGTCCCCGCTGCATTTCTCTTTAAACTACAATTATTTGAAAGTAAAAGGCATTTTATATATATATATATATATATATATAAAATTCCTTTCTCACCCACCACGGGTGGTTCTTATCCTCTGAGCTCGGGTCCTCTACCAGAGGCCTGGGAGCTTGAGGGTTCTGCGCAGTATCTTGGCTGTGCCAAGGACTGCACATTTCTGGACTGAGATGTCTGATGTTGTTCCTGGGATCTGTTGTAGCCACTGCTCCAGTTTGGGGGTTACTGCCCGAGGGCCCCGATGACCACAGGCACCACTGTGGTCTTCACCTTCCAGGCCCTCTCCAGTTCTTCCCTGAGGCCCTGGTATTTCTCCAGTTTCTCGTGCTCCTTTTTCCTGATGTTGCAATCACTTGGTATTGCTACATCTACCACAACGGCTTTCCTCTGATGTTTATCCACTACGACAATGTCTGGTTGGTTCGCCATTACCATTTTGTCTGTCTGGATCTGGAAGTCCCACAGGATCTTAGCTCTGGCGTTCTCCACCACCTTTGGGGGTGTTTCCCACTTTGATCTCGGGGTTTCCAGTCCATATTCTGCACAGATGTTTCTGTACACTATGCCTGCCACTTGGTTATGTCGCTCCATGTACGCTTTCCCTGCCAGTATCTTGCACCCTGCTGTGATGTGCTGGACTGTCTCAGGGGCCTCCTTGCACAACCTACACCTTGGGTCTTGTCTGGTGTGGTAGATCTGGGCCTCTATTGCTCTGGTGTTTAGGGCCTGTTCCTGGGCTGCCAGGATGAGGGCCTCTGTGCTGTCCTTGAGTCCAGCTTTTTCCAGCCATTGGTAGGATTTACTGATATCAGCCACTTGGGTTATTTGCTGGTGGTACATCCCATGTAGGGGTTTGTCCTCCCATGATGGTATCTCTGGCACCTCAACCTCCGTTCCCTGTTGTCTGAGACATTCACTGAGCACATTGTCTGTTGAGGCTTTGTCCCTGATGTATTTATGGATCTTAGTTGTTTCGTCCTGGACAGTGGTTCTCACACTCACTAGTCCTCTGCCTCCTTCCTTGCGGCTCGTGTACAGTCTCAGGGTGCTGGATTTGGGATGGAACCCTCCATGCATTGTTAGTAGCTTTCTGGTCTTAATATCTGTGGCTTTTATCTCCTCCTTTGGCCAGCTAATTATTCCAGCAGGGTATCTGATTACTGGCAAGGCATAGCTGTTTATCGCACAGATTTTGTCTTGCCATTGAGCTGGCTTCTCAGGACTTGCCTTATTCGTTGGAGGTATTTAGCTGTGGCTCCTTTCCTTGTGACCTCATCGAGGTTGCCATTTGCTTGTGGTATACCTAGGTACTTGTAACTGTCCTCTATGTCTGCTATTGTTCCTTCTGGGAGTGAGACCCCTTCTGTGTGGATGACCTTCCCCCTCTTTGTGACCAGCCGACCACATTTCTCTAGTCCGAATGACATCCCAATGTCAGTGCTGTAGATCCTGGTGGTGTGGATCAGTGAGTCGATGTCTCGCTCACACTTGGCGTACAGCTTGATGTCATCCATGTAGAGTAGGTGACTGATATTGGCCCCATTTTTGAGTCTGTATCCGTAGCCAGTCTTGTTGATAACTTGGCTGAGGGGGTTCAGGCCTATGCAGAACAGTAGCGGGGACAGAGCATCTCCTTGGTATATGCCACATTTGATGGACACTTGTGCAAGTGGTTTGCAGTTGGCTTCAAGGGTGGTTTTCCACAGCCTCATCGAGTTTGCAATGAAGGCTCTCAGAGTCCTGTTGATGTTATACATCTCTAAGCATTCAATGATCCAAGTATGCGGCATTGAGTCATAGGCTTTCTTGTAATCAATCCAAGCCATGCACAGGTTGGTGTGTCGGGTTTTGCAGTCTCGGGCAACTGTGCGGTCTACGAGGAGTTGGTGTTTGGCTCCTCTGCTATTTACACCGATACCCTTCTGTGCCGTGCTCATGTATTTATCCATGTGTTTGCTTATCTTGGCCGCTATGATGCCTGACATGAGCTTCCAGGTTGTGGAGAGGCAGGTTATTGGTCGGTAGTTGGGTGGGACTGGACCCTTTGATGGATCCTTCTGGATTAGGATTGTCCGCCCTTCAGTTAACCATTCAGGGTGAGTCCCACTTTGTAGCAGCTGGTTCATTTGGGCTGCCATTCGCTCATGGAGAGCAGTGAGTTTCTTTAGCCAGTAGGCATGGATCATGTCAGGCCCTGGTGCTGTCCAGTTTTTCATACCTGAGACTCTTTCTTGGACATCTGTCACAGTGATGGTTACCGGGGCTTGCTCAGGGAGGTTGCTGTGGTCCTCTCGTAGAGAGATCAGCCACTGTGCATTGCTGTTGTGGGACGCCTCCCTTTCCCATATGCCTTTCCAGTATTGTTCCGTCTCCAGCCTTGGTGGGTCTGCTCTGTTGTTATTGTTACCCTGCCATTGAGAGTACACCTTAGCTGGTTGAGTGGAGAAGAGCCGGTTAATCCTTCTGGATTCATTCTCCCTTGTGTATCTCTTTAGGCGGCTGGACAAGGCTTGGAGCCTCTGTTTGGCAGTCTCGAGTGCTTCAGGTATGGGCATCTGCCTGTACTTTCTGGGTACTGGTCTTTTCATTGCACCCTTGTGGAGCTCTGACAGTTGGCTCACTTCCCTCCTTGTTACCTTGATTTTAGCCTCTAACCGTCTTTTCCATGGTGGGTATTGGGTCTCATGGTTGCTCTTATAGCCAAGTATCTCAAGGATCACTGATGCTGAGTTGTAGATCAGCTCATTGGTTTCTGTTATGGTGTTGGTAGGGATCGTTCTCAATGCTGCATTCACATTCTCAATGAGACTTTCAGATGGTACTTCACTCAGCCGTTGTAATTGGCGCCGGGGAGGCCTGGTTGTCATTCGGGTCATGATTCTCTCTCTCAGGTCAGCAGCTGTCTCGTTCAGCTCTGTTTCGCTCATTGGGGCCGTGTATCCCCTCACTGGGTGGGGACTTGTAGTTAAGTCCCCACAGTCCTGACATCCGGGTTCCTCCCTTTTGCCGTAGCATTTGTGTTGTATCTCGTCAATCTCAAGTTGTGATAGCAGTTGCCGTTTGCGGATGTTGGAACACTGAGCTACTAGTTGTTTAGCGCTTAGTGTTGACTGGGGATGTCGAAGTAACCATTCCTTCCCCAGTCTTTGCATGTAACCTCTCTCACTAGGGTTACTTGAGTAGTAGCATTCCAACAGATCCACATTTTCATCTCTCCCATTTCCGTCTTGTTCCAGTAGCCCATTTGTCATCAAGGTGCTCTGGTTCCCCAACACCTGACGCAGACCTTGTTTGGCCGGGCGACGTCTGAGCCGGCATGTTATGCAACTTAGTATCTCTCATGGTATGAGGTAGGCAGTAGCTTGAAGGGTCTTGCCTAAGGACCCAGACTGGATTCGAACCCTGCCCTCTCGGGTGATATACTGATGCCTTATGTATTGAGCTATCCAGTCATATATATATATATATATATATATATATATATATATATATATATATATATATATATATATATATATAAAGACAACATAAAAATGCTGACAAGTACAAATAAAAACATATATATATATATATATATATATATATATATATATATATATATATATATATATATATATATATATATATATATATATATATATATATATATATATATATTTATTTTTTTTTAATAAAATGAATCTCAAGTAGAATTTACAGGCATTACAACTGAAAATATTGTATGCATATTGATGCAGGCTTTAAAAAATATGCTTTTTGGTTTGTACTACAATAATGATAATAATGATTGACTGCTAAAGAACCCTTTATTATTAAAAAAAATTGAAAAAGTTTATTAAACAGAATATTATGAGGAATATGTACTTCAGTTTTCAATACAATTAATGGTTAGATTTACTAAATAACTTCATGTGTGGAGAAAAACACATGGGACAAGTTGTGATGAATTTCCTATTCAGTTTATAATTACCAAGATCTGTTAGAAGCAAGTTTTAGTAAGTAGAAAAACTCACATGTTTTATTGTGCCATCATCAAACTGTGACTTGAAAATGCCCTCGAAACAACATTATTATTTATTTCCATGTTTTTTTAGGGAAAAAACATGAAAATTATTGAGTTTGAATAGTTGAAAGTTTGCCAGAAAATCCTCAGAAATTTTCTAGGAAAACATGAAAATGTCTGAATATGGAAAGATAAAAAAATTGCTGGAAAACACTCAAACGTTGATATCAGAAAATTGAGAATTGTAAAATTTCTCAGATTCATAAGTTGAAGTTTCAAAAGTCAAAATTTTTTAACTTTGACATTTTCAAGTTTTCTCTAAAATTTTCTGAGTTTTTCTAGCAAATTAGCATTTTTTTGAAACTCAGAAATTTTCTGTTTTTCTGAAATCCTTTTAATCCACAAATTTCTTATTTTTTTCTAGCAAATTTCTGACTTCTCAGTCAGAAATGAAATTGTTCTTTCTAGAAAATTTCTTAGTAGATGTTTACTTCTCCTTTTCAAACTTATATATCATGGTTCTAAAAATCCTCTATCAGTCAAATTAAATATTTTACTTGCTTTTTACAGATTTACGATTTTAACAAAAACATTTTTGTTTCATTAGTACAAAAAGAGTGGAACGTCCGCCTTATGCTTTTACTTTGACAGCCTAAACAGGAAGCACATCCATTTAGCGTTGCGTGTGCGGCATTGACGGTCTGTTGTCATCCGGAGCTCCTCCTCCGCCGTCCTCCCACAACAACACTCCGGTGAGCCAGAAGAAGAGCACACAATGGGGCTGTAATGTCCGCGACGCCTCGGGTCGGAGCATCTCCTCGCAACCGCCGGGACCGTGTATGGATTTAATGATGATGAAGAAGAAGAAATTCAAGTTCCGGGTGGATTTTGAGCTGGACGAGCTGTCGTCGGTCCCCATTGTCAACGGCGTCCTCTTCTGTAAAGTCAGGCTGTTGGATGGCGGCTTCTCTGAGGAATCTTCACGGTAAAAAGGAAAATACAGTTTTCTGTCCCCGTTTGGCGTTTAACTCCGCGGTTTTAACCCGTCCAGAAACGTTAACATATAGTTAGCTAAATGCTACACGACTAACGTTAAAAACGAGCCAATTAGTCAAATTAATATAATTATAAAGCTGATGTAAAATTAACATCGTTCAGGATATTTATGTTAAATATAATATAATATGATAAATTTGTACTTCAACTTTTCCCAAATTGTACCTCAAAAATCCAATTTATCTTCAAGTCGTGAAGGTAACACCTGCAGAGTGTTGAAATAATTCAGGCCATCATAATTGTGTTTATTTAATATCTGATTAGCAGATCAGTTGGAAAGGAAGCACTGTTGTACCATAATGTATATAATACACCTGAGCCCTATTTGTAATAAATATGTTAGTTACTGATAAGAGTTGTTTATTAAAACAGCCAATTTAGTCTCACAGAAATGGAAAAATCTCTAAAATTATGGATCTATTTTGTAAATAATAACAAAAATGTTCTTTCAGATGCTTCTCATACAAAAGTTTTCTTCGTTTGAGGAAGAACAGTAAACTAAAAAACCAGTTAGACGGCCCAGGATCCCATATATATGTATATATATCTACACTAATGAAAAATGTTTCCAAAACATTCTGCATTAACAAACGATGAGTGACAATTTGAAAGAGTCAGTTTGTGTTGATTTAGAAACAAATGTTCATGTTTTTAGTGTCAATTACTGTGAAATATCGCTAAACATACAGGCTTTTCACAACAGCAGATTTTGCTGGATGATAAATTGTCGCAGAAGTTTAATGCTTTAAATAATAATGTTGTTTTGAAATGCAAAAACCCATGATCAAAAATTAATAAACTTTAAATTTATTGATTTTTAACTTCACACTGAACTGGAAGACATTTTAAATATCTATAAGAAACAAACAAAATGAATCATGAAGTCTCCGTAAACAAACTTGTACTTCAAAAAAGGGATCGTTGAAACAGACTGAAGATTTTTATCATCCAGTTTTTGGTAGAAAGAGAAAAATGCTAAATCATAGAAATGATTTATCATGATTTATTGATCATTGTGACAATCTTCCCAACCAAACTCTGGACTCCAATGATGCTGGATGGTAACCGCTGAGCATCAATGTATACAAACTTGTCACAGTTGCTGTAAGATTTTATGTATTTTGGTTGGAAGAAGGTAATTTAAAAATAATGGCCACCAGTCTGCCTGTATGAAAGAAAAGTGTGTGTGTGTGTGTGTGTGTGTGTGTGTGTGTGTGTGTGTGTGTGTGTGTGTGTGTGTGTGTGTAGGGAACCAAAACTCTGGTTTTTGGTTCCCTACACACACAACAAACCAACCCGATGCTTTGAGAGCGAAGTAGAGAGTGGGCAGGTCAAATCTCAAGAAAAAACTGGAAAGTGGTATCTTCTGAAAAAGCTTGATCATTTTATTCTGGTTGTTTTGTTTGTTTGTTTGTTTTGAATTAAAAACTAAGAAATTTGAAGCTTGCATTTGCTGGATCACAAAAACTGACATTCTTTGGATCTTTATTAGTTGATTCCAAGCAATGGAAACGTATAGATGCAGTGAGATGAGTGCAGTCATGTTAAAAGAAAGTACACCCTTTTGTCAGCTCCTGGGTAATTTGGCTCATTTTTGAAATCTTAACTCAAGTTTATGAAGTTAATCCCAACAAATGTGATTTCTAAAATAGAAAACACTGGATAAATCCAATATGGCACATGTAAAAAACATATTTTTAAAAAATGTTTCATGACTCTACGTGTCTGCTTTGTTCATCCTGAGCAATAATATTTGTTTCCTATCAGGAAGATGAAGCTGCTTTTTTTAAATCAAAAACTGTTCATGTGGAAATAATTCAAGTAGTTTGTTTAACTTGAAATCTGAAGTCCTATAAAGGATACATGTGCAAAGGCTGATAGTAATTTAATACCTTTTCATATACAAATATGTCAAATAATTCATTCTATTAATTCCAGAAGATCAGATTTAATAGTTTGTTTTCTTATCCCAAGTCATTTGTTTTTGACAGTTACATTATTTATTATGTTCTATGGATTTTATATATATCACATGCTGCAAGTATGGATGTAATGTTGGTAATAAACCATTAAATAACTGTTTTTTTCTATTAAAATATTCAAATTATGAACAAATAGAAGAAAAAAAACATTAAAAGCAGAGCAGTTGACCCTGCCAGGGTCATGTGACTCTTTTAGCTGTAAAACCGTTTAAGAGCAGTGGTTGGAAATATCACCAAACTGTAAAACTGTAGAGAAAGACGACGTCCAAGCGGCTCTCTGCGACAGGAAATGACCTGCATCCTTTATGCACCGTAACCCTGAGTTACTGAGTCATGTTTATGCTGTTATTGCCGACAGGATGACGCAGGAAAAGTCCAGCTGCTGATGGGCTTTAACGCCGACCGAAAGGAGAGCCGCTGTTTCAGGGTGATGCAAACCACCTGAAACATTTGCACAAAAAAACAGGATAATTTGATTTGTTTTTAGGGTTGTGGCAATAATAGATGTTTAAAGGTTATGCTTACTTTTAGATGTCTGCTTTGTCCCCATTTACTTTCTTTGGTACATCTGTTTTTTTTTACATTTAATTAGATGGACTGATCACATTTTTCCCAGCCAAAACCAATTAGTTAATTTCAAGCCACCATTGGCCAAAATCTGAGTCGGCAGGTTCGGCTTTTTAAAAGTCAGAGACCAGCCAGAAAATTGGAATCCCGACTAATTTCTGAATTTATTTTATGTTTTATTTCATTTTTTTTCAGCATTTGACTGAAATGCTGACTTAAAAAAAACTGCCTGATTCCAATCTCTGGCCATTTATTGCTTCATCACTCGTAATCAAATTGCTGTTCAGACGCGTCAAAAAACTACAGAGGAGAAGAAAGAAAAACATAAACAGATAGAAGTCTTAAAATTACAAGAATAAACTTGTAATAATGAGAAGGAAGTTGTAATATTACGAGAAAAGACGTCAAAATATGTAAAAGCAAAGTTGTAATAATAATAGTCGTGATATTACAAGAATTGTTGTAATTACAAAAATAAAGTCGCGTGAATAAAGAGAATACATGACTACAATCGTAATACATATAAGTCATAATACACAAATAAAGTCATAATAACACTTAAATAAGCCTGTTATGTGAATAAATTTGTTGCAATAATTCCCAAATAGAGTGGTAATAATACCATATTATTATGACTTTATTCTTGCACTAGAATAAAGTCATAAGTTGTAATAAAACAAGATAAAAAATGTAACAATATAAGACAATCATAATGATAAGACAAGTCGTAATAATGAGAAGTAATAGCACAAGAATAAAGTCGTAATAATACGAGAATAAAGTTTTAATGACTATTCTCTCAATACTAACTAAATCCAGTTATTTCTCTCTATTCTTTTACAATTTCATACTCATAATGTTTTGACCTGATTCTCCATTGTAACAAACTGTAGTTCAGTTGCTGCTTCTCTTTAAGTGAATCTGTTGTCTTGGAATGGAGAGCTGCTGTCGTTTCACCAGACACCTGAAAGAAAGGAGAGGCGGGATTTATTTAACCCAGACCGTCTCACACCGGATAATCGGATTTATCAGCACAGAGCAACGCTTCGAGCCGCGGAGCGTGAACCATGAAGAAGAGCCAGAATCCCGACGCTGGGAGTTCTCTCCCAAGACTATTCACTCGGGATGAAGCCAGCATTTGTACAACATTAGTCACACATCTGCTGGTTTTTATTTATAGTGACGTGGAGCAGAATACACATTTCACCACATGGTGCTAATTTTTAACTCCATTTTCTCCTGCATTTAACAACATGTTGCATTTCTTTAAAAATGTGGAAACACTGAAAGGAAAAAACGTCCAGAACTGGGAGAAAGTGAGGTAATTTACGGCATGTTGGGCTGTACAAACAGATCGGAGATGTGAGTGGGAGAGCAGAGGACGCCAGTGAAAGTGAAGCCATCTGTGGTATCGTAATTCTGCCCACGCACTCATCCTTTCTCTTTCACTTCATCCCGTCAGTTCTGCTGGAAACTCACGTGCAGAACGGACTGGGAAGCCATTTTTCTGCCATCGCAACGCACGGATTCCCGTTACATGAAGCAAAAACAGCAATTAATCAGCTCAGTTATCAAGAAAATCACAGGATAATTGATACTAGTTTGTGTTGACTGGAACCAGAATATTTTAACCTGGTCTCAGTGGATTTATTTAGTACGATGCAGCATTAAGGATGTATTAGAAAAATAAAATATAAAATGATGATGAACTTAGAAAATCACAAAAATAACCTCATATGAGAAAGAAGTGGAACTAATATGAGAATGAAGTTACAATAAGTTGTATTTTGAAAAAAGTATTACTAAAAGTCGTAATATTCCAAAAATAAAGTCAAACAAGAATAAAGTCACATTCAGTTATATTTTGAAAATAGTCTGAGTAGATATAATATTACAAGAATAAAATCTATCATCATCATGTATTTATGAAGTGTTTAAATCCCAAAGTGCTGAACAAGATGCATCATAATATTGTCCAAAATAAGCCGAATCAGTCGGTGCATCTCAACTTTCTCAAATCTATTTTCCGTCACAACAAGTTATTTTAGCAACAAAAAGATCAAAAACCTTTATTTAGCCTTGTTTTGTGCTAAAATAATTTTCATACTTGAAAAGAAACGTCTTAATAAATGTTTTTGCCACAATCATCCTCAACGTTCGGTTGAAATTTGTCCTTTAATGCCGCCGTGCGCAGCCTGTGCGGCCGTGATGTCTGACCTGACACGGGCTTAAAGGTCATCTAATCCTTTGTGACTTCCTGTTGCAGGGAGCCGGTGCAGGCCAACTGCGTCCGATGGAGGAAACGCTTCTCTTTTCCGTGCAAGATGAGCGCCAGCGCAGGAACCGGCGTGCTGGACCCCTGCATGTGTCGCGTGTCGGTCAGGAAGGTTTGTAAACGGTTCAGATTCTGGTTCCGATCTGAAACCTGAAAGTTTGATGTGAAACCTGAAATAACATTCACCAAGAGGAGAACTTGAGTTATTTATCTTTGTGTTCCTGTTGCTTTTAATAATCATAATCCGACATGTCAGGGATTAAAATGGACAGATTATCATCTTGCTTCTGACCTTTCTGCTTTTTTCTTTTTCAGGAGCTCAAGGGCGGAAAAGCGTACGCAAAGGTAATCATTATGTACTTAAAGGGTGAAATACAAATATTGGAAATGCAAATGTTGACAAAGAGTCCATATTTGCTTAAAATGTCTGTAAAATCCTTGTTTTTTCTTTTTGGAATATTTTATTATCAATGTAGAAATAAGAAAGTTTTGCTGTTTTCTTGTAGCTGAAACAATTAATCCCAATCAATTAATCAATAACTGGAGGAGATTTACTGAGAAAAACATTTTCAGCCAAAACTGTTCAAAATGTTTCTACATTTTGCATTTAAGTTAAAAACATGTTTGTCTGTAAGTCTGTTTTAGCCAAAACTCGGCAGGTTTTAACTTTACCCAGTTCAGATTTATCAAAGGAAAGGAGTTTTTTTTATGTACCTTTTCCTACTTTAAAAAATGAATTATTTATTTTAATAATTTGCTGCTGAGCAACATGATCATACTCTAATCTCTACCAAGTGGCAACCAGCCTCAGAAAAACTGAAAGATATTTTATTCCTTTGTTCTCATATTTCCGCCTGTTAATGTTTGTATCTGCAGACAGGAAGTGGAAAAAAGGTTCACCTTGTTTTGTTTTGTCTCCTTCAGCTCGGTTTTGCAGATCTGAATTTAGCAGAGTTTGCCGGCTCAGGAAACACAACTCGAAGATGTCTGCTGGAAGGCTATGATACCAAAAATACCAGGCAGGATAACTCCATTCTCAAGGTAACATCTGCGTGCTACCTTTAAATACAAGGCAATAATCAGATTTAAAACCAGTTTTATTCTCCGTAGGTTATCATCGGCACGCAGCTCATGTCGGGGGATCCCTGTTTCAAAACGTAAGTTTGAAGAACATGTTTCTTCTTGTAGACTTTTAAAAAAACGTAGCAGGTATTTCTGTGTTCACACAGCAGGAAAATGCAACCAAACTCCAACTATTTAATGACCAAATTCCAAATTTCTCACCCATAAAAGTCTGATTTGTTTTCCCTCCTGTAAATCTGAACATATAATCTCCTACATTGTTTTGCTTCATGGTGAAGAGAAATGTCCACTGATTCCTTTATTTTCTAACTCACTGTAAGGTCACTTGACGTTGACCTCTGCACTTTGCAACCTGACCTGCTTTGAACATGTTCAGAAAAATACAAACTAAATTTTAATACATTTTTAATGATTGAGCCTTATAACATAATAACTCAAAAAATGAACAGAGCCAAACAATAAAAGATTAATAAAAATAATTTGTTATATTTATAACTTCTAATGCCAAAAAATTAAGGATGTAAAAGCCTTAAATTGAAGCACCTAAAATTAAGGCCTTAAAATGTCTTGATTCATTAAAAAAAGTAAATTGGTCTTCAATATGTTAATATCTTAAATTTAGCTCACTAGCTTTTTTTGAGACCATCATTGGTAATTGTTTTTGCCACTGACTCACTTCAGTAATCCCCTATATTTATGGTTTTTTTGGTCTTAAATTTAAATAATTAAACATCTGTAGGAACTCTGTTTATTTAATTTAACATCTTTATGCCAAAAACTGAAGATGGCGTTCAGAAAGAAAAGTTTCTTTACCCTTTAAGGTAAGAAACATTTTTCCCCCAATTTGAGTGCAACTGTTGAGTTTAATGCTTGATATTAATCCATATTCTTGAGTTTAAATCAGCAACGCCTTGTCTTTACTTTGGGTTTTTTTTCTTGTAATTGAAATGCAGATAAAGCCACATTGTGTTTCTCCTGTCCAGGCCTCCATCCACAGCCACAGTGATCGGGATCCAGAGTGACGGAGAGAGCCTGCTGGAGGAGCGGCGGGGCGGAGACTCACAGAAAGGCTTTTCTGGTGAGAAATCAAGAGGCATCTGCAAACAACCGTAAACTTTAACTGCCTTCTCTGACACCACCAGAAACTGCCCGTGTGTTATTTGTTTAATAATAAATTAATATCTGAAAATGGAAGGAGCACAACTGAAAACCTACCAAGACATCACATCTAAAATTTAGAAACAATTAGAGGAGGTTTACCTGGAGGTTTGTTCAAAATCCAATGGCTTTGCTTCGATTACAAATTTATGCAAAATTTTGTAGATATTCCGCTAATGTAAAAAAAACAACAATTAAATTGCAATTGTGGTTTGTACATAAAATAAAAAGCACAATTGAAATTACATTGCATAAGAAACAATTTAAATTACTAAGTTTGTTCACGCAATAAGTCATTAAAAAACAAGCAGCGCCATCGTCATCCTACCACTTCCTGTCGTCTTCTTTGTCGTTTCCGCCAGTAGTAATATCTGGTTGTTGGTCACATGACTCGTGTGAGAAGAAGTGTTTCCTTTGCAGTTTTGATGCTGCTGAAAAACACTTTATATTGAAAAACTTTTATATTTTTCTAAATTGACTCATCCAGAGAGAACATAAGCTTACTTTCCATTTTGTATATTTGTTAAAAACATCTAAAACTGCATTTCACCCCCTTTTTTTTTAGCTTTGTATTGTTCTATCCCATAAAATCCTAATATAAAACTAAAGTTTGTGAGAAAATATATCATTTAAATTATGGCTAAAATGATTAATCAGATTAATTGTAATTAATCGTTTATTGAAATAATCATTAACTAGTTTAGTAATTGATTAATTGGAGTATACAGACACAAAAAAGGTAAATTTACTAAAAAAAAAAACAACATACAGATACTAATCAAGTCAAAACCATACAAAATACATTTACTGTTGGCATTTAAGACACAAGATTCAGTGAAGAAATGCGATGCTTTAACGTATAAAAATGTTTATTCTGTTATTTAAAAAGGAATGTATTCATTTGCAATTTTTAAATGTCTGTAATATTGTGTAAAAAGTCTTAAGTGGTAAAATGGAAAGTCTGTAGATTTTGCTAATTTTCTTTCAGATTAATTGTCGCAATAATTGATTAAAATAACTGATGTGAACAGTTGAGAGTTTCGCTGTGCAACCTCATGCAAAACACACACTGAGTTATTCAGACGCTTCCTAATTCTGCACATGATCTGCTTTTCAGCGTAGCCTATAAAATCGAGGCAGTAAATAAGTAAATAACGGAGCCGTCTGATCTGATAATCCGTGGATTTCCCTGCAGTCATTAGCTGCAGCGCTGAGGCATTTTATCGCAGCAGCTGAGCCAAATGACTCTGCGTTGCAAACCATCTGGTGAGTTAACTCAGCTTCATCGCGCTCTGTTCCTGCAGATTACATTTTCCTGAAGTGGTGATGAATAAATCTAGCTGTTTTCGGCTAAACTAAATATTTCAAGAGCTGTTCAGCTTCAGTTTTCTGCAGTAAATGCTTGTAAGCCAATTTAAAAGCAAGAGAAACCAAACTTTGTTCACTTATGCAGATATAATTCTCACTTCTTCCCACTGTAAAATGTTAAAGTTTTATCAACATAATAGTTTTATTTGGGTGTTTCTTCAGCTTCATTCCTTTTGACATCAGAGTCTCTTCCTCTTCTGTGTCTTCATGGGTGAACACATTGCAGTATTGAATAGAAGAGTGCTTTCATGTATAATTCAAACAGCCTCTTTTAGATTAACTACAATCTGTTCTGACCTGTGGGCTTTCACATGTTTAAAAATAGGACGTCTGTTCAGGGGGAAACGGCGTCGGCTGTGTTGGTTTAATGTCTCAGTAAAATGGTTTTTTTACATCCTTTGTTTAATATTAGTTTCATTATTTCACCCATCTGAGCACAACATGCTGCTCCAGTTAAATCCCAGCATCATTTAGCAAACATGGAAACTCGGTGACCCCAAGATGCTACTGTAAAACTGTAAAATGTCCATTTTTGTTGCAAACTAACTTTAATCAGCACATTTTGATTTAATCTCAGTGTTTTTTGGTATTATTCTTAGGTCTCTTTCACAGTAACATTTTTTAATTTTCCAAAGAACATTAACACTGCAACAGGAAGATGTTTTAATTATCCAAAATAGACAATAAATAAAATGGATTATGAAGTCACAGCAAATCAGAACTGCACTTCAAAACATAAATAATAATGTTTTGCCAGCAAGTAAATCCAATTTGCCAGTTTTGCTTAACTGGGAAAACTGGCAGTCAGGACTTGTGCAACAAACAAATCCAAACTGACCACTTCATGTTTCCTAAATTCTTCAAAATGGAAACGTCTCAGTAATATTAAAGGGAAGCATCACTTTGTTATTATGCAAATGGAATTTATTGCGCTCCATTTAATTTAATGCAATTAATTGATTCACTGCTTATTGTGACAGGCTTAATTAAACTAATTCCAGTTGATTAAATCTTGTAAAATTTTATTTTTGTCTACTAAACTATTAAACTACAAAGGAATGCATTTTTCATTCATCAGTAAAAATTTTATTGTGAACCAAAAACACTTAATTTTGTGTCTTAAAGCAACTTTAGGCTTTTTCCAGCTCCTGCCTCCTTTGCAAACTAGATGAGTTATTTAGATTTTGTCTGGAAATTAAATGTTATTCAGAGAAACTGAAATTATTTTTATTAGCCTAAATTACAGCTTTTTATCTCCTAGAACTTAAATTCTCAGGGATTTTATCTGATGCTTCTGGTTTTTTATCAACACAAACATAACATTTATTCTCTTTGCTTAATCCTGGTAAATCTGCTCACTGCAGCTGCATTTCCATAAATTGTGCAAATTGTCATTACGAAAATAAAATTACTTAATGGAAACATGGCGACTCCGAAAAAAGTGAAACGTTTTGGATGAGGTGGTTTTTCGCCTGCATCAAATTAGTTTATTTTGCAAAACTGAAGTGGAAGCAGTTTTTTTTTTTTTGCGTTACACTGACAACCGGATGTTACTACTGCTGGCAACGACAAACATCGACAGGAAGTGGAGAAAGCAGACGGTGCGGCATGACTTTTAATGACATCGCGAGAACAAACATTCGTTTTAATTAAGTTTCTTATGTAATGGAAACACTGCAACTGCAAAATAGTATTATTTGCAACATTAGTGGAATATCGACAACGTTTTGTGAGTATTTCTAATGGAAACTCTGCTAATGATGGCAACATAAACATGGCTCCTCCTCCAGCCGAATGGACAATTACTAAAAAAAATGGGCCTCTGTGTCACCTTGTATTAATATTTCAGGGTGACAGAAGTTTTAGGTAACTTTGGAAAATAACTTGCATAAGAATATTTATAAGAATATTGCAGATTCTGGCAATATTTCTCCACCATTTTGTGGCTCAGAAGCAATTTCATAACTCTGGTTATTCTTTGTGATTCACACATTTGCAGCGAACACTCAGAGGGCTTGAAATGAAATGATCCACTTTGTCCTTCCTCATCCAGGTGAAAGCCGAGAAGGAAAGTGTCCCGTCATGTCAGACGATCCGGGAGGCTGTGGCCACTCCCGGACCTCCAGCTACGCCAGCCAGCAGTCCAAACTCTCAGGTAGATCATCACAGCCTCTAAAAACTATTACAGTGTTTTTTTAACTCCTGTTGTTCAGTGACTCAGGTAAAACTAAAAGTAACCTTCGGTTCGAGGAGGACAGAAAGTGAAATCAATTTCCGGGATGAGCCACGGCTCCGTTCAAAGCCGGAGGCTCCGGTTTCCAGCGCCGGCAGATCAAATGGCACGAACAAACGATTAGAGGAAGTGGATAAGCGCAGAGATCGACTGCAGTGCCTCGCTCATGAAGGGCGGAAACGCGTTTTCTTTTTCCTGTCTCATGCAATGCTTTTTAAGATTTGTTCAAACCTCAGATTAGTTTGCAGGAAGTCGTCTGTCTCACGTCTGATGCCCTCAGATGCATTTTGCCCTTAAAGAGCTTCCTGCAGACATGAAGCTTTTGTTGCAAAAATGCAAAATAATTATTGATAAGTGGAAAATGGGCAACTCTTATGCCACCTCACAAATCAGAAATTTAGAATATAATTGGAGAAGTTTAGTAATTCCTACAGATAACCAGAAAGTGTTTCTGTGAAAAATATATTTTTAAATAAGACCAATAACTATAAAAATTGGCCTAATAAGAGGCACCAATTTTCAACAAATATCTGCAGGCACGTTACAAGACAAACAGTTCAGAAACGATTCATTTTGACCAAATGTGCTGGAACTCAGCAGGCGTTGCTAGGTAACCGGCTGGGCTTCGCTGGGGTTGCTAGGTAACGAGTTGTGGCTTCTGCAATCGCTCTTTTTCCAGACACCAATAAAAATTCAAATGTATGCTTATGATGTTGATCCCAAAGGGAAATTAAACGTTCAGATTCTCGATGTATTTATTCAATGCCAAAATAAATGTTTTGGCAACGTTTTCTGTTTTTATTTTGTCTATTTTCAGAAACAGTAGAGACCCAAATGGAAGTATAAAAGCGTCTTTAACAGTGGCCTCCAGTTTATTACTATTATTTAATGAATCTGCGTGGTATTTGGTGTTCACCAGGCTACAGCACCGGTCACTCCCGCTCCTCCAGCATGTCCGAGTTCAGCCACCGGAGAAACCACTCCGTGGGCAGCGCGTCCACGGGAATCGGCAGCATCCCGGAGCCGAGCGAGGAGCGAGAGTCCAAACCCTGTCCGGCCGTGCCGGAGAACCCGGTTCCCACCGCAACCACGGGAAACCCACCGGGCACGCCGGTGCGCAGTTCCTCGTCCTGCGAGCGACTGAACAGGCGAGTTTATCGGCAGCTCTGCATGCGGAGCAGCAAACCGATGGGTTTTTATCACCAAGTTAAATCCTTGAAAATGCGAGAATTTCAGGCAGATGTTTCCAAAGTTTGGAAAGTTCTTGATGCTCAAACGGCAGTTTTGTAATAAGGTCCAATCTAACATTCGATTAAAAGCCTAAATTTGGAAAGCAAAAACAGTTGAAACCTTATATTTTCATGCACATAATACAAATATGCTTTTCTAACCACGGTCTGAAGTTACAGGCTGATGTTCTCTGTGTTTTAGGTTAGCTAGAATTACCTAAATTACTTATATTTGCTAAATTCCACAAAACAGAAAGAAATGTTTTGGTGTACATTTTGTTCAAGGATTTAATTTGAGCAGGAAGGTAATTTACCTAAACTTTCATGCAAAATGTTAACATATTTTTGTACCGGTTTGGCAGAATTACTGCTATTTTTTTTCTTCAGAAAATTACTTTAGTTCATTTCAGTTAATCCCGATTAATCATTTCAGCCTGACATTAAGATGCACTTAAACTTTAACTGCCAGACTTTTACGACAACAACTCACTTTTATTTATCGGTTGTTCAGTCATTTGTCTTAAGACGAATGGAAACAGCACCAATGATGACACGTCTCTTTAATAAATATATGTGTAGCTTATAAATATGCACAACTTGAATCACTGGTTGCTGTGAAACCTCAGCAACAACAATGCAACATGAAACTGTGACAGGAAGTGCTGCGTCAAACAAGTCAGTCTGGTTTCAGTCGGCCTGTAAAGCCACGTGTCACTCAGACTCTGGTTCCAGACAAAAACCTGAGAAATTGAACCTGTAGAGCAGAGACACTGGTGAAGCCACCACCTCTGATCTCAATGTATTCCTGTTTTATACATGAAATGAATTTTAAAAGCCATCTTGCAGAAATATGACCAAAGAAGCTGGTTTGTTTGTGCCGTCTTCCTCAAAAGTGTGTTTCAAGTCGGCCTGACTTCTGTTTATTGTAAGGTGGTTAACGCCGCAGCCTGTCAGCACTGCCAATCCCAGTTTATTAGCTGGAAACCAGTTACTGCATATTATGGTGTTTGCAGGACAAGGTTTCACCAGTTGACTCCAGATTTGTATTTCAGCTCCACACGCTCCACATCCACAGCCTGTGGAGGTTAAATATCATTTTTTTACAGTGCGTTTTCAGGAATGAACTGAGCGCTCTGCTGTTTGTGCATTCAGGCGTTTCAGAAATGCATAAAACCCAAAATACAAGCTGCAGACACCTGAAGCATGGAGTCATTTCACTTCAAAATAAGAAAAATATTTATATTTATAGACATATTACTCATCGTATTGACAATAGTTTTATTATTTCTGCTTATCTAACAAATCTGTTTAAAAAAACCAGTGTAGATTAATTTATACTTTTAATAAAATACAATGTTTTATCAAAGTATAATGAAGTATTTATTCAGTAGTGTCATCAATAAATATATTTATATATCCACATTGCCTGTCATTTACATAGATTGTTTATTGATGCTACTTATAGTATAACAAACTGAATTTTGAGAGAAGAGAAACTATTTTTCTTTAAATCTTATGTCAACATGACTTTCATTTTAAACTGTAAATAAATAAACAAATAAAATGATGTCTAAAGACACAGAACAGAGTTGCTCCAACCTATGTGCTCGTTTTTAAAATAAAGTCAGTTCTGTCTATACAGTCAGATTAGTTTCAGGTAACCTTTTTAAACCCTGAGTTCAGTTATTGATCGATAAGTTAATATAAAGTTGAAACTTTGCTCCATAAAGTGAATTAACTCACAACAGCTGGAATTATGGCGTCATGTTTTTTCCATCAGGTTACTTTTTTTCTGCGTTTTGCCTTTTTCTGTCGCGTCATCTTCGCTCGCTGCAGCCGATCGCTAATTTCCTACTTGAGACGTTTTTACGTCGCCATTCAGGTGAAACTTCAGGAGTCGGTTGAACGTCCTGAACCACATAAAGTTCATTTATTATCCCACACTGAACTGGACTTTGTTTGGACCGTTTCTCTTTACCGTTCAAGAATGGCTCCGCCGCCATCTTTAATTCTAAATCAACGGATGGACGGCGGCTGAACTACAACACTAAAAGAAACGATGGATGCTTTTAGTCACTCAATTGGAATAAACTAATAAAGTTATGATATTAAATTGTTGCTTGTTTTCATCTTGATAGTTAGAATGAAATAATGACCGGTTTGTGTCAAAGGAAACATCTTTACTCCTGTCCTCTGTGTGTTTAGACATCCAATAAAGCAGGACTCCATGGAGTCTCAGCTGAAGAGGATGGATGACACTCGGGTGGACGCTGATGATGTGGTGGAAAAGATTTTACAAAGCCAAGATTTTACGCCCAGCTTACTGGACTCCAGTGCAGAAGGTGAGACAAATGGCCTAATTATCAACTCAAATCTTTCAGCCACATGTTGCTGTAAGAACGAATAATGATAATTTCAAGAGATGCACGGCGAGTTGGCATAACAATGAATTAGCCGGGACTCTTCTGTTACGCTGTGAGTCAGTTTGTGTGCGCTTTTAGGACAGCATTGTGTTTCTTTCCAAGGTCTCATTCAGCTCAAAGCTGAGAAAAAAGAGCTGCTGTCAATACATGATTATTTTTAGATTGCCTAGCAACTGGCTGCTCCTCATGACTAGAATTATACAGGAGGCAGTGGGCGCTTCCTGCAATGACTGTTACCACAACTGTGTCTGCTTAGAGGAAGGCTTGCGTCTGTTTGTCGGGCCGGGAGGAAGCACAGCCCTGGGAAGCCATCATCTGCCCACCAGGTGAGCTTTGCAGACTCATATTTGCATTATATGAATTGCAGATTGTCTAAATTAGAGCTGTGTCCCTGGGTGGGAAATTATAATTTAATAAACTTCACATTAGTACCATTGGCACAAAATAGGACACATCAGGTTTCATTCACACCAGTCCTGTTTATTCTGCTTTAATTGAACTCCAGCCCTTTTGCTTGGGGATCCATAAATGAACCCAGAGAAGCGAAATCTGGTCCGTCTACAAACTTAGGTCTCGCTTCGGTTGAAGAGAACTCTGGTGCGGTTCGAAGTCAGATGTGAGGATGTTTTCACACCTGATAGTCTGGTAGACTCAGTTTGATTGGAGACCAAAATCATTGCATATGTTGCATTTTCAGCTGCACTGAGTCAAACCAACAAAATTAACAAACTAAAGTTTGATTAAACTAGATCAAATAGGGCTGGTAGGAATGAACGCTGAAAGCTAAGCAGACCGGAGACCGGGCCAAAAGGAGGAAGTAGACTATTATGCGGGGCATTATGGGTAAATTCAACAAACAAAAACACTCAAGTCTGTAGCTAGCGGGAGAAATGACTTCTGGTGTTTTACAAACAAAAATCCTATAACAGCTAAAATCTGACCCATTTTTGTTTACATTTCACAAAGTTACGCTCAGTGTCCCCTTCAGAGGTTTTTTGTTGTTTCCTTGAGTGGATCTTGAGCGCCCCCACAGGCCAGGAGGGGAACAGGTTCTTCAATTAGTGTGGCTAGTTTGACACTCCAGCTGAAAATGCAACAAATCGAATCAAATCTGCGTAAAACATCTTCAGATGTAATATTGTTAACGTTTTGATGCCTTTGAAGAGTTTTACATACATTTTATTAGTTTTTGTAATATTTTTGGTCACGCAATATATTCTAAACCGAGCAAGGCTAGTTTCAGACATGGCTAGCAGTAAATGGGTAAATTGTGATGATTTGATCTTTTTTTGTCTCCAGGGTTGGCGCCGGAGCGTACGAACAGGTGGTGATCAAGCGTTAGCGCGGCGATGACGGGATGACCCTGATCGCACTTTGAACAAATGGTTTGTTTCTCAGTTCCCACAGCAAACACAACACCCTTATTATCAGCACTGTGTCAAGCCTGATCACTGATTTCTGCCATAACCATAGCGCCCCCTTGTGTTCATTGAAGACACTGTAATTCCCCTGATACGTTCAGGAGGAAGAAGCGGCAAGATATCATCTCAGATAAACACGCAGAGCTGTAGATTAAAGATTTAAAATGGTTGTTTATCAAATCACTCCAAGAAACTGTTATATCATATTTCAGTTGATTGTTTTCACTCAGTTCGGGTGTTGGCAGATCTACATGTTTATGCATTTTTTTTATTATTACGTCAATGAGAGGAGATTAATTTCTCTTTGTGCACCTTTAAAGTGAAAAGTGTTTTCGATACATTCCTTTCGTCTGCTTGTTTTGGACGTACTTGAGATAGGACTTTATCTGGAAGATTTGCCTGCAGGCAGCTGAAGAGCTGCAGTTGGCACCAATAACTGTATTTTACTACAGAAACATAAGATGTAAGCTATTTTATGTGTGAATGTGGAGAAAGAGGGGCGACAATGTGAGACTCCTGTGTTGAATGAATGTTGGTGTTTTATGTAATTTAATGTTGAGACTGTCAAAGACAAAAGAGCAAAACTTGATTTGTTTACCAAAACTGCATTTTTTAAAATTAGATTTTTGTTATTATTTTATGCTTCTAATCCATCCAGAAATTGAACATCCAAATTTATTTGACAATTAGCAACTTGTTAATGAAAATGTTCGGACTTTGCATCATTAAATGAAACTGTAGGTAGAAATCTGAGGATTAATGGCTTGAATTAATGAGCATCTTTGCTTAAAAGCTGTGCTTCATCAATCCACACTGACCTGCAGGTCAGGGAAATTACAACAAAACAACAACAAAACCAAATGAAAGTTCATGTCTGACTGTTCAGCTCTTGTGAATCTGATGCTTATGTTGCAGTTTTGTTTGTAAACAAACCGAACGGCAAAAAATCTCGTAAAGTGATCCACTGCCAAGAAGAAAACGCTCAATGATGCATTTCTGAGCAACAATTTAAGATTCACTCATATGGAAGAGGATTAAGGCCAGCGGAAATTTTTTTAAAATAAAATTCTGACTTTAAACTCACAATTTAGACTTTTAGAGAAAAAGTCAAAATTCTGAGAAAAATGTCAGAATTCTTAGGGGGCAAAAATCAATCGAGGAAAAAAAAATCAGAAATCTGAGATCTAAGTCAGAATTCTTGAGGAAAAAAGTCAATTCTGAGATTAAATTCAGAATTCTGAAGAAAAAAAAAATCTGGATTTTCTGGGGAAAAAAAGTGTAATTTAGTTTTTTTCTAGTGGCCCTGTTTGTCTTCCATACGTCACACACGTCTATATTTAAATAAATCATTGTGAAGAAAGCCGACTGCAGCCAGTAACTGAGACCCTCAGCAAGGAGGATTTAATAATCCATAAAAATATAATTATTAAATTAACCTGGATGTATCCAAGAATACATAGGGAAAGTTGAGTGGAAGGAAAACCTAGGGTAGAAAACTGCACTGTTGAATGAATCTGTGTTGAATTCCTCTGATTGTATGAAGACTGTTTATATTTTGTTAGGGTTCAAAGTTCATGATGTTTCAGAACAAAGTAGGCAAATAACTCGACGGAGTATCAACAGAAAAACGGGCTCTGCAGAATCTTTAAGTTTTGTTTTTCCATCAGAAGTGACTGCAAATTGTAGAATAAATGTTAAACTCATTACAGCCATACTTTGGTGTTTTAACTAGGCCATTTTCTGACATGCATGGTAATAATCTTAGTTTTGTGGAAGTTTCCAGTCAAAGCCAGGCGCATTTCATCCTCCTTTTCCTCGTTTTATTGTGCCATCCATTTTCACGTTGAAGGAACAATTGTTAATTTTTGTTCTCATAAAATGTTGTCTGAAGTAATTCATAATTTTTAGTCGTTTTTGATTTGAAGATATCTGAAAAAAGAAGACGATACTATCGTTTTTGTTTTCTAATCTTTGTTGCCAATGTGACATTTTTAATAAATGTTGTCTGAAAATAAAGTGTCTTTTTAATGAGCGATTTAGTACTAAATGTTTAAACTTGGAGTGCCAGATGTCTTATCGTCTGAAGGTGATTTTTTTGTCTTTTTGTTCAGAATAAAGCGTTTACCTGTGTGACGCTCATCTCGGTACCGAACATGTTCCAAACATGGTGCTTTTCTCTTCTGTGAAGCTGTCGTCTAATTAAAACCGTAAACTGATCTATTGTAAGGTGACGTTCTGACACGTTGAGTGTTCTGTTATGGATTTGTTTTTTTGTTTTTGTTTTTTGACAAACAACTGCTTCCCTAATGACTGTACTGAACGGCAAAATGTCTCCCCAGCACTGCTGAATAAAACGGTTTCAAACGCCTCGATGCGGTCTGAGTTTTTCCACGGCGTGAAACAAAAACGGTTCGTCATTCGGGTTTATTTCGGTTTAAAGCCTTCAGACAAAAACACGTTTCTTTTTGTTTTAAACATTCACTTTAGGGTAGATTAATTTACATTACCAGCTTTTCCTGACAACAAAACCGATTTCTCCGAGTCAAATATTTGCTTCCCAGTCTTCCTCTGGTTCAGTTTGCTGGGAACACTGGACGGCTGACGCATCTTCCTCATCCTCCTCTTCATCGCTGTCAATCTGTTCTGGTTCTGAAAAACAACAAAATCCAATGAAGAGGGTCAAAGTGCATGCAGAAAGAAATGTAAATGAAATGCATGTTTTGGATCTGGAACATGGAGTTCTCCACACTTTAGGCAGTTCTGCCCTCTGCTGGACAAACTGTAGATTACACAAACATTTTTATAAACTCAAAAGTATCAGAAAAGTAAAATTAAATGTCAGAAGCTTTTCCATTCAGATAGTAAAACATGTTTTACAGGTTTAACAACTAACACATTAATTTTGATTCATCATTTACAAATATTTTAAGGCGTAAACACTTTTTTAACGCAATTAATGGCATTCCTCCTGCATCATCTGGAACGATTAATTGCGATTAACCGATTATTGGAATAATCGTCAGCTAATTCAGTAATCAATTAGTCATTAACTGCGTTATACAATAAAAAAAAAGTCATTCGCTGACAGAATGACATATTCAAAGCAATAGCCGAAACTGTACAAAAAATACAATGTGCACTAAAAATAAAAAAATGACATGTTTGTAAATAAGTTAATTTAAAACTCCTCAAAAAATGAGTTGTAGCACCACCTGATTCAAATTATGTTTTAAAAAAGCTCCAGTCAAGCATCATTTGATATCCAATTATTAATCGGTTAATACAAAAATGTATCAATCTACAAACGATTAATCGTACTCAAAAGGAATACCTCCCTATTGCATTTCAGGCAATAAAATGTCTATTGTCGTACTAAAATAGGAACTGAATTATTTGTTTGTGTCTTCAATCATTATGTATATTGTTTAAACAAAGGCTTGAGTAGTTAAATGAAAAATCTGCAGAATCTGCCATTTTTATATATGATTAATTGATTATCTGAATAATCAATTACTAACAATTGTTAGTTGCGACAAAAATGTTTTATAAATAAACATAGAAACTACAAAGGGTCTTAAAAGTAAGAAGTGATTTAAGGAAACGTGCCAGAAATGTGTTTTTTATTAATAATAGCATTGATTAAAGTTCTGTTCAACTGAAAGTATTTGGACCAAAAACGTCTCAATTCGAATTACACAGTTCACATTCTACAGTAACGAGGCATTACCTTGTTCTTGACATTTTACGAGTAGAGAGGATCCATCCTGAGACAGTTTGACCTTCGGCTGATCCATCAGGAGGCGTCTCAGATTGGGAAGATTTCCACTCAGTTCAGCGATTTTCGGACAGAAGGACCAGAGCGCCGCCAGAGGAACGACGACAAACCTGAAACAACAACACGAAAACACAATATTGGATTCATGCATTGGGACATGTTTATGCATCTAATTGTTATTTATTATTGTACAAATTTGCATGTACTTATTCATACACCTTGTTCTTGATTTTACAGAAATCCATGCAACTTTTTGTTCCCAAAGGGAAAAGAATTGTCAGAATTTAAAGATTTCTTCTCTTCCAAACGGAAACAAACCTGTTTAAAGTCCCGGACTCTTCTTGGTCGTTTATCCAAAGCGACACGGTTCGCTCCTCCCCTTCACCTCCACCTGGACAATCCAACCTTTCTGTACATGCTAAGCGGAAAAAGATGTTTTATACAAATTATAGCAGAGGAATGCACTTTTAATTCAGCGTCTTCGTCTACCTGCTTGTTTCTGTTGTCTAGTCTGACTGAGTGGAGAAACATAATTCGTCCCTCCGGTCGTTTCCTCCATCCACCTGTTCTTCATTTGTTCTGCCCAGTACAGAACCTCACTCACCAGGACTCTGATGAAAGTGTTGTTGTCTCGCAAAGTGGGATAATTTACAGAGTACACCTAAAACAAAAAACATAAAAGCCGAGAAGTACAAACATGAACTTTGTATCGCCCTTTTTAGGGGCGATTAAATAAATTCTTTTCGTATTTTACAGTGTGGCTGAAACAATTACTTGGATAAATCAATTAATGAAACAAGTGTCAACAAATTTAATAATTAATTAATCATAAACTGAAGTTTACAAGGTGAACAAAAGACAATTTGTTGAGAAAAAGCAACATAAAGCAGTAATTAAGTCAAAACTGTAGAAAATAAATACATTTTATGTTTAACATAAAGAAAACCTTTGTCTATGAATATATTTTGTCCTCAGTTCACCCGGTTCAAACAGACTGAAGCACTGCTGGATCATTGCATTTTAGTCCAGTTAATGATTAATCGATTGATCATGATTAATCGTTTCAGCCCTAAGTGATGAAACGATTAATCACCAGCCGTTTATAGGGGAATAGACTCACCAAAGTGTAGGAAAACACTTCCTCCTCATCTCTGTCGGGTAAAACGTTCAAACGTTGAAATACACCAATCTGGGAGCAGAAACCGACACTTTCCTGCTGCTCCTGAGGCGCTTCTCCAACTCCAGTGAATTCAGCCTCATAGCCATAATCCAAACACACTTTAAGAGCCCTGCAGGATGCAAAATGGACACTAAAAAGGAGAATCCAAGAGGCAAAAGTTTTGTTTGAAAGCCTGAAATGAGTCCATGTTCTCAACTTTTTGACCAGAACATTGTCGTCTTATTTTGTCAATTTAAAATGCAGAACATAGTAAATTATTTTAATTCGTTTTTACATAAACAATTTTTTAAACTTAAATTTACAAAACTTACTCCTTTTTTTGCTCAATGACTTTCTTTTGAAATATCTGGCTTTAGAGGACAACCATCATGTTTCTTGATTAATTGTTTTTTTTAATGATTAATCAGATAAAGAAAAATGGTTCTACAAAATTTTATTTTACCACTTGAGTCTTTTTATATATTTGAAATATATTAATATAAACAAATAATTCAGTTCCCTTTATAAATAAAAAATAAAAATTTTATTGCCTAAAATACAAAAATATAGCATTCCTTTAGTGAACTGGAACCAAGTGAAGCTAAAACATATTTGTTTTTATTCTACATGCAAAACTGTATAATTTTTTTTTTAAATTTTGGCCTAACTACTGCTCTAAATGTGTTAGGTTTTTTCAGCAAAAGGCCTTTTTTTAACAATTACTAAATAAATTGATTAATCACGATTAATTGTTTCAGCTCCACTTGCGATATCACTCATGAAACAATGAGTTGGACTTTCTAAACTGAACTTTGCATGATGTTTAACTGCATTGTTGTTGTTTTTTTGTGAATAATTGAATCTGCACCAGGATCTGAACTCTGATCTGTTCCACTCAAACTTGTGATCGCTGTGTCTGAAACCAGTCAGTCCAGGAAACAGTTTGTTGAATTCAGAGTTTGGCGTGCTGACGATGACGCTCGCTGGTCTCATGTATCCAAAAACCACAGAAGAAAAGCGCTCCAAGTCAGGAAGAGTGAGGTGTTCTATACTGCAAAAACACAAACATATTATGTTTGGAAACAGAAATTATTATTTAACAAATAACTTTGTAGCTCCAACAGTCTCTTACAGTTCTATGTTGGTCACTAAGTCGAACCCTCGGAGTCGAGCGTCCCTTTGTGTGACTGAACCTTGGTACAGATCTATGCGGAGCTGGTGGAAGGTAGGCTGCAGGTAGTCTGTTGACAGAGGAGCCAATCCGTGCCTGAAGAGACACACAATTAATATATTTAATTATTCAAAGCAAAAGAAAAATGTTCTGTTTCCTTTCAAAGTAATGGTTTACATGGAGAACTTCCATCGGTTTATGAAAAAAATAAAAATAAAGTCACTTCACAGCGCAGAAACTGAAGCACCCGAAGATGGAAATGATGTAATTTCAGAGCTTATTCACGAAACTCTGTGCAACATCTTAATACAGACCTTGGAAAAGGTTACAGAAAACAAATGAGCAGCTTTAAACTACTTTAAGGTAAAATAAGGTAATTTTATTGAAGTAGCATATTTTCAACAAGACAATTCAAAGTGTTTCAAGTTCAACTTAGTCAGTCAATTCCACTATGTGAGAGGTAACAGTTAGTTATGGTGTCCCACAAGGTTCTATGCTAGGATCAGTTCCTTTTTCTTTTAAAAAAGAAATTATAATTACTTATCCAAACAACTGCCACTACATCAACGTCCAGGAGAAATGACTGTATGCAAACAGCCAAGTTTTATTAGATAAGTTAATTAGTAAAATATACTGAATGTGAGTATCTATAGGATCAATTGAAATGGAGGCATCTGCCTCTATTTATTCACTTTATTTAATCTTTACTTAACCAGGTAAGTTGAATGAAAACAAATTCTAATTTTCAACGAATTGAATTTACTTTTATTGTGAAGTGCCTTGAGACAACATCTCTTGCTAAATTAAGTCAGGATCCTTTTTTTAGGTTAGTTGGTGTTTCTAAATAGTTAATGCATTGTTGTTGTTAATAATTAGTAAATAAAAATAAATACAGTCACTCACATCTTTTTCCTGATTTTGGGCCCGTTCATGTCCACGCCGACCAGCAGCTCGACGCTCCGCTGAAACCGGAGCTGCTTCAGGAGCTGGCACTCACCGCAGCCCAGGTCAGCCACCTGGGCAGGAGAACAGCGAGCAGCAGGACAATGAATCGGCAGAAAACAGGGAGATAAACCCACCGACAGGCGGACAAACTGCATATCGGCCTTCATTGGCCTCGCCGCATCGAGGCCTTGGTAGCACCGTTAGCTTCGAAGCTAATTCGAAGGAATAACTAAATTCCTACTTCATTCGTGTTTGGATTTTAGTAACTACCTTATTAGGTTTGTTTTTTCTGACAAAATCGACGACAAACTGATGTCGTTGGCTGTGAAGTGACGGAGTGAAAATGGGATTCATTTTCCTTCCACTACAGTTTACTGAGACCGTCTATTAACCTCCTGGGCTGTAGGGGGCGCTGTTTAAATGTCTGTTTGCCAACGCGCAGCGAAGGAACTGCACTACGCAGAGTAGTGAAAAATCTGATTAGTGAACAATGTATTTATTAATACACTGAGTGAGACACGTTATTTCAATTAATTATAAATATACTTATTTGTTTATTATAAACATAAATGTAATATTTGGACTTGATTTTATGAACAAAAATTTTTAATTTTGTCTGGACAACTTAATTGTAATTAGAAAATATCTTTTTTTTTTTTTACAATTTCCATTTCATTTTCAGTATATTTTAATGAGGTCTGTTGTGATTTACTGTTTTTATTAGTGTTAAATTATAGGCCTATAAATATAGATTATCCCTTTAATACAAATAAAATTTAAAATAAAAATATCATAGGTGTTCCAGCTTTAGGAAACTGCAACTACATTATTGAGCCAAATAAAATCTTTGGTTATATTTAAATATAATACTTTGTAAATGTTAAGTAAAGTAAGAAAAAATAAGGAAGGCTGTGTTTATGGTGTAAAAAGTATTTATTATCAACTGTTAAAAGGGATATTAAAGGGGATGTTAAAGTGGATGTTAAAGGGGATGTTATTATGTAAAATTCTACTTCCATTTGGGTTTCGAAGCCCGAGCCGTCACCTAGCAACCCAAGCTAAGCTCCAGCACTGTTCGGTCCCCTGGTTTTACCGCCGTTTGCTGTAAAATGGCTGCCGGGGGAAAGAAGAAACGTCTTATTGTCAACTTACTGGCCAGAATCCACTCTCTTGTTGGTTCTTCTGGACGCTCCAATTTTGCTTTTTCAAAATGTACGGTCGTATAATTGCTCACGTGTTTGCGGCCGTTAGCCGTTGAGATGGTGGGCGTGGCCAGCGCAGCCTGTTCGGATTTAAAGTGACAGAACCTCAAAATCTCATTTTGTGAAGAAAATGTAATCAATTTGTTTTGACTAGCCCATTTGGGGAGATTGTAGGTGGCTTCTTTGTGTTTTTTCTGTCTTCATATAGTCCCAGTTGAACTCGGGTCTGTTTGGACCAAATTGTCACTTGTATTAAATTCTTTGTGAGCTTTGTAAAGGTTTTTCTTGGAACGCCGTAGACATTTCGCCAACAAAATAATTTCACAAATTTGTTTCAATATGTCATAGATTTCTTTTTATTTCATCATCTGAGCAGTTAACTCACCAAGAAAATATACATTTAAAGGATATTTCTTGATAAATTATCAAGTTTATTGAGTTTTTAAGAGTTAACAATCATCCAAAAAAAAGCATTAACCTATCTTAAAAATAAACAATTCTTTTGATAAATATGGCTTGAGCAACACTTTTAGACAGCTATGAATGGCTACATGTTTAGATTATTAAAGCAATCAGTTATCTTCCTAAAGTACTTTGAGAACAAACCAGAAAAGAAAATCTGTGATGGATGCTACATAGTGGAAAAACCATTTTCACCCTAAATAAAGCTCTCTTTCATCCAGTCTCTACAGTAATTGGTTTCTTTACGAAGCGCCGGTTTTCCTGCAGGTCGGCCAGGAGAAGTTGCTCCGGTTGACGCCGTCCTTCGCCGCCACCCTGACGCAGTAGCTGGTCCTGGGTTTGAGGCCAGTCTCTGTGTAACAATCCCCGTCTACGTTCCTCACTCTCGGCAGCAGAGTCGTCTGCTCCGCGTTGTGCTCCTCTTCGATGACAAGCTGGTATTTGGTGGCTCCGTCCACCGTCTTCCACTTCACGTACAAAGCCCCGGCGCTCGCCGTCACAGCCAACACCTCTGGGGTTTCCAGACCTGAAAGAGCAAAAAGAAGCTTCAAAATAACATCCAAGCTAGTAATTAGACTCCACTTAGAGAGACTGATCATCTATTCATGGTGTATTAGCAGAGTTGGGTCATAACTAGTAACATTTTGAAAAAAATTACTTTCAGGAGTATTTTTACTACGCTAAAGTATAATAATTTTATCATGAAGTGTTTCTCCTCTTACTAGAGTAAAATTTTAGTTTTTTTTACCCACTGAGTGAAAAACAAACCTGTTTGAACCAAACATTCACCAGAAACAAATAAAATAAACCTTAAATAAATAAACCTTAACTGCAGCTTCTGTTTTTTATTGATGAAAACTGATTTGGGAAAATTTTCTTTTCCCCGATGTTGTTATATTTTGTTGCTTATTTGAATTATTGTCATTTTCCAAATTAAAAAAATAAAGATTTCCACTTTATATTTTGGTTGTTTTCAAATACTAAGTTATTGATTTTTTGATCAGTTATTCAGTACTTGAGTAAAACTTTATATCAAATACGTTTTTTACCTTTATTGAGTAATTTCTTGAATGGCTACTTTTTATTTTTACTTGAGCAAAATATATTGAAGTAGTGCTGCTTTTATTTGAGAACAGTTTTTTGGAATCTGTTTATTAGATTAAAACGGGTTTCAATCGATTAACTAATAATGTCTGCTTAAACTAGGGATGTTCAAAGTGCGGCTCGCGGGCCATTTGTGCCCCTTGGATTGATTTTGTCCAGTTGGAATTAAAAAATGATAGAAATTTGGCCGATACATGCAGATGGATGGTTTTAATATGTAATCTGGGTAGAATTATTACCAAAATAATTTTCTTACAAAGGAAAATGTAAAGTACAGCACAAAGTATTTGTCTTCTGTCATATTATTCATCTTACATATTATATTTGTGTCCAAGTTCAAAAATGTAAAATAAAAAGCAAAACAAACAAACAAAACAAATTTATTCAGTAATTATTTAACACAAGTGACACAAAATAAAAGTGACTTATAAAAACTTTGTCTTTTATGTTATGGAAAGACAGTCAACCATTTTGATACAAGAGAAAACTGAAGTTTCAAGAAAATGGCTGCTTACTGTCATCATTAGTTGATGGATAAAATGAATAAAGTTTAGATTAAGTAAATAATCGATAAGTCACTAACTTTCTTCTTCATCAGTATGGAGTTGATCGGGTTGCAGATCTCGTCTCCTGCGCGCTCCCACTGGACCTGGTGAACAGAAATTCATTATTTATGAGCCGTTTTCTTAACTTTCTTTTTAGGAAAGAGGAAATCATGACAGTAGAACGGCGTATTATTACAAACCTGCAGACAGGAAACATAAAAAGAGGAAAACATTTCTGCCAAAAAACTCAAATTTTGAAATTAATCTCAGAACATTTCTAAAATGGAAAAAAAACAAAAAATTCTTTGAAAAGTTTTACACTTTTGAAACAATTTTTTATTAATATCAAAACATTTTAAGAAGAAACATGAACATTTCTGAGATTTTTGTTCCAGAAAATGTTCAACTTTCTAACTTAAATGGTTTTTCAAAAGATTTCATAGTTTTTTGGCGGAAATGTACTTTATTTAAAAATTTCAATAGTCCTTGAACATCGTCTTAATACAAGGCTCTCTTTCCAAATAAATGTTGGCTGGGACTTTAATTCTTGTCAAACAGAGGAACCCAACTTGGAGATGTTGAGAGTCTGATCTGTTTCCTGCTAGCGTTTCTGTCGGACCTGTTATGTTTTGGCTCGGGTTGCTTTCCCCGACAGCATTGCTGGCTGTTACTGCGGTGGCAGCCGGGTTGAAGTTGGTCAGCTGGCAGGAGAGTCCGGTGGTGTTGCACAGCTTCACCCGGCTTCCCCCCGACACGTTGTAGACCGTGTACATGGCGGCCAACACCGACGCGTCCCAGGACAAGATGGCCGACGTCGAGTTCCCGCTGTATTTAACCCTCTGCGGCGCGCAAGGCTCTGCGAGACAAACGGACAGCGATGGTAACCGAGATACACTGCTCTGAACTTTCCTTTAATGAAATAATAAAGTTATACTCTGAGAAAATAAAAGTATATTTACATGTTCAAAGGAGAGAATATCAGCATAAACTTATTTTTACATCAACAGCATCATCCAATAAATTACTAGTCATGATATCTTGGTTATAACATTATTTATTAGTATTTTCTTCTCTAGAAAATTCCTTGAATTAATCTAAAACTTTCTTAGTTTTGTGAGAGAAATGTACTCCTGTTTTAATTTTCTGTCTGCAATTGCCCCAATACACCGTCATATTTCTTGTTTTTGCGATGTTTTCACTCATTGTGGTGAATGTTCAGTATCTGCTGCCTGTTTTTTCCAGTAGCGTTGTAAAGCCTGACCTACCTGTGGTTCCTGCGTAGATTCTGGACGCCTTGCTGACGCCTCCAGAGTTCCTGGAGAACACGGTCACGTTGAAAGCCGAGCTGCAAGGCATCGGCAGCTCGAAGTACGGCCTGGGCTGCCAGTAGGAGGAGACTTTCATCAGGGCCAGCGGGTCGTTTCCGACCCAGCCTCTCACTTCAGCCAAATACTCGACGCCTGAACAGTTGACTTTGTCCCAGGAAATCATGGCCCAGAACTTTAGTTTGATCCTCTGCATCCGGACTTTCAGGCGAGACGGCGGGCATGGAGCTGATACGAGAGAGAGAGAGAGTTACATCGATAAAAATAGAAATGTTATTTTAATTTTAAATGAACTTTGTTACCTGCTCCTTCCTGCAGAGGTTTGCTTTCCGAGCTGTTGCAGGCCCCATCGAAGGCTTTAACGGTGAAGTTGTAGTTGTTGCCACACTGCAGGGTTTTCAGTGTGCAGGACGTGTTGCTGCTGCCGCAGTAAAAGGCTTCGCCAGACGCAGACGACGCGCGGCTGAAATACTCCACAGCGCCGTCGGTGTGAGCCCAAGACAGCTGGGCGCGGTTGGTCTGACAGTCGATACTCACGGCGAGATTAGAGGGAGCGCAAGGCACTAAAGAAATAAAAGATAAAGGAAGTCAGAGAGTGAATTCGGTGGCGGTGACGTTTCCCAGTCACAATTATTTTATCTTAAATACAAAATATACTCCTTTTATTTAATATAGTTTTCAATAAAAACATTTTGTTTTTCCAGAAATTATTCACTTTCTTCTTCAGTCTGTACACTCCAGTTGAAGATTAATGAGTTATTAAACTATTTGACGATTATCTCATAAACGATTAATCGTTTCTGCCCCAGTTGTACCTGTTCTGAAGGTGTTGTTGCTGGGGTAACTGGTGCAGTTTTCTCCCACGGCGGTGATGCTCACGTCGTACGCCTGGCCACAGTGCAGGGCAGACAGGGAGCAGTTGTTGGCCGTGTTGTTGCAGGTCACAACGTGGCCATCTTGTCCTCTGGCCGTCAGCCGGTACGATGTGGCCACCAACGATTTTTCCCAGGAAACCACGGCCCCTCTGTCCTCGCACTGCGGCACCACTGTCACATTGCTCGGCACGCAGGGAGCTAAAGGAGAAACAGATTAAACATCCCAAAGGTGGACAAGCAGAAGATCACCCACCAGCTCCCTGCTACAGGGGAAATTGCTGGTGGCTAACGACAACTACCATCAATATAACGCGCTAAATCTTTAATGTACGTCTGACATATAAAAAGTTTTAATTAGGAAGAAAATAGAGAGGGAGAGTTCAGTTATGCTAGCTTGACCATGAAAACCTTAACATGTAGATGTGTTGTGGAATTTGGTGTTTTGGTTCAGTTAAAATATTATAAAAAAACAAAAAAAAAAAACCCAACCAACTCTGACAGATCATCAGGAAGGCAGGTGTTTAAATGAGCTAATCAACCACCACAGTGTTAGCTTAGCTAATAGCAGCGGTAGCTATTCTACCACAGCGATCACTTATTAACAAACCTGAAAACATAAGACTGTAATGTTCTGAATGTTTTGTTCTTTGTGTGGGAAATATTTGAGTGTTTTTTGAATTTGAAACCTGAAACTAAGTGTCGTTGTTGTCAGTTTCTATGACAACTTGTCACCCAAGCTGTGTGTAGCTTAGGTCACTAAACAGCAAGGAAAAAAGTGTTTTTGAGTTGTTCAACAGTTTTCTGCGTTTATTTTCCCTTTGCTGTGGCACAAAGCACTAAGTTAATAATACCTACAGCTCCAGATTTCATTTTGTTTTTTAATAATATTTTTCTCCAAAGAGTTTTTGCGGCGCTAGTGGCTTATATTTTCGACAGTAGGCAGACAGGAAAGAGGGCGAGGAGAGGGGGGAAGACATGCGGTAAAGGTCGCCGGGACCAGGAGTCGAACCCGCGACGTCTGCGTCGAGGACTGAGGCCTCCAAACGTGGGGCGCGCTAAACCCTGCGCCACCACAGCACGCCCAGGTTTTATCTTGTTAACAGAGTCGTTCTGTCGCAGCAGCGTGATTATCGATGGCAAGTAAAAAATATTGTCTTTTTGCTCTCCAGTGTTTTGCGCATTCGCAAAAGTTTCCAGACGTAAACAACAACAAGCGAAGGACTCATGAAGGGGGAACTGATTCTGTTTTAAATACCTGTCTTGATCTTCGTCGGGGGACTTCTTAGGCTGCTGCACTTGTCTGAGGAAGCTGACACGATGACGCTGTAATGTCGGCCGCACCGGGCATCATGGAGGACGCACCGGTTTGACGAGCTGTTACAGGAAATGACGGATTTATCTTCGGCTTCAGCAGTGACCAGGTAGAGCGGCGAGTCCAGCGTTTGCTTCCATTCAACCAGGATGGTGTCGCTGTTGCATGCAGCTGTTGCACTGACGCTCTCTAGAGCGCAAGGACCTAAAGGAACGGAAATAAACAGAAACAAATGTTGGCGTCGATTCAATCATTTCTGTGAAACAAAACATGGGAAATTCTGCAATGTCTTCTTATGTCTACAGCAAGTTGTTGCATTTCCATTGATTATATAATTGTGAAAATTGTAATTACAAAAATAAAATTGCTTAATGAAAACGTGAAATAAAGAGTAGGAAGAAATTAAGTTTTTTGGTTTATTTTGAAAATCTGTAATGGAAACATTTTCTTTCGCATCATGATGTGATCAACAGCAGGATGTTACTACTAACAGAAACGACAAAGATGACAACAGGAAGTGGTAGGACGATGATGGCGCTGCATGATTTTTTATGACTTATTGCATGAACAAACTTTTTCATATGTGATTTTAACTGTTTCTTATTTTATGGAAACATGCAATCGCAATATTGGGTTGTTTTTTTGTTTTTTTACCATTAGCGAAATATTGACTACATTTTGTGCACTTTTGTAACCAGTGGCTACATTTCTATTGTCCGTATAATTGTGTTTGTGGAATTATAAAAATGTGATCAATGGATAATTTTGAAAAAAAGAAGGAAAAAATAATTCTTTTCAATTCAATGTTTTTAGTGATACAATTAAGTGTTTTTTAGGCAATATCAAAATTTGTGTATTTTCTAAACTGATGGAAACACTTATTGTCGTATCACAAGAGCCACATGATCAACAATTGGATGTTACTACTGATAGAAATGACAAAAAGTGGTTGGTAGACGGTGTTTTTATAATCCCTTTTTGTGTGAACAAACTTATCCACATGTGATTTTAATTGCGTTTTTTGATTTCACAGAATATTGACAAAGTTTTACGTAAATTTGAAAAGGAAATACAGCTGGTGGAAAGTCTGAAGAAGCCTCAGGTTGCCGAAAACCAAAGATCAGCTAAACCAAAAAGGCCTGAGTGAATACCTGTCTCGATCTCAAACGTGCTGCTGTGATTACTGCTGCAGTGCTTGTTGACTGCCGTGACATGGAAGGTGTATAGAGTCCCACATTTCAGATCTGCAACTTCACACAGGGAGGACGAGGAGGTGCAGCTGGAGTTCTGGCCGCTGGCCGCCGCGGCCAGAACATAGTAGCTGCTGGCGCCGTCAGAGGGGGTCCAGGACACCCAGGCTGAGTTCGACACGCAGTCCAGGTGGCCGTTAGGCTTCGTGGGAACACATGGAGCTGTCGCGCATCAAACACGACAGGAATGTTACTTTGCATTCACTTTTTATCCAGCAGAAAGTTCTTTATAATATATGAACACAGGAGTTGCATTAGCCAAATATTTTTCTTATTTTGATGGAAAAATGTGATGGGCATTACACCTGACCAGTTGGTACAGGTAAAGGAAAAAGGTGATTTTATTTATGTAGCACATTTTCAGCAACAAGACAATATAAAGTGCTTACAGATGCAAAGTTTCAACTCTTAATTAATCAGAATAAAAATGAAACGCCATCGAATGTCATTATTAGGACTGAGTCGATTAATCATGATTAATCGATTGTTGAAATAATCATCAACGATTAATTGTCAAATACTAATTACAAGTAGTAATTACTTGTGTGATTACTAAATGTAATCACACAAGTAATTACAAGTATTTAATTACTAGTAATTAAATACTTAATTACTTGTATTTAATGTATTTATAGAATGAAAAAGGCTGATGAAGCTTCGTGAAAAATCTCTAGAAGCTGCCAGATTATCTGATTCACTGTCAGAATAATCAATAGAATAATTTAAATTAATTGTTTTTTGCAACCCCAGTCGTTATCATTTTGAAAAAGTAGATTATAACAGAATTTATTTTTACTCTGTTAGACAGAAAGGCCTCAGGTCGTTTCCATTCCTGAAGCAACGATGAGCCGATATTTACCTGAACTGGTGGCCACCACAGCGCTCGGTTTGCTCTCACAGGCGTCTCTAACGGAGATCGCTGTGACGTTGTAGTGCTGCCCGCAGGGCAGGTCCCTGATGGTGCAGGAGGTGGTGCTGGAGTTACAGTACAGCCTGGCGCCGGTGCTGCTCACTACGGCTACATGGAAGTGCTGGGCGTCCGGGTTGGGAGCCCAGGAGACGACCATCGCCTTTTCAACACATGCAGCATCGACTGTCACGTTCTGAGGCGGACATGGAGCTGAGACAGAGGCAAAGTGATTTACATCCGTTAACATCACATTTGGTCAAATATCAACCAAATTATTGTGAATCAAAGGGAACTCTAACAGCAGGTCTTTAATGTATTTTGGTGCTAAGGTGTTCAGGGACTTATAAACAGTGGTAGGCCTGTTACAAAAAGCAATAAATTAATCACACGATAAATTGAAACAAGCTCAATAACATCCACATTTTTCCTTCTCTCTCTTTCTACCAAAATCTGGATGATAAAAGTCTTCAGCCTGGAGTTTTGATCTCGACTTGCCCTTTTTATGAAGGAAGACTTTGTTTACAGAGACATCAGAATTTATTTTAGTTGTTGTTTCTGTATATTTATTTTAGGTATTTAAGTGTCTTTCCGTCTTCCAGTTAAATGTTCATTGGAGTTTAAAGTTTATTGATCTTTGAGAACATGTTCTTTCATTATTTTACTTTATTATATTATTATTATATTACCTGGATGAGTTTCTATAGATCTTACTGAGACATGGAAATGTTCTTCCCCTGACAGGAGGCCGACTTTGTAAGTGTCTGTATGTGGCTCTGAAGGTTCAGGTCAGAGGTCAGCCTGGTCTTTAGTTTCCAGCTGTAATAACTGAAGCTGTGCGTTGACTCTAGATCTATAACTCTAGATCATTTCTGTTCATCCACACATTGATCTGTTTTAAGCATCATGATGACATCATCAAACCTCATTTCCAAGTTATTCTAAGCGAAGCAGGTAGATGTGGAGCTGATTAACTCACAACACAGATGTATTCATAAAGTTTAGCTTCTTAGCTAGCGACCTTCAGCGCCTACCTGTTCGTACGTGAGTCTTGTTGCTCTCCACGCCGGAGCAGGACTCGTCCCGGCCGAACACGCTGACGCTGTAGGTCTGTCCACACCGCAGGTCGCTCAGGTCGCAGTAGGTCATCGTGTTGTTGCACTCGGCCCTGTGTCTCCCGTCTGCAGTAACGCCGACCGCAACATAAGAGAGCGCGCCGCTGGCCCGCTCCCAGGTCACAGCAGCCGAGTTCGAGTGGCAGCGGAGGGAAGCGCCGACGTTCGTGGGCTTGCAAGGAACTGGCAGAGAGAAGAAACACAAAAAACTCAAAAAGTTGAAAATCTGTGCAAAGAAAAATAAACAAATGTTTTTCCAATAATGGCCATTGTAGTCAACTCCGATATGCAATTCCTCCCCGTCACCATGATAACCAGTAATATAAAGCTTTAGAGAATATGTAAAATTATTCCTACCAGACTTTAGGTCGAGGTAGGCGTTGCTGTTGTCGCAGCGTCCATCTTGCGCCGTCAATGTCAGGTTGTAGCTCTGGCCACAATGCATGCTGGGAAGCTCACAGCTGTTTTCAACGCTATCACAGAATATTTTGTGACCGTCGGGCCCCAAAGCTTCAACGTGGTACGAATCGACGCCGTCGTCTTCTGCCCATGATACCACGCCGGTGTTGTTGCCGCACAACATCTCCGCCGTCACTTCCTGCGGCACACACGGTGCTGCAACCCGACACAAAGGGAGGAAATGGTCAACACAACATGAATCAAAACATTAAAGCAGAGTTTCTCAAACTGTGGTCTGCAGGCGCCCTCTAGTGGTCCGTAAGGTATTGCATGTAAACAACCATTTATTTACTATTAAGTCAACTTAAAGTGTGATGCTACAGCTAGCTTAGCACAGGACTGGATTAAAAATAATAATGGAGAAGAGGCTTAAAACTGGCTCACTCAAAAGAAAGGCTGAAGATACTGGTGGAAATAAAACAACACCAGAAATGATCAGAGGAAGTCAAACCTGCAGAGTTGACATCGTTCACAAATGATGTGATTCTTTTGAACGGCTCTGTAATGTGAACAAGTCTCAGTTGGTGAAAAGTGTTCTTTGTTTTTTAAGACTTTGCTTGCTTATTACGCTCTGCTAACACGTCAACAGCTATTATTTTTTTAAATTAATTAAAAATGATGTAATAGGCAAATAAACACAATAAAGACAACTGATGATGAACAATGGAAACAATAATTAGAGAGTTAAGACACTAATATTTTCATGTCAGGTTGTACTTATTAAGATGTGTTATTTCAGGTTAGTTGGCCTGGGAATGTTCAGTAAATTGGTGAATTGTTCCTCGGCCTGAATAAGTTTGAGAAACGCTGCGTTAACGGCTAAATTAAACCCGAATGGTGTCTGAACCTGTGTCGATCTCCACGGCTGAGCTCTCGGCGCTGCTGCACTTGTCGTCCGATGCGATGACGGTGATGGAGTAGTTCTGGCCACACAGGACGTCTTCCAGCAGACACGTGGTGGAGGAGCTGTTGCATGTTGAGCTGAAGCCGCCGCCGTGCGCCACCGCGGCGTACGACGAGGCGCCTTTGCTCTGTTCCCAGGAGACCATGATGCCGCCGGACTCGCACATGACTCGGGCCTCCACCAGCGCAGGCACACAGGGAACTGCACAATGCATCAGCAAACAATTAACCGACTTACGACTCACAGCCAATGGTTTATTAGTGATTTTAATTATAAATTAAAACAATTTTAATAATATTTATCGTCCGGCATAATTTGTCACTGTGACAGGCCTATTGAAACTCGCATTCCTAATTACATCAACATTTTTTGTCCCAATTTTTTAATTAAAATTTTAAACCAAAAGCATTTTCTTACTTGCGTTGAGCTGCTGCACTTCGCTCTGCGACACGTTGCAGGCGCCGCTAACGGCGATGACGCTGACGTTGTAGGTGAAGCCGCACATGAGGTCGGGCAGGATGCAGGACTGGGAGTCTGTGGTGCAGTTGGTCTCGTGTTCCTGCATGCCGAAAGCTTGGACGATGTAGGAGTCTGCGCCGCTGCTGGCCTGCCACTCCACCAGAGCCACGTTGCTATCGCAGTCCAGACTGGTCACAACGTCTTCAGGCGGACAGGGCACTGGGAGAAAAGGATAAAATGAAGGATCACCGATGAACAGGCGCCTAATTTCTTCCTACTCTTAAACTTGTGATTGACGAGGGACAGCAGGAAAATAAAAATGGATGCCAGGCGGATTTAATGTGGATGAAAATAAACATGTGATCCATTTGTAGGAATTTTAGTAATTTATTTCAACTTATTGTTCACCACATAATAAATTTGTAATTATAATTTTGAATTAGCATCATAATAAATTCCAGTTAATTATGTTTTGTTGGGATTGTTAGTTTTATTATTTTCTCCACAGTTTGTTCATTGAATAAATATCAATAAATTTGAAAAGGATAATTAAATGTCTTTAGAAGTGGACAGTAAGGAGGTAGTATTTAATCTCGATATTTTGCGGTACAAATCCCATAAATTGTTTTTGGCAGCTTTTAAGTAATTCAACAAAATTTAAATCTATTTGAGCAAATCAAGCTATAAAGCAACAGTTTCACTCTGATTTTAAGGTTTTTATCTTCTTTTTGAGCGGTTACCTGACTCCAGATGCACCGTGGCGCTGGGTGGGCTGCTGCACTGATCGTTTGACGCCACAGTTGCCACCTCATATGTCTGGCCGCACTGCAGGTTCTCCAGCTCACAGTTGGTTTGGCTGGTGGTGCAGCTGGAAACATGGCCGCCAGAGGACCGGGCAGTGGACGTGTAGCTCAAGGCGCCCTCAGAATACATCCAGTCCAGGAGCGCAGAGTTGGTGTAGCAGTCCAAAATCACAGAGCCAATGCTGGGCGTGCAGGGAACTGAGAGACGTAACATAGATACATTTCATGTGTTATTTAGCCACAATGGGGCAGCATTTGTAAAGTTACACAGTCAAAAATTAGCAGTGATAATTTAGGTAAGCTAACTCATAGCTTTATATTTGGTTCTGAGGTTGCCAGGTAATTCCAAATTTGGTTTGGAATTATTTGTAATTAAAAATTTAGTTTGTAAATTAATTATTTAGCTTGCTGGATAAATATTAAGCTCCAAATTAAATTTATCTCCAAATAAATTCACAAAATCCAACTTTTATTTTGATAGGTAGGTGAATTTGCACACTAGCTAAATATTCTGCAATGCGCCAGCTACATTTTTAATTGGTAAATTAAATATTTGTCTGTCTCATGGTTTAATATTTGTTCAGAAATTTAGTTTGTAAATCAAATTTATTTTTCTGCTGGTGCGATTGGATCTTTGTTTACCAAGTTAACTACAAAGCAACCATGTTTAGCTTGCTAGCTAAACTGTTTGGAGTTAAATATTTAGTTGATAAACTAAATGTTTAGCTAGCTCATAGCTTAATATTGGAGCTAAATATTTAATTTGCTAATTAAACATTTATATTGCTAAGTAAATATTCAGCTCCAAACTAGCTCTTTAGCATATTAGCTAGATATTAGTTAGATTGATAACTTATAAATAAATGTTTAGTTTACAAACTAAATATTTAGCCTGCAAATTAAACATTATGCTTGAAACTTATATTTATAAATAAATGAGCAAACGAGTAAAAATATCACTTTAAAAATGAAATCCCGTGTTTTTTTGTCATGACAAACTAAATTACACAGTTTTGACTGTGTAACTTCACAAATTTTATTCACGGCTTTATTTTTTGAAAAGGCGATTCATATAAATCCTGAATGTTTACCTGATTCAAACACGACAGCTGGGCTCGGTAAGCTGGAGCAGATGTTGTCCTGCGCCACCACCTGGACGTGGTACCGCTGTCCGCAGATCAGGTTGGTCAGCGCACACTTTGTTTCTTCTGTTCCGCAGTTGGACTCGGCTCCCCGTGTGCTCACTGCAATCACTCTGTAAGACAGAGCGCCATCACTGGCACTCCAGGACGCGACCGCCTCGTTTGTGGAGCAGTTGATCGTCACTCGCACGTCAGTGGGAACACAAGGGACTGGGGGGGGAAACACAGGAGACACAGATGACCTGGTCAGCCTTTAACAGAAAACATCTACTTGCACAGATTTTTAATGTATTGAATTCATATTTTCTCCCAAATAAAGCTGACTTGCTTTAAAGGGCACCTAGTGTCCAAAATTCATGTTTTGCCTGATTTTGTACTTGCATATCTTTAAATGTTCATTTGGTGAATTGAACAGAGCTGATTTTTAATTACATTTACTTAAAGATTATTCACATTTTTCCTGTTTTTCTACTTCGATTTTGGTCTCTGCTGCTTCTAAAAACACCCAAACTTGTTAGCTGGTCATAAGTTCAATGTTTTCTGGTGTCTGGAAAATTAGCTGTTTCAAAAACTTTCCAAATGCAACATTACAAGTTAGCGAGCCCAGCGGATCTTGGCCCGTCACTCAGCGACCCAAGAACTGATCCGACTCGACTCTCATTAAATAAGAATTATTTTGAGGGAAAAATGTACTGCATACGTTTTAGATCATAGACATTCCTAACCTGTTGAAGGAAGCATAGCATCTTATGTCCTCTGTGATATAGTGTGCAAGTGGAAAAACATGAGAGAAATTAGCTTCTTTTTGGCAATTTTTGGAATAAGAAAAGAATCAAAGAGGCATTTAAATGTCTTCCAACTCACCCGACTGCAGTATGTCAGACATGCTGGGGTCAGAATCACAGATCCCGTTGGAACCGACAACCGTCACCAGGTTGTGCTTCCCACACGGGATGTTGGGAATGGCGCACTGCTCGTTTTCAGACGCGCAGCTCATCGGCTGGCCGTCTTCTGGCATCACCGTGGCGGTGTAGAACTCCGCCCCCGCCGAGCCGCTCCACGACAGCAGAGCGATGTTCGACAGGCAGTTCAAGACGCTGTGCACTGCGGTGGGTGGGCAGGGCTCTGCAGCCGGGCACATAATATGAAGAGTAGAGATTTAAGATTTGTTATCAGATGAAGCAAATAAGAAGAAAAGGTCAATACAACCCATCATCACATTTGGTAAAGGTAAATAAAAAGCCTTAAGACTCAACTACTGTAGCATAATCACTAAAACCAAACAGAAAACCCAAAGTCCATTTTTTTTCTCTAAATCATTAAATTATAACTTTTTGGGACCCATTTTGACCCTCAGAGAAACAAACCAACTTTTAGTATTTTAGAATTTATAGGTTTTTAAATAAGCTAAGAATCAGAGGCTTAAACGATTAATCATGATCAATCGATTATTGAAATAATCATCATCTAATTTAGTAATCAATTAATCATTAATTGATGAGAAATTGAGCTTTTAAGAGCAGAAATTTAAACCAAAACTGTCTGATATATATCATTAATGCAATATGTATTTGAATTTAAGATAAAATCACCTAAATCTGCAAATATATTCTTCCCAAAACTTCTCCAGTGGTATAGCATCGGCTTGCACAGCAGTCATCAGTAAACAAGTCTGTTTTGATATGAAGCTTTGTGTTCGGCTTGAGGCTCCAGCAGCTTCAAATAACCGTTTGCTGCTTTGAAGGGGTATTTTAACAGCTGCTCTTTTGAATTTGTCTAACAGAAATCTTCCTCATTATGCCTTTATCTACACAAACTCATACAGAACTACACTATCTGATGATTCTTGTCAGCAGAGATCCTTCCGCTTTCCCTTACTGGCCTGTTTAATAATGTGGAACATCCTTCTTAAGTAAATTTCCTTCACTTGAGTTCACCAGACAAACTAACCAACCAGCTCTCTGAAATTCATTATTGTGATTCAAGAGCCCTGACACACAATACCGTCTATACATTTAATAGCACAACAAAAAATGTTATCTTTATGACCCTTAAATCCAGTTTGCATAATAATTTGGAACACGGTGTAAATCCGATTATGTTTTTTGTTTTATCTTTGGTGGGTTTTGGAATTCAGTTTCTACAAAAAATAGAAGGTTTTCATAAAAATCTACCTGAAAACAGTTTTGAAGGCCGGCTGGGGCGACTGGTGCAGAAAGAGTCTGCCGCCTGGACAGACAGGAAGTACTCCTGACCGCACAGGAACTCAGAAATGAACGTCCAGGTGTCGTTGGTGCTCAGCTGCACTTTGTGGCCGCTGTTGGTCTCTGCTGTCACGATGTAAAACTCAGCGGTTTCACTGGCATTCCAGGTCAGTGATCCAACCTGGAGATGATGAAAATAAGTGTCAGTTTCGCCTGATGAGAAACCAGGAGGGCCATTTTAAGAAAATTATGAAAACAAAGTCATCAAATTACAAGACTAAAGTCATGTTAGATGAATAAAGTTGTAATTTGACAACTTTATTCTCCCAGTACTTTGACTTTATTCTCATGCTTTTTTTTTTTTTTATTTTCTCATGCCCTCATGCCCCACTGTCTGATTTACAGCCAATCAAACATCAGTCACCTTTGTAGAGCAGTTAATGGATGATTTCAAATCTTGAGGTACGCAAGGTGCTGAAAAAAGAAGGAGGAAGTTTGAAATTTATAAATGAACTGGCACAAAAACACAGTAAATTTTATTCTATAAGTTTTTAAGTTGCACAGTTTAAAACAGTATTTACCCATCCGGATAGTCGTGCTGTTGCTCTGCATGCTGGTGCAATGGTAGTCGAGCGCGACGACGCTGACGGTGTAAATTTCGCCGCAGTGCAGGTCGTCCCACTTGCAGCTGGTGGTGTTTGAGGCGCACTGGTGGATGTGGCCGTCCTCCCCCACCGCCACAGCCAAGTACGACTCTGCGTCTGCGAACATGGTCCAGCTGACGGCGCCGAGGCTGTCCTCGCAGCGCGTGTAGCTCCGCAGGGCCTCGGGGGTGCAGGGACCTGACGGAGAGATGCAAACGTTCACATCACTGCTCCAAACTTAGGACAGGTCATTAGAGTGGAAGCAGTTCATCAAATTAAATGTGATTAATCGATGACTGAAGTAATTTTCAACTAATTTAATAATCAATTAATCGAGTGAATCATGATTAATCAGCTGTTGAAACAATTGTCAACTAATTTAGTAATAGTTAAATGGAGTGTACAACATGAGAAAAGGGATTTTGTTGAAAGATTATAGTCAAAGCGGTAATTATGCCAAAACTGTACAAAAAATATTCAGACAAAAACTCCTCTGAATGTAAAAATGTTTTACTCAAAAGGAAAAATTGAGACTCTGGGCTGTTGGTAATTTCTTTGTTTTTTGATGGCCATCGACAAGAACATATTCTTATTCATTCTTGTGGACTCCCAATGATTAATTGATTAATCATGATTAATTGATTACTGAAAAAAACGTCAACTAATGTTGTAATCGATAAATCGCTAAATGGAGTATGCAAAGTCAGAAAACATTCAGGGCAGTAAATAAACCAAAACTGTGCAAAAATGTCAACATTTTGCATTTAAGACAAAAAATCTGTTTATTTTGTATGGAGGCTTGTTTTAAGTCAATAATTCATTACTATTGATGAAAAAGTTGGAGTTTCATTGGTAGATTATTTTACATACAACATGAGAAAAATGTTTTAAGAGAAATAATCTGAAAGTGAAACAAATGTTGTTTGATGAATATTAATGAATTATTGACTGAAAACAAGCTCCTCTTTCTTGCAATTTAGTTTTGTCTTATTTCAGGTGTACTAAGATATTTGCACCAAAAACTAGACCAATAATATTAGCTTCAGTGTATTTTCAGCTCCATGTCATAAAGAAAGACTACAGAAATGAGGCGTACCTGTTTTGTATTGTTCAGACTCGCTCACGGCGCTCTCACATCGATCATCTTGTGCCTTTACGGTGAAAGTGAACAGCTGTCCGCAGGGCAGATCGGTTTCTATCCACGTTTCGTTGACTTGGAAAGTAGAAGCGTAACCCAGATGTCCAGCGGCTGTGACTACGTACACTGCTGCCCCGGGAGCCTCATCCCAGCTCACCATAACCGTCTCATTATGGCACGAGCCGCCGACCGACAGCCCAACCGGCTGGCAAGGTTCTGGAAGAAGAAGAGAAAAAGATAATTACCTCACAGCAATCAGGAATAAATAACCAAACTCTGATCCAGAACCGCACAGCATTCTGGGAGATGTAGGCAGAGGAAGAGCCTCAGCTGCTCAGCCTCTTACAGCTAACCAAGCAAAGTTGGTGGAATCAACTGACTCACCCGCTCTTTGGTTACCTAGCAACTGACTGACCCGCTCTTTGGTTACCTAGCAACTGACTGACCCGCTCTTTGGTTACCTAGCAACTGACTGACCCGCTCTTTGGTTACCTAGCAACTGACTCACTCGCTTTTTGGTTACCTAGCAACAACCTGTCGAGTAACTTGCACAGAAAAGGTTTCGCCACTGCTTCTCATAAATGCTTAAAAACAACAAGCATGGAGTGAAAAATGTGGATAGACTAGGAAACGTCCTGCCACCAGTTTGGGAAGATTTAAGAATTTTAAAACTGAACACTAATCAATAATTAGCAATAAAGAATGATATGAAACACTTATGATACATTTTTTCAGATATATCACCCACCTTTAAGTAAGAACATAATATGTAGAAATATTAAAGCAGAAATAATTTAGATGACTGATTAACATTAAAACAAAAACTCTCCTACCTGTCTGGATCTCCACAGAGTCGCCCTCTTTGCTGTAGCACATGCTGCTGTACGCAGTGACAGAAAACACATATTTCTCTCCACAGTCCAGACCCGGGAACTGGCAGGTGGAGTTGGTGGAGTTGCACTGCAGGGTTAATCCCGCGCTGCTGGTGGCAGTGGCCATAAAGAGCTCCACATAGTCGTCTTCGTCCCAGAACATGTCGGCTGTACTCGTCCCACACCGGAGGTCCACTCCGACACGCAGCGGCTTACAGGGGCCTGGAAATCAGTCGAAATGTTGACAATTTAAACTGTTTGATGACAAAATGTCAGAGCTAAAAGATATTAAATGTGGAGTTCCACATGGCTCACTGTTAAGACCTAAACGCTTGACTTACTTGTGCTGAAGTAAACGTCGGTGTGCGTCTCAGTCTGGCATTGGTCGCTGATGGTTGTGAGGGTGACGTTGTACGTCTGACTGCACTCCAGCTCCAACAGTTCACACTGGAGCTCATCCGTCTCACAGGAGGTCCGGTGCCCGTTTGGCGACACAGCAGTCACCCGGTAGGAGCTGGCGCCCGCGCTGTAGCTCCAAGAGACTTCTGCTGTGTTGTTGTGGCAGTCATAGCTAGCCGCCACATCGCCGGCCGTACAGGGAGCTGCAGACAGGAGGAGGCCAAGCAGGATTTGTGTCATTTGGTTTTGTTTAACTCTTGAATTTAAAAATGCTAATGATTTTGAATAAAACACTGTAATATTTTAGAAAAGTGGTGCTTTTTTTGGAAGGGCTAAACTTCAAGCACCTCCAGCACACTTGGTCAGCTGCTTTTACTGGAGTATGTGCTGTACAATGGATGTTGGTTCATTGGTTCATTTAAAAACCACTTGCTGCATTCTTGTTGGTTGTGCAGCAGGCTCAATTTCTGCTTTTCAAAGAGACTCTAAAACATCTCATTCTGAGCTCAAAATAGGCAGAACTTAGAATGATTTTGTGTAAAAATAAAAACTCTAATGAACATGTTTTGTGTAGACCATAGACCGATCCTAACCTGTTCAAGGAAGCATAATAGTTTTTTATTGTTGATACATCATGCCACACCAATAAAAGCAGGATTGTACTGGATCCTGTTACACCAGGCATTATTTCATCCCTGTTCGTACTTTATCACAGTACTGCCACAACGTAGTACCTGCAGTGAGGAGCACAGTGGTGGACTTGCTGCTGTTGCGGTTCTCCCCAATGGCAATGACGTTGGTGTAGTAGACGACCCCACAGTGCAGGTCTTTGATGTCGCAGAACGTGGTGTTTGTGAGGCAGGTTAGCGAATGGCCGTCACGCCCGGCGAGCTGAACCTTGTAGCCCACGGAGCCCCAGCTGGCCTCCCATGACACAGTCCCCAGCTCCTCCTGGCAGTTCACGTTGGTCTCCACGTTTTTGGGTGGACACGGCTCTGGAAAGGGACAGAAACGACTGAATGAAGCAGATCATGTTTATCTATCTGCACTGCAAAAACAAAAACTTACCAAGTATTTTTGGTTTAGTTTCTAGGTAAAGTGTCTTATTACACTTGAAATAAGACAAATCTAATTTACAAGTAACTTTTAGGCAAGATATAAGAGTTTGTTTTACGTTAATAATTACTTACTGATGAAAAGTTCCAGTTCCACTAGAAGATTATTTCACTTATAACAGGGGGGAAATGTCTTAAGTTAAATAATCAACCAACTAGGACTAAAACTTTTATCAATATTCAATAATTATTTTCTCAAAAGAAGCTCCTATATTTTTCTGAAAAGTTAGTTTAGTCTAATTTCAAATGCAATAAGATATTTTCACTGAAAACTAGACCAAAATTACTGTGTTTTTGCAGCGTAAACCTTCCAGCTGCATTCCAGAGTTGGAATATTTGGGTTTCTATTTGGGAAAAAAAAAACAAGAAAAAACAAATTTTTCCCCCAAAATTTTAATACTAAAATGGAACCCAGTTGGTGCTCACCTTCAAATCCAACATGACTGCCACATGTATGAACTACATATTGTACAAGATGACCCCTATTGGTTATAGTAGTTCTATTTTTGTTCATCAACCTCAACAGTTTGAAAAATTCACAGATTTTTCTTAATATTAATTGAAAAGTAGAAAGTCCACAGGCAGATTATTTGTTTTATAATATGGAAAAAATGTGTTGTAAGTGAAATAATCAGCCACTGGAACTTGAATTTTAGGACATGATTAACTGAAATCTGGGCCCTATGTCTTCCTGGAAAGTTACTTCTAAATTAGTTTTGTCTCATTTTAGGTGAACTAAACGAGAAGCCAGACCTGGTAATTTCTTCCTTTTTATTTCTTGCAGGGTGTAAGTTAGCACCATAATTAAAGTGGCTCACCTAAACTTTACATTCCTAATCACAAGCAAGCATCACAGAAGTTCAAAAGTGCATCAAATCCTCACCTGTTACAATAGTGACGTGTTCTGTAGAGACAGACACGTCTTTGCACACGTTGCTGTGCGACGTGACGGTGATGTTGTACACCTGGCCGCAGTCCATGTTGTACAATGTGCAGAAGTTGTCTCTGGTGGTGCAGGTGGCTGTGAGGCCTTGGTCCGTTTCCGCAGTCACGGTGTAGTTATCGGCACCGGCTGCCTTGTCCCACTCGACCTGACCGATGGCCAGGCTGTACAGACCGGTGATCTGTTCAGGAATGCATGGTTCTGTAACAGAGAATCAGGACACCAAGTAAAAATGGGATTACAATTAAAACTTTTCTTTCATGGTGAAAAAACAAATTCTGTAAATCTGACTTTTGATTTTTTTTTTAAACACTTTAGTTTTACTTACAAAAATGTGTTTTTTGTAAGGTGAGCTCTAAGAGAAATCGCCAGTATTTCAATATTTGTTACTTAATTTTTAAATAAATGGGTTGTTTTATTAGGATTAAAATAGAAACTAGACTGCAGAGTAAAGGAGAATTAAATACAGTTTTCTCTGTGTTCATTGAATAAAAGCAAGAATAAAATAAAACAATAAGAATAAAAGCATAAAATTTGCTGTTATTGCATAATCTCACACTATATAATTTAGAAAAATCAATATTTTAATTTCATATTTTAAACGTGTTTTAGTTTCTCACCCGTCAGCAGCTCTCCGGTCATGTTGGCGCTGCTGCTGCAGCTTTCTCCCACTGATTTCACCCACACAGCGTATCTCTGACCACACCGCAGCCCCTCCAGCTCACAGAAGGTGGTGTTGGTCTCGCAGGTGACGTTGTGGCCCGATGCAGTGGAGGCGACTGCCAGGTAGGACAGAGCACCGTCGCTCGGGAACCAGGACACCTGGGCTGTTTTGGTGTAGCAGTCCATCGCCGCCTTGATGTTTCTGGGTTTACACGGCACTGAGAGGAACACAGGTGACATTTCAATCAGTGTTTTTAGATTTTATTTTTACCCGAGTCTTAAAAGTGAATATTGAAAAAAATGAATGGGAACCTATTATGCAAAATTCACAGTTTTCATGTTTTTGTACTTGCATTTGGAACTCTAGATGCTTCTGAAAACCTACTAATCCATTTTTTGGCAATGAATTGATGTATTTTGGTGTCTAGAAGATGAATAGTTTCAAAAACCTCTGGAATGAAACAGCACAAATCATCAGGCGCTGCCCCGTTACCTACCAACCCAAACTTAGCTCCAGCACATTCCAGTTCTGTGCAATGGCTGCTGGGAAAGCTACCATCTGGAAACCACTTGCTGCATTCTTGCTGGTTGTGCAGGAGGGTCTGCTTTTGTTTTTCAAAGATGTACTGTTGTATAGTTGCGGTTCTGTAGGCAGCCATTTTTATGTCTGAGTGTGAACACTGAGTTGTTGTAGCATCACATTTTATTGGTTGTATGATTTGGTCTTTGGTAAACAGACCAAACAGAGCCATTTCTCCTGTTAGCACTGGACTCAAGCATTTACTTTGGTTGTATTTACCCAGAATGCCCTGCTTTAGGCAGACCAGAGTTATCTATATTGGTCCAAATCAGAGTTTGCTTTCAAATTCACACATCACCAAACAAACCGGACCTTACAGGCAGTTCAGTTAAACTGGACTAAGCAGGGCTGGTGGGAAAGCACCCTTAAAGTGACGGAGCCCAATATCAGCTCATTCTGGAAGGATCTTTCATTATCTAAGATTGTTTTTATACAAATAAAGTAATGAGCATGCTTTTGTTTAGCCTGTAAAAATATCCATACCTGTTAAAGGAAGCATAATGGGTCGCCTTTGAAACGTTGTAGGGGATCAGCTCTAGTACTCTGTGTTTCATTTGTAACTCCTCTCCTACCTGAGGGCGTGTCCAGCACGTCTGTGGGCGGGCTGTTGCAGAATCCGTCAGAGGAGGCCACAGATACGTGGTAGATCTGGCCGCAGCCGAGTCCGCTCACGCTGCACAATCCCTGGGTTGTTCCCTGGCAGGTTGTGCTCCGGCCGTAGCTGTCCTGCAGCGTGGCGGTGTAGGAGTCGGCGCCTGCGCTCTCAGACCAGGAGACGATGAGAGAGTTGGCCTCACAGTCCATCACAGAGGACGTATTCTCAGGAGTGCATGGTACTGTTGGAGAAACGTGACAGTTTAGAGGTGAGAAAGGCTGATGACACTCAAAAAACATGAAACATTGAACTATTATACCATAGAACCACAACTCTACCCCAATCCTTCTCACACTGTTGGTCCATGGGCGCCCCTATTGGCCCACCAGGTACTGCATGTTAGGGACCGTTTATTTGCCATGACGTCAGATCTGCGTTAGCTCACCGAAGGTTATATTTATAAATAATAATGGATAAGTGGCTTAAAACCATGTCACTCAAAAGGAAAAAATACAATGTCATTATTATGTTGTATTATTGTAAACGCTAGCTAAATATTTATTTATAAAGGTTACTATAAAGCCAAAGTAATTCAGTACTTCATGTTGATATCCATATTTGAATGGATTCAGAAAGCAGTCACTGAGTTCATACTGTCACTGATTCAATCAGTTTCATCTCTGATAGTTTGTGCTTGAATATGAATAAAATAAACAGAAAAGTGTCATAACCGGTCATGACACAGCAGAATACTGTGAATTCCTGATGCTGGTGCATCATAAGCGATTCACATGCTTCATATACATCAGAAAACGTTACGTCCTTCCAAACTTCCTTCATTACTTTAAATTCAAACCCACATTTCAGTAAATTCAGATTCTCTGAGGTCATACCAGTCTTGATCGTTACGCTGTCGCTGGGTTTGCTCTTGCAGCGAACATCCTCGCCGGTCACTGTGGCGTTGTAAAGCTCTCCACAATGCAGGTCCGTCAGATCACACTGGTTATCAGGCGACCGACACTCGGACACGTCCGCCGGCGCCCACCGCCGTCACGGTGTAGAGCTGCCCGCCGCGGCTGTAGCCCCACGACATGGACGCCACATTGCTGCTGCAGATCAGATTGGCTTTGAGGTTCTCTGGAACGCACGCCACTGAGAACAGGGAAATCAGAAATGAAGCTTTCCTTGCAGAACATAAAATGCTTCCGGTGCATTTCGGGACGGATACCTGTCCTTGTGATGTACCCGACACTCTCTGAGCTGTTGCAGGTCCGACCCTCGGCTGTCACATGCAGGATGTACATCTCCCCGCACGGCAGGCCTCTGATGTCGCACTCGGCAGCGGCCGATGTACAGCAGCTTGACATGCCGCCATTCAGCTCTTCGAGCGTGGCCGTGTACGTTATCGCCCCGGGAACAGCTGCCCAGCTGATTGACAGGGTTCCATCGCTACAGTTTATGGTTTCACTTATGTCCTGAGGAGGACACGGCGCTGCAAAAGGAGAAGAAATTTCACATTTATCGTCACGCAATTAACCAAAAGTATTCACAGGGCCAATAATACAGGCACTGCATGTCTACATACTGAAAGATTTATCAATGTACAGCAGGAGGTCAAAACCTGGTCAAGGTTTCTCATTTTTTCCTTCCCCTAAATTTTCGATTTGTATTCATTCATACAGGATTTGCTGTAGAGATAGATTCTGCAGTGTCAGTGAATATCAGCACCGTCCATCAAGATGCTGTAGGCCATAACAGGGCAAATAACATTTTTAAATGATTAAATGATTTAACATAATTAAAAAAACATTTTGTTCAAATTTTCAGTAAAACTGCACTGAACACACAAAATCTATTTTTGGTCTAGTTTCTAGTGGAAATTCCCCAGTTTACTTGAAATAGGACAAAATTAAGTATCAAGTAACTTTCAAGCAACATTTAGGGGCTTTTAAGTCAATAATTGTTTAATATTGATTTTAAAAAATTTGTTCCACTGGCAGATTATTTCACTTATGAGAAAAATGTTTTGTTCAATAAATTGCCAGTGAAATTAGGATATTTTTTTATGAATAATAAAGAATTATCAAACTAAAACAAGCTCCTAAAACAAGTTTCGACTTATTTTAGGTCTACTAACATATTTGCACTGGAAACTAGAAAAATATTCTTGGTGAGATTTTATGTTTTTGCAGCATCATTGATTAATTGCTTACTGCGACAGGTTTAGTCATGATAGTAACTACATATCGTAACTATTCAAAGTTTCTTCCTGCTTCGGTTTTAATCCTGTGACATTAAGTTTCTTTGTTTTTTTCCTGATAACCTGTTTCTGTGGTGACGCCGTTGCTGGCGGCGCTGATGCACTCTTCGTTCTGGGCCTTCACGGTAAAGGTGAGGTTCTGGCTGCAGGGTAACGTCGGCAGACTGCACATCCCGCCCGACGTGGCATTGCACTCGAACGTCTGGACGGCGCCCTGGCTGTTTGTTGTGATAATGACGTATCCTTCAGCGCCGTCAGACTCATCGAATATCACCCAGGCTGAGTTTGTCAGGCAGTCGATCTCCACATCTGACAACTGAGGCACACAGGGAACTGAAAGAAACAAGAAGCAGGGTCAGAAAATTTGCCAAACTTATTGAACTCAACTAAGAGCAGCACTACTTCAACATATTTTTACGCAGTTAAGAGTAAAAATATTCTCAAGTGCTGTACTAAGTAATAGATCACATTTTCAATCATGTAATATTTAAAAATTACTCCATCAGCCTGATCAAAATAAAAAGGTAATTTTAAAGACCAAAAAGGAAAAAAATATATATAATAAAGAAACATTTTTCCTAATCAATTTCTTTCAATATAAAACCTCTGAAGCTTTATCAACAGGTGCTATCCAAACATGAAAAGAAACGAAAAGTAAAACAGAAGTTACTCCTGGACTTCCACAAGGTTCAGTGCTTGAACCGGCATCTTTTCACTCTTTATTTATTTGATTTACTGTAAGAAATGTAAATGCCTTTATCTTAAAATAAAAGATGAAAGAATTAATTTAAGTTAATCATAGATTCCCCAAGGTTCAATACTTGGACTGGTTCTTTTTCACAATTTTAGCTTTCATTAGATAACAATTCATCCCTTTGAAATGCAGATTAAACTTAAAAGGTTTGTCTTAATACTTAAGACGATTTTAGCAACTTAAAACAGGCTTTTCCTGTTTTTTTAAGTAAGTCTCTAAAAGTTTAAGAGAAAGTGAAATATATTTCTCTGCACCTGTTGAAATCAGCGCGGTGGCGCTGTCCTGGCCCACACATGTATCCCAGGACGGCGTGATGGAGACGTTGTATTCGGTCCCACACTGCAGGGTGTTGATGTTACAGCCACTGTTTGTGCCACTGCAGTTTTGAGCGCGACCTTCCTTATCAACCGCAGAGACGGTGTACACGACCCCTGAGACGCTGTTGTTCCAGGTGACGGAGACAACGCCGCTGCTGCAGTCCACGCGAGGATGGAAGGACAATGGTGGGCAGGGAGCTGGGAGGAGAAGGTAAAGTAAAATATGGTTAACTGAGAAAATAGTGAGGTGTGTTTGTTACTGCAAAAAAAACCTTAGGAAAAATGTCATAAAATGCACTTAAAAAACCATAAACAGAAGGGGTCTTTTTAGTGAAAAAGCAGAACATTTCTCAGACAATTACTGAACATGGGTGTTGCTAAATGGGGGGTAAATAGAGAACAGTGCCCTTTACCTTCACACTTTTACTTCAACAATAAATCAAAAATTAACAACATAAATATCCTTTATTGTCCTGTAATTGGGAAATTTCTGTGTAACAGCAATGGGGTGACAGGAAATAGACTCACAAACAGAGAATACAAAATATAAAGAGAATACAAAATAAAAATCCTGCTCAGTAAGGGCAAAATGTCAACATAAGAGAATTTGGTTTACTTTTAAAATGCAAAATATTCTTTCTATTAATATACCATTGTGCTAAAATAAATCATTGCTATTGATTATGTGACGACCCTACCAAATGAGCCAGTGATAGGAGTGCAGCAGTCGCACTGATTGGTTAAATATTTTGAGATTAAATAGCTGGTTATACTTTTTTTTTTAATTAAACATTTCTAAACCATCTCCTTATGTCATTTTCCACTGAGAAGTGGCTCCAAATGTTCAGTAATTGCTGCTGGCTAGTCTGAAGGAGCTGAGTGGGGGTGTTGTGAAACTGCAGCTCAGAGGCGGAGCTGTGTCTTGAAGGCGGGGCTAGGTCCACCCAGGCATAATTAGAACTGTAGCCTTTTACTGGGTGTTTTAGCATCTTGTGTTGCGTTTTGATTTTATTCTGTTCCTTAATTTAGCTGGCCCACCTGTTTTAACTTGCTTTATGGGGCTGTTGGAGCTGTTGCAGGCCTCATCCTGGGCCGTCACAGTCACATCGTACGTCGTCCCACACGCCACATTTTTCACCACGCAGTAATTCTGTTCCGTCCTGCAGATGTTGAGGTGGCCCTTGCTGCTCACTACGGAAGCCTGGAAGCGTGTGAAGTAGCCTGGGGATTCCCAGGTCACGTTGAGGACTCCAGATGGACAGTCAAGATGTGTCTCAACGTTCTCTGGAACGCATGGAGCTACAGAGGAAGCACAAAGAGTTATCTGAAGGTCTAATCACCTAGCAGATTTAGAAGTTTTTCGCAGAAAACATGATAATTATACATATTCACCAGTGCGAATCCTTTTTATTTCACTCTTGGCTCCAAAGCAGGTCGAATCGATGCCGACGACATAAACATTGTACTTCTGTCCACACAGCAGTTCAGGTATTTGGCAGGTGGTGCTGCTTGTGTTGCACGACCACTGGCGACCATTTTCATTTTCTGCCACGGCCATGTAGGACATGGAACCCTGCGAGCCTTGCCACGACACCGAGATGTTGTTGGATGTACAGGAAGAGCTGACCCTGAGGTCGGTGGGAGGACACGGAGCTGGTGGAGGGAAAGAGATCATTTTATACACCATCGCAGCAGGTACCACAGGGAAAGCATAGTTTCGTAAAATAAAAAATAAATGATACTCTAAAAGGAAAATTTTGTGCAAAATTCCCTTTTTAGCACATTTTTGTACTTCCATTTGGGTTTCTACTGCTTCTAAAACAGCATAAACGCTTAAAGAAAACCACCCAACTGACAATAAGTTCATCTTTATTGGTTTCTGGAAAATTTAAAAACCTCTGGAATGTAACATCACAAAGCAGTGGGTCACCTAGCAACCCCGGCCGAGTTCCACCTGTCACCTAGCAACCCCGGCCGAGTTCCACCTGTCACCTAGCAACCCCGGCTGAGTTCCACCTGTCACCTAGCAACCCCGGCTGAGTTCCACCTGTCACCTAGCAACCCCGGCCGAGTTCCACCTGTCACCTAGCAACCCCGGCTGAGTTCCACCTGTCTGTCACCTAGCAACCCTGGCCGAGTTCCACCTGTCACCTAGCAACCCTGGCCGAGTTCCACCTGTCACCTAGCAACCCTGGCCGAGTTCCACCTGTCACCTAGCACCCCTGGCCGAGTTCCACCTGTCACCTAGCAACCCTGGCCGAGTTCCACCTGTCACCTAGCAACCCTGGCTGAGTTCCACCTGTCACCTAGCAACCTAGTAACAAGACACGTTTTTCCAACACGGGTTGGAAAAAATCCCCCTGTATTTAGAGCTGAAACGATTATTCGGATTAATTGCAATTATTGAAATAATCATCAACTGACTTAGTGATCGATTAATCGGTAACTGGAGTATACAGACTCAAAACACCATTTGCTGGAAAAACAACATATTCAGAGCAGAAATGAAGTCAAAGCTGTAAAAAAATTTATACATACATTTGCATTTAAGATAAACAACCTTTGTTTGTAAATATGTTTTATCCAAAACTTGTGGAAAAGTTTTAGCTTCACCTGGTCAAATTCTTAGGCAATAAAATGTTTATTTCCTTATTTATTTGTATCTTTCAATGAATTCCTTGTATTGTATAAAAACAGCTTAAGGGGTTAGATAAAAAATCTGTAGCTTTTTATCCGATTAATCGTCAGAATAATTGACTGCTAACATTCCAGGCCTACCTGTGTTTATTCTGTTCCAGCTCTGGGACGGACTGGGGCAGGTCTGTCCCTGCCCGCTGACGCTGACCCTGTAGCTCTCGCCGCAGCGCAGAGACGTGATGTTGCAGGACGAGCCGCGGGTCGAGCAGCTTTTCTCTTCCGCCATGTTAAAAGGATCGGCTGAGGCGTTGTAGTAGAGGATGCCGCTGCCAGGAGTCCAAGACACAGAGACTGCGTTGGTGTTGCAGTCCAGCGACGTCTGCAAGCCGCTGTGGGGACACGGATCTAGACAAAGGAGAATGCAAAAAAAAATAAAATATTTTATGTTGGTTTTACCAAATGATAAATCAAAGAACATAAGTTGGTTTATATAGAGAAGGAAAACATTGTTTATCTGTATGGTCTGCATTATAAATTAACAAATCTTTTTTACAATGTAGAAATTGTGACATGAAGCATAAAATAAATGTGTAAATATTCATAACAGCTGATCCAGGTCGCTGCTGCTGGTGTTCTGACTAAACAGATGGAGAACATTCCCTCAGTCCTTACTCTGAGAGAATAGACGTCAAAATAAGTCTGTTAGTTTACGGATAATAAATGAAAGAATGGCCGACATATTGTGTGTAGCAATTGTAGGCAGGACTTCATAACCACAGAATTCTTCCTACTCCTGTTTGAACTGGCTATGAAAGCTTTGTTTTTTATGTTTCAGGTTGATTTTGCCATGTTTTATGAACTCTTGTCCATCTGAGTCGTCTCACCGGCGCTGATGGTGATGGCTTCACTCGGCGCACTGACGCAGGTGTCATGGCGAGCCACCACTGTGACGTTGTAGTCCTGCCCACACTGCAGGTTGATGAAGTTGCAGTTGACGCTCGCGCTGTCGCACTGGGCTCTGTGGCCGAGGCTTCCCTGGGCGTAGACGCTGTAAGAAGTGGCGCCGAGCGCTTCGTCCCACGTCACGGCCGTGATGTCGCTGTCACAGTCCACGCGCGCTTTGACGTGGGTGGGGATGCAGGGAGCTTTGAAGAGAACACAGAGATTATTATATAATCTCTATAACAAATCAATTGCATGATAACTTAAAAAGAGCTCTATAATTTATATATCAATGATGTATTTCTCTTTTATTGTTTCTTTTTTCCTCTTTCTAGCAAAACTGGATGACAAAAGTCTTCAGCTTTCGTCCCAGCCAGCCTTTTTTGTTTTGTTTACAGAGAATTCATGATTCATTTTATTTGTTGTTTCTGTTGTTTTGTTTATTTATCTTGGATATTTAAAATGTCTTCCAGTTCCAGTGTTAAATGTTAATAATTTAAAGTTTACTGATCTTTGAGAATGTGTTCTGGCATTATTACGTCCGACTTGAAAATGGTCTCAAAACAACAAAATTATCCATTATCTCAATAACTTCTGGGGCAATTTATCGTTATCAAAATTTGTTACCGTAATAATCAGCTTCTTTTCTCTTACCGGTGCTGAGCTCCTGAGCAGCAGCGGGTTCGCTGCTGCAGGAGTTGGTGTAGCCGACGACGTTAATGGCGTATTTATTCCCACATTGCAGCTGATGGAAGGTGCAGTTGGAGCTGCTGGAGTTGCAGACGCTGGTCTGTCCTCTGCTGTCCACGGCGGTCACCACCTGACGCTGATCCGGACCCGAGTTCTCCCAGGTGACCTTCGCCAGGTCGGTGCTGCACTCCAGATTCACTGAGGCGTTGGCTGGTTTGCAGGGAGCTGGAGCAAAAAGAGGAAGAAAACATTGATAAAATGAACGACAGATATCTGCCAGGTTCCACAGGCGGATTATTTCACTGATAAAACGCCAGAAGTGAAATAATTTGCTAGAAGGACTAGTGCTTTTAAAATCTAAATTATGAAATTACTGACTTAAAATAAGCTCCTATGGCTTTCTGCAAAGTTACTTGTAAGTTAGTTTTGTCTTATTTCATATGTACTAAGTTATTTTCCCTAGAAATTAGACCAAAACATTTGGAAATATTTTGTGTTCTGCAGGAAGTTAATTGTATAAATTTAAGACCTCAATTCAAGATCACTCACATCTGGAGATACATTAAAAAAAACCCTAAATTTCAGCCATTGCCACCAGCTCTGGTGTAGATTATTAACCCATTAATCGTTAATTGGAATATACAGACTCAAAACCAGGCTATTTTCTGAAAGAACGGCATATTCAGAGCAGTGATTAGGCCAAATTTGTACAAAAAACATTACATTTTGCGCTTAAGATAATAAAACAAAACCTAAGTCTGTAAATATTTTCTACCAAAAACACATCAAGTCGCAAAGTTGTAGCTTCATCTGGCAAATTCTGTAAAAACAACAAAATCTCCTTCTATGCACTTTTTGAAATCCGATTACTAATCAATCTACAAATCCTTAAGCTTATACTTAAGGAATGCTACAATTGAATTTTTGGAAATAAAATGTTTACATTGTCGTTTAAAAAAGGGAATAAATTATTTGCTGGACTTTATGTATTTCAAAAAGGATTAAATGAAAATTAGCAGAATGTGGCTTTTGTCTACCCAATTAATCAATTAAATAGTCAATTACTAAAATAATCAGTAGTTATTAGTTTACCCATCCCTTATGTTTTAGCAAAAGGTTGAGCTGAATCTGCTTTGGTTTTCTTTACCTGAGTAAATCTGGTAGTCTGAGCCATTGATGATCCCACAGTCGATGGAGGCCGTGGTGACGACGATGCTGTACAGGACGCCGCATTTCAGGCTGCGGATGGTGCACTGAGTGCTGGCGGAGTCGCAACTCGCACGCGTGTTGTCGCTGCCGATGGCGATGGCCGTGTACATGCCAACGTCACCGAGGGTTCCTCTCCACTGCACCAAGAAGGAGTTGGCCGTGCAGTCGAGCTCTGCTTTCACCCGGTCAGGCAGACACGGAGCTGATGGAGGAACAGGTTGAATATCAGTCAATCAATCAATCAATGAGTAAAGGAGTGCAGAGTTCCCAAAAACTATACTCAGGTAAAAGTAGAAATACTTCAACTTATTTTTACTCAAGTAATATGTGTCTGTCCAAGAAATTACTCAAGTGAGAGTAAAAAAGAATTTGGTAAAAAGTACTGAGTAACTGACCAATTATCAATCATTTCATGTTTGAAAACTACATCATCAGACAGACCAAAATATGATGTTGAGTGGAAATTTAGGTGTCTTAATTATCAACATGACAATAATTCATATAAGTAACAAAATGAATAAAATCAGGCAAAAGAAATTTATCCAAATCAGTTTATTTCAATAAAAACTGCAGTTCTGTGTCTGAGTCTGGTGAATATTTGGTTAAAACATGTTTGGTTAAAACTGAATGAAAAATTCAGTGGGTAGAAAATCCAGAAATTTCACTCAAGCAAGAGTAAAAATACTTAATAATACTTACATAATAAAAATACTCAAGTAAAAGTAAAAAGTACAGTGCAGTAAAAATACTCCCAAAAGTAAATTTAAGTAAATGTAATTAGTCACTGCCCAACTATGCTTAAAAATTAATTCATCAAATGGTTCTGAGAAATGCAACTTGTAGATTAATGAGTAAAAATGATGTTAATTTTCAATTGCATTATGTTCTGTCTTAATTTTTCATAATAAAAATTCAAAACAAAATTCCACGTTATATTTTAACACTTTTTGCATCAGCTGTGTAAAACACTAATTATATAAACATAATTGTTTCTCACAATATGACAATAACATATTTATGAAATATAACAAAACAAGAACATATTAGGTTGTTGAATATAAAATTAAAATATGAAAAGATTAATTTATGTGAATACCTCTTGAACAGAGATGCTCATAAAAATTACTGTCAGGTCGGAGGAGTGCAGACTTTAGCACCTTCACAGCAGCAATTTCTAGAGACGTTAACGCTGCTCGACTGAATTAAGGTAAACTTCAGCAGTTTGACAAGTGTTTATATTTTAAGGTAGAACTGGATGAAGTTTCTCCTGAGGCCCTTATATCTCGCTACCATCTTTAATTCCTGTATCAAGGGAGTCCTAAGAGTGAGCAATGGCGCCCTCTGCTGGACGACCACCAAACTACCACACTAAAAGGGCTAAATAAATTTGTATTATTAAACTTAGATATATTAGCAAACTACAACAAAACAGGAATATATTAGGTTTCCGAATCAAAACGTAAAAGATGAAATAATTAAAATATGAGAAACATTAAATGCCCAATGAACAGAGATGTTCATTCAAATTACTGTCAGTGAGGAGAGAAAACTTTATCGCCTTCAAACATTAGTTCTGTTTGATTAACAAATGAGAGCTATTAAAATCAGAGTCGCCTGATTTCGTTCAACAGTTTGTTGAGTGGATTCACTTTCCTGTGTTCCTACTTAGTGCCGCAATCTTTTATGTCTGTATCAACGGCTCCGTTTAAGGATGACCAGCGGCACCCTCTCCTGGATGGAGGCCAAACTACAACACTAAAGGACTAATCAGGTGTAATTAGGTAAATCTGTCAGTGCAGGTTAAAAAACACAAACAAACACAGGTTTTCATTTACCTGAGTCAAAGGTCAATGCAGTTGAGTGGCTGCTGTTGCAGGTTACAGTGGAGGCGACTACGACAGCGGAGTACTGGTGTCCACAGTCCACCTTTACGGAGCAGCTGGTTGTGTTGGTAGAGCAGGAAACCACGTGACCGTGCGTACCGGTGTAGGTGGCGGTGTAGGAAACGGCGTAACTGCTGGGAGCCCAGCTCAAAGTCGCCAGATTTGTGCCGCATTCAGTTTCTACAGTCAGGTTGCTGGGAGGGCAGGGAGCTGAAAAAATGAATAATAATAATAAAAAAAGGAGATAAAACTTTAATTTGACAACTATAGATCATAGATTGAAAATCCAGCACAAGAACAATTTATACTCAACCTTAAATAAAAATAGGAAAGAATAAAAAATTCCAGTTATATTGTAGTTATATTGAAATATTTCCAATTACGTTGCAAAGAAAACACAACCATGCCAAGTATTTCTGGTCTAGTTTCTATTCCAAACATCTTAGTGCACTTGAAATACAACTAAACTAACTTATAAGGAACTTTTTAGCAAGATATTCAAGCTTGTTTGAAGTCAAGTGCTTAATATTGATGGAAACTTTCTAGTTACAGTGGCATATTAGTTCACTTATAATATGAGAAAAATGTCTTGTTATAAGTTAAATAATCTACCAGTAAAACTACTATTTTGTTACCAAAATAGTAGTTTTGATTACTTAATAATAATTTATTATTAAGTAAATATTAAAGTATTATTTACTTAAAATAAGCGCCTATATATTGATGAAAAGTTCCTTTCACGTCTTATTTCAAGTGTACTAAAGACATTCCAACTAGAAACTAGATCAAAAATACTTGGAAGAGATTTTTGCAGTGTATATTTAAACGTTATTTTTCCCTTACACTGTCAATCACATCGAGTGTGATTGACAGCGCTAAGACCCGCCTCCTGGTTCTGATTGGTTAAGAAAAGAGATCAATTTTTTAAGAAATATTTTCTCATAAAAGTTACAAACTGCAGCTTTAAGAAAGTTTGTGGAGCCAATATATTTTCATTTTTAAATCTTAGGTCAACACAAACAACCTTTAAAACGGTGTTTGTCCTTTCTATTCCAGCACAAAAATCTTTTATTTAATCAAAGAGAATCAGACTGCAGCTGCTAAGCGTCCAGATATGTACCCGTTTCAGCTTCGATTTGCTCGCCGAAGACGCTGCTGCACTCAGAGTTCACTGCGGCGACCTTGAAGCTGTACATCTCGCCGCAGCGCAGCCCTCTGAGCACGCGGAACGGCTGAGACGATGAGTAGTTGGCGACCGAGCCGCCGTTTTTCTGGGAGCGGATGAAGTACTGAGCTCCGGTTTCAGGACTCAGCTCCCAGCTGACGGTGATGTCGCTGTTGCTGCAAGTTTTGGCAGCATTCACAGCGGTGGGCGGGCAGATCACTGTGAACAAGACAAAAAACATATTTCATTCTATTTGTTTGTGTCATAAAAGTTCACATAAAGTGACAGTTAATTTCGACTTCATTGAACCACAGAATTCATAAAAAAATGAAAAACATCATCTAAGTTTTATTTAGAAAGAAAATAATTATTTCTATTGCTATCTACAAATACATAACTAATTTTCACTTATAAACATATAATTTAAAGCATTTATTTATTGTTATGAGCAACAGGTATATGGAGGACTGAGCATGCCAACATTGGCATTAAAATTAGAATAAATACATCTTAAAGTAATTAATGTGTCAAATATCGCATCCAAAAAAGTTTAAATAAAAACAATTAGAACTTTCCCAACTTCAGTAATATTAGAATTATAACTTAATTTTAAATTTTTTTTACAATCTTACCTTTTCTTATTTCATTACTTATTTATTTTCAAATGTTCTTTTTTCTTTATATTTTCCTCACCCTTTTCTTTGTTTAACTAGTCACTAAAACTCTGCACTACTTTTATTTTTTGGATTTTTTTGCGTATTTTTCAAAATAAATCTTATTTCTGAGATCGTTTATTTTTCAAAACAAAAACAACGATGTGTTTAATTCAGTGAACAGAGATTATATGAAATGGGTTTTTTTTCATGTGAAAGGAACCAGAAAGGTTGACTTATTGCTAAACAACGACCACAGTTTGTGTCTGACCCGTTTTGAACATGAGCGGGTCGCTGGGTTTGCTCCGGCAGCCCCTCTCTATGCTTGCCACGGTGATGGCGACCGTCTCGCCGCAGTGCAGGTCCGTGAGCGAACAGTTGGTTCCGTCGGTGGAGCAGCTGTGGACGTGTTCGTCCAGGACGGAGGGCACGGTCGTAACGTCATACGTCTCGGCTCGCAGCGCAGCGTCCCAGGTCACATGAGCCACATTTCCAGCGCACTGCAAAGACGCTCGGATGTTTGTAGGGGGGCAGGAGCCTGAGGGAGAGTTTTTATGAAATATTACTTCGCTACGCCACAAAATCTGATTATGTATTTTGTCTATTTCCTACTGAAAATATCTTATTACACCTGAAATAAGACTAAATTCACGTATAAGTAACTTTTCAGAAAGATACAGGAGCTTGTTTGGAGAACAAATCTGGAACAAACTTCCAGAAAACTGCAAAACAGCTGAAACACTGAGTTCCTTTAAATTAAGACTGAAACCCACATGTTTAGGGTTTAGCCATAAAAATGAAAGATTTGTCAACATATTTCATGTGTGTTGATGATTTTGATAATAAGATATTTACACCAGAACTGAAACAAAATTACTTTGTAAGATTTGGTGTTTTTGTAGTGTATTTTTATTTTCAAGAATGTGTTTCACATGTTACTACACTCAAAAACACAAACTCTCACCAAGTATTTTGATCTATTCTCTAGTGCAAATATCTTTGTACACTTGAAATAAGACAAAACTAAGTTAAGCCTAACTTTTTAGCAAGATACAGAAACTGGTTTCAGATCAATTATTCCTTAATATTGATAAAGTACGAGTTCCACTGGCAGATTATTTTACTTATAACAAGACAATTTTCCAATGCTATAAGTGATAAATATTCAGTTATAACAAAACTGTCAGTGGAGCCAGTAGTTTTCAAGATATATCCAATAATTATTTACTTTAAAATAGTTTTTATTTCTTGCTGAAAGTTACTTGCAAGTTAGTTTTGTCCGGTTGCAAAGAGCAAAAAAATATTTGCCCTAGAAACTAGTCAAAAATACAGAAACAAAATCCCCCCACCTCCTCTAGAGGGCGCTGTGAAGCTACATTTTGACATTTGTCATTTATGTCTCACCTGCATGATAGGTGTATGCCTGCGTGTCTTGGCCTTTGCACTGGTTAGAGGAGGGGCTGACGATGATCATGTAGGTTTGAGAGCAATGCATGTTGGGTAATAAGCAAGTGGAGGTGTTCGTGGTGCAGCGCTTCAGGTCGCCGTCTCGTCCAGTCGCCGTCACGCTGTACAGCACCGCTCCGTTGCTAGGCTGCCACCTCACCTCCGCCGTGTTGTTCTCACACAACAGGGACGCGTTGAGGTTGGTGGGAGCGCAAGGAGCTGACAGGAAGTGACAAAACAAAGTTTTATTTTAAAAAACATTGATTTTGAAAAACCTTAATTACTATGGTAATCTACAGTTGCAGCCCTAAAGCAATCGCTAGCTACAGTCCTACGTGACTTACCGGTCTGTATGTGAGTGACTCCAGGAATGCTACTGTTGCAGTTGCCAGCCATTGCGATGACGTCTACTTGGTAGTTGCGGCTGCATCGCAGTGGCGGCAGAGAGCAGTCGGTGTCCTGGCTGGTGCTGCAGGAGACGAAATGGTCGCCTGCATGGGCGCGAACGTAGTAGCTGTCCCCGCCCAGAGCCTCATCCCAGCTCACCAGCGCAATCCCAGAGCCGCAGTAGTACTGGTACTCCACGTTGCCCGGGGTGCAGGGTGCTGATGGAGAGAAAACAGCTCCAGTTCAATGGAAACTATGGAGACAACTTAGTCTTAAAAAGATTCAAAAAGCATACAACAGGATTTGTAAGTGTACAACATCATTCAGAAATGTGTGAATGTGTCCCTCAACATTGACATAAGAGTAAAGTTTCTCATGTTGACACGTTTCAAACCGTATGTGTGGTAACTCTCTACAAATTCAAATCTGCACAATCACCAGCTGCAGACGGACCGGTTGGCCTGTGGTTCCAGCTTTTGAGACTTTCTTAGATGATGCAGAAGAAAAGCTTGAATTTCTGAGCCTTAGACAACAGACAAATTAAGAATTCTGACTTTTATCAGAATTTACAGTTTTCCTCTCAATTCTGACTTTTGATATCAAATATTAAAATCAGAACTTTATGAAAAAAGTCAAAATTCTGAGAATATTCAAAATGCTGATAAAAACTTAAAATTCTATGGAAAAAGTCAAAAATCTGTTTGTGAAAATTGCCAGAATTCTGACAGAAAACATCAAAATTATGCAAGAAAAGTCTGATTTTCAGAAACCTGTCATAATTATGTGACATAAAAATCAAAACTCAGACATAAAAGTCAATTTTGAGAAAAAAAATTACATAAAGCCCATTTTATCTGCCTTGTTGCAGGAAGTATGCTACACAAATAAACTGGATTGATAGATGCAAATCTTGTGCACATTGTGAATCTTTTGAGCTTAATTTAGCTCCATATAAGTTAATGTATTTTTTATGTTGCTCAAACCTGTGATAATCTGGAAAGCAGAGCTGGGTTTGCTGGTGCACTGGACTCCGGTAGCGACAGCCTGGACCGTGTAGGTGTGCCCACACAGCAGGTTACCCAGAATGCAGCTGGTGTTGGTGGAAGAGCTGCAGGACAGCGAGTGACCCCGGTCAGACGTAGCGTTGACCGCTACGCTAATGGCGTCCTTATCCTCAACCCACGAAACCAAAGTGTGGTTAGTGACGCAGTAATGAGAGTAATTCTGGATCACTGGAGTGCAGGGAGCTTCATTGGGGAAAAAAAACAACAGAGAATGAGTCGCGTTGTTTAAAGATTATTGACGTAAATGTAAACATAAAATGCTAGGAAGTTGATAAATGTGTGTTTTAGTTGGTCAATTAGGCTGAGTCTGAGACACTTTCTCTCCCTTTGACACTCAATTTGGCCTTTTTTCTTTAACTTTCTCAAATTTACACCATTTTTTTATATTAAGACAATTTATGTATAAGATACATATATATCAAATATATAAACTTTTATGTTTGAAATCTAAACTAGGCGCTAAAACTGATTGAGTCAAAGTGATTCATTCAAATGTTTGGGTGAATCTGATGAGTTTTTGTCTCATTTTAAATTATTTTTATTGCATTGCAGCACATCCACTGTGAATTAGGTAGTTAAATAAATGTATAAATAAATATTGACATTTTAATCAATTATTTCTACACTTAATCATTTTTAGGCTGTCCCTTATTTAGATTCCAATAAAATTGATGGCTTTATTAATTTGGGAAATAAATAATATATATATTATTGTTTTTAATAAATGTGTATAATATATAACCATGCACATTATGTACATTTCTGGAAAAGTGAAAACTCCTATTCTTATTAACTGCTGAGTATTTTCTACTACAGGCTTTTATTTGAAAAAAAAAAATATTCAGTTTGTATTTTGATTATCTTTTTTAAAAACTGATAGCAGCTTATATATTAAGGGAGAGAACGTAGTAGCTGTCACGCTGTAATATTGTGGATTTAATTTACATGGCAGTACAATCAACATTAAATATATTTAGCATTAATTAATTTAACATTTGGTTTAAAATTGTTTAGGAAAATTCCAAGAAATTAAATTTATATTATTCAGTGAAAAAAGCAAACTAAATATTATTAAATACTTTTAGTCAAGTTTCTAGTGCGAATATCTTAGTAGACTTGAAATAAGACAAAACTGACTTATAAGTAACTTTTTGGTAAGATGTAAGAACTTATTTTAAACAAATCATTCTTTAACATTGTTGAAAAAGTTCAAGCTCCACTGGCAGATTATTTCACTTATAACATGGCGAAAATGTATTTTTATAATGGAGTGAGAATTTTTCATGAATATTAAGGACACATTTACTTGAAACAAGCAAATGCAGCTTACTGAACAGCTACTTGCAAGTTAGTTCTGTCTTATTTTATGTGTGCTACGATATTTAAACTAGAAGCTGGACCAAAATAACGTCGTGAGACTTTGTGTTTTTGCAGTGTTCTCACCTGTTACTATGTTGGTTTTGGCCAGAATGGAGCTGTTGCACTTGGCGTCCCCGGCCAGCACGGTGACGGTGTAATTCTCTCCACACTGCAGCTTGCTCAGCTCACACGAGGTTCCGGTTGAGTTGCAGGAGTCCACAAGTCCGCCGGCCTGAGCCACGACCGTGTAAAAGTTTGCTCCGGCGCTGGCGCTCCACGTCACTGTCGCCACCTCAGAGAGGCAGTTCAGAGACGCGGCGACGTTTGCAGGGTCGCATGGAGCTGGAGATGCATGCAAGTTCACAAAATTAAAACCATGTTTCCACCTGAATAATCATCTTTTTTTCAATTCAAGTGGCATAAATTGTTTTCCAAGTCAACTGCATTGCATTAAAAACATTTAAAAAAGGAAAAGAGTTTAATGAAGTAGCTATGTTGTCTTTAAAAAAACATTTTTAAATCCTGACACTAAAATAAATCAAGCTTATAAATTAATAAGTTATTTATGTTATATATGGGTTTGTCAGTTAAAATTAAATATCTTTCATTTGTATAGATAGAAGCCCATTTCTGCCACTATGATGACAGAAAAAATAAAATAATTATAATTATGACTAAGCTATCTCATAAGTATGAGGTTATTATTTACAAGTGTGCAATAATAACAATCTCATACTTATCATAAAGCTTAGCCACAATGTTGAGAGAAATATAATTGTATTTCCATACAAATGAAACAAATTTAATTTGTATGGAAGCACATTCCATACAAATGATAATATATGAAATTCAAATACATTCATACACAAATTAAATACAAATTTGTTTTATTTGTATGGAAGCCCATTTCCACCAATCTGATGAACAAAAATAAACTTGTCTCATACTTATGAGATAGCTCAGTCATAATTATGAGAGAAGATTTTTTTGTTTTGTTTTTCTTCCATCAGAGTGGCGGAAATGGGCTTCCATACAAATGAAATACAAATATCTTTAATTTGTATAGTTTATGAGTAAGCTATTATTATCTCATACCTATCACATAATAGGTATGAGATATTTTTTGTCATCAGAATGGTAGAAATGGGCTTCAGTACATTTGTAATATTGTGGATTTAAAAACATTTGGGAAGAAAATACAACTGTATGCAACTGAGTTACATTTCTTGCAGTTGGTGTGGAAGAAAATAAATGATGACTCATGGAGCAGGGGGCAATTATCATTAATAATCATGGAAAATATTATAAAGTAAAGCAAACTGCTACATATAATAGCACTTCCCAGTATTAAATGTAATCTTTTACCAGTTTTTGCAGAGACAGTGCTGCTCTTTGTGCTGTTGCACCTGTCGTTGATGGCCACCACGCTGAAATTATAAGTCTGAGCGCATTGCAGACTGGGGAAAGAGCAGGTTTGGTTGGCGGTCAGACAGGAAGTGGAGACGCCTCCCGGTCCGGTGAGGGTGGAGACGTAGTTTGTAGCTCCAGCAGCTGCAGCCCAGAACGCCTGCAGGGTGTTGGTGGAGCACTCCACGTTGCCCTGGACGTTCACTGGGACACAGGGGACTGAAGAGAAGAAGACATCAACCGGAAACGTGAGTGAGATTATACATGTTCCTACAGATCTGAACCGGAAGAGATCCGCGCCATCTTGGTAGGCAAGCGGAGCGCAACTCATCCCGGACCCATGGCTTCAAGACCAACATGTGACCTATGATGTCACACTTCTGCAAACTTTTTAACTGACAGCCATCTTGGGAGGCAGTTGCTATGGAGTTGCTATGACAACAATAAGCAATCCACAAGCTTAGAAGTGGCTCTTGCCTCATTCCTATCTAACTTACAAACAAAATAAGTACATTACAACCACTAGAGTAATCTACCCACCTCTGTGTAAAACTAAGATAAACATCAGTGATATTTACTGTAGTACTTACTGCTGAGCTTGCAAAATTAGCTTAGCTAATGTAGATTTTTCTGCTGGCGAAGGTGGACATGTTACTAGACGTACTTACTTTGCCAGGCATCAGAAGCTTGTTTTTCACAGAGTTTGTTTACACATTGATTTTATGAGTCCATGGACTTTTTTTAACCTTTTGTCAAGAGTGTCCACGTATTTTCTTTTTGCTGGCCTCATTAGCCAAGGGTCTGCTATGCTTTGTGCTCACTTACTAAGATGACGTGGATCACTTCGGGTTCAGAGTTGCTGTAACTTTGTATTGGGTGGGAATGGTTCTGACTGGTGAAGGTACCTGCATTCACAATCTGCGGGACGCTGCTGCGGCCTTCGCATGTGCTGCTGATGGGCTTCACGCTCACGGTGTAGCGGTGACCGCACTGCAAGCCGGCCAAAGTGCATCTGTAGTCGTCCGTGGAGCAGCGGAGCACGGAGCCGCTGGCAGACACGGCGCTGGTGCTGTAGTTGACAGGGAGGGATCCAGGCGTCCAGCTGATGCTCAGATCGTTGGTGCTGCAGTTCAGCTGGGTGATAACGCCCTGAACAGCACAAGGGGCTGAAGAAGACAAAGGAATAACAGTTTTTATTTGTGTAGTTGGTGCTACCTTCTGCTTGTCAATCAGTATTCTGTTCAATATTATGAATTTGCCTGTAACAATAACAAATGTTGGTGGATGATAAATTGTGCCTAAAGCTGTTATGATAAATGATAATATTGCTTTTTGAGACCATTTTAAAGTAAAATAATGATAATAATGCAGGAACACATGAGCAAAGATGAATAAACTTTAAATTCTAATGAACACATAACACTGGAACTGGAAGAGATTTTAAATATCCAAAAATAAACAAAACAATAAAAAATGAATTATTATGTTTCTGCAAACATAATTACGCTTCAAATAATTTTGTTTTTATCAAAATAGAAACAATCGTACTAATTTTAATTTATACTGCAAATAATCAATCAATTGCTTATTTCAACAAGCTAACTTCAAGGTAAATATGAGACACCAAGAAAAATTCATTAGAAAATTAAAAAGTTGAAACTGAAAAGTGGAAATGAAAAACAAAATAAAGATTTATGTGTTTCTCACCAGTTGTGTGATTGACAGGTTGGCTGTCTACAGTTCGACAGTCACCGTCTGACGCTGACACGGTGAAGCTGTACTTTTTGCCACATTGCAGGCCCTTCAGCTGGCATTCCAGTGTCAGGCCAGGGTCACAGGTCACCGTGTGTCCGTCCGAGCTGCTCGCCTTTCCAGTGTAGGACGCAGCGTTGGGGCTGCTGCCCCAGCTCAACTTGGCAGAGTTATCAGAGCAGTTAATGGAGGCAGTGAGCTGAGACGGAGGGCAAGGCTCTGCAGGGAAAAAAGTTACAGCAATTAATGTTAATTAGTTTGCAGCAAATATAAATCTGAAAAGTGTGGTGTGCATTTCATTCAGCCATTAAGTCGATGCTTGTAGGAGCTTTGCCACAGTTGTAGCTATACACTGAAATTTTTGCACAATATTCACTGAATTATTATTCTAATTGTTTGGGAATATTCTCAGGATATTTAAAATCACCAGTTATTGTTGCTGTACTCTGTGTCGCTGCCAGACTTTTAACACATGAAAAATTTAGCTAAATTTTTCTCAATCTTCAACAATTTGTACAGAAAGTCTTACCACATTTTGATATAACCAAAAAACTTTACTACTGTTTCATATCAGCTGATATTGAGAACTATCGATTTGTTTTTGTTGGTTTGTTCTACATATCTGAAATACAGCCAAACTGGTGGCATGACTCCTCCTATTTCATCCACAGTTTTCTCTCCATGCTGTTATTTATTTTTAAGCAGTTATGCATTTGCACATTGGCAAAAGTTGAATCTGCAGGCTGTTGCTAGTCAACCAAGAAATTGTGTGTTAGTTTATGCCACCAACTTTGTTAATCTCACAGTGAGAGATTGTGTCCAAACTTTTTGTCAGGTGGGCCAAAACTGTTAGGTCAAAAGTCACACAGGACAATAAAATGATATAAAGTCAACCAAAGAATAAAGTGGTCCACATGTTTTTTCTTTTTTTGAAGTTAATGGATGTTACTAGTTTTAGATCTAAAACGTTAAAATGATTTTGCATGTTTGCTGTGTTAAAAAACGGCACCTAGTTTTCACATTCTTTTGGGCTCGATTGAGCAAATTTACTCTCAGTTGCAAGAAGAGGATTTGGGTCACTTTGTCTCAAAACATTCCCTATATTTAGCCGAATTAAATAAACTAAGTAGAAGCTGATCTGGGTCCAGTAAAGCTGACTTTTTAGTAAAAGTTTCAGGATAAATGTTGTCTTATTATCTATATAATCTGATCTCTACAAATACACACCGATGGTCAGTTTCACTGGTGTGCTCCTCATGCTGCTGCACAAGTCGTCCATGGCGACCACACTGACATTGTAAACATTGCTGCACTTTACGCCGTCCAGTCGGCACGATGTTTCCGTGGAGACGCACGTCAAACGGCTGCCTTGCCCGTCCACCGCCGTCACGGTGTAGTTCTGGGCTCCGCGGCTCGCCTGCCACGCCACATCCACAAACTTCTGCCCACAGCTTCTGCTTGCCGACACGTTAGTGGGCACGCACGGCGCTGTGGGAGTGAAACCTCAATTTAACCCCAATCTGGCCCACCATGAGGAATATGGAGGCATTTATTTACACATATGGCACCAAATTAAGGCTTTACTCACCTTCTTTGAAGTGTGTTTGTGAAGAAAAACTGACACAGCTCTGGTTGAAGGACATCACCTTCACTGTGTACTGCTGCCCGCAGTCCTGTGAGCCAATCAGCAGCCTGGGTTGTGTGGTGTTGTACTGGGCCGTCGTCTTGTTAGCGTTTGAGATTATGGTGATGTAGCCCTCAGCTTTTCTCTGCGCGTCCCAGCTGATGTTCACGGCGCCAGAGGCACAGTTCAAGTTCACCTGGACGTTAGACGGACCACAAGGAACTGCACGGAAATGAGAAGAGTGATGTGAAATGAGTTTAAGTGATTAAAATAAGACTTTTATCAAGTATTTTTGGTCTACATTCTATTGCAAATATCTTAGTTCACTTGAAATAAGACAAAGGTAACTAGCAAGTAGCTTTTCACCAACATATAGGAGCTTGTTTTTAGTCAGTAACTCCTTAAGGACTCCTTCCATTCGCAAATAATTTCATTTATAATATGACGTTAATCACATTTTATAAAAGAAATAATCTGTCTGTGGAAGGAGGACTTTAATCTCCACAGATTAATGTCAGAATTCTGAGATTAAAGTCAGAATTCTCAGAAAACTTCAGAATTTTGAAATTAAAGTCAGAATACTCAGAAATAAAATCAGAATTTTTAGATTAAAGTCAGAATTCAGAAATTAAACTTAAAATGTTGAGAAAAACCATCAAAATTTTGAAAATGAAGTCAGAATTCTGAGATTAAAGTCAGGATCTTCTTCTATACAAAAGAGGTCATGATGTATTTGTTCTGTAACACAAGTCTCCACTTTTCAAATGTTGTTGGTTTTCTTTGGTCACGGCTTCATGTTTGCAGCTGACGTTGCTCCTACCAGCCTCCATGTGGACGGGCTGAGACGGGACGCTGGAGCAGCTGGTCGCGTCGTTGTGAAGCACGGAGACGCTGTAGAGGCGGCCGCATCTCAGGTTGGGAACGATACAGCTGGTCGTGTTGGAGCTGCAGCTAAGAGTTTCATAAACTTCATCAGTGATGGTGGCAGTGAAGGAGTTTATGGGCGAGTTCCACCGCCAGGAGATCAGAGCAGCGTTGGAGGCGCAGTCCAGGGCGGTGGCGACATTGTCTGGAGCGCAGGCGGCTGGAACGGACATCAGTTTCAAAACTTTACTTTTCAAACATTCACTCGGAAAGCATTTTTAGGCCACAGCAAAAGGGAAAATAGCACAGAATAAAGAAGGAACAACACATTTTTCTCCTCTCGGTATCAACACACAGCCCCGTTGCTATGGCAACACAGTCTGAGGGTTGCCCACAAATTTTTCTGTCAAATTATGACAGAATTTTTGCTCTGTCATAATTTTTACTCATAGAGCAAATATTATGCCCAATTGTATCAGCACTCAACCCTAATAAACATTTGCCTCACAGAAATAAGGAAGAGGACTAGGGCCACTGGGAAAAACAAAACAGAACTTTGACATTTTTTCCCTCAAAATTCAGACTTTAAACTCAGAATTTGGACTTCTGAATTCTGAGATTGACGTCAGAATTGAGAGAAAAAAGGTCGATTCTTTTTTTCCAGTGGCCTTTATCCTCTTCTGTGTCACCCTGGACCTTGTTTTCTGGTTGTCATAGTGCTGATGATTAATACCAAAGCACCGCATCCCTTTCTCTTTAATTTTTGGAAACTGTTGCTCAGCGTGTCTGTTCAGTACCTGTCTGTAAGGTGACCATCTCGCTCTCTGAGCTGTTGCAGATAAAGTTGGAGGCAATGACGTAGACGGTGTAGTTGCTGCTGCACTTCAAGCCTTTGATGGTGCAGGATGGAGAAATGGAGTTGCAGCTGCCGATCACATTGTCACTGGACTTTGCAATAGCAGTGTAGAATGCCGTTCCACTGTTCATCTTCCACGACACCCTGATGGAGTTGGACCCGCATTCCTTCGTAGCCAACACATTCTGGGGGGTGCATGGGACTGAACGAAAGGCAACAAATTACATCCAGTCTGTTATTGTTGCACTTTTCCCATAAAAATTGGTGTGTAAAACAAGTTTTCCCCTCACCTGTCTCAGCAGGCGGACCCAAATTTGTAGCACTGGCGCATTCGTCGTCGTACGCAGTGATGGTCATGGTCAGCTGATCTCCACAGAGGACGCCCTCCATGGCGCAGCTGTTGGACTGTGAGCTGCATTTGTAGCTGCTGTTTCGGGTGTTTCCCTGAGCCTCAACGTTGTAGCGCAAGGCGCCCTCAGCGTGGTCCCACTTGCTGACCAGAACGTTACTGCCGCAACTGGCTGACGTCTGCAAATTCTGGGGCATGCATGGCGCTGGAGAAAAAAACACAATACATTATAAGTTATTTCTTCAAATTTAAAATAGGATCGAATTAATTGTGATTAACTGAGTGTTGAAATCATCGTCAACCAATTTAGTAACTGGCCAATCGTTAACTGGAGTGTAGATGCAGTGTGATGTCACACATGTAAAATCCCACCCATGAAAGCGTTCAGAATGAAAGATAAAAACACACAAGTGTGTGTTTCTGTTCACATTTTTGTAAATGTCAGTGTTTTTACCTGTTTGAACATCAACAGTCGAGCTAACCCCACTCCTGCAGCCCTTTGTGACGGAGTATACGGTGAAACGGTACCGTCGACCACATGCCGTTTGTGTGAAGTAGCAGGAGTTGTCTTCGGTCACGCAGGTCAAGACCTCTCCCTGGACACAGAAGAAATGGGAATAAGGTATATTCATGCTCCAACAAAGAAAAAAATACTTATTTTTACATGGAAAACGTTTTATTGGTTTGTCTTTTCTGCATTAACAAATAAACATCTTTGTGTTTGAGCTACTCTAGACTAAAACCAGAGGCTCCCTCTGCTGTCACTGTCAATTCACTACAACAAATGAGTTTTTATATTTTTTAAAAAAGCATTTTAAATATTTTGTAAATGACCCCCACTATGCACATAAATACAGTTATGATTTAGTGCAACTAAACTAAACCCTAAACAAATATTAATTTTTTTAGTGGCCCACAAGAAAATGTGATAATATTGACTGAATTAGTTAAATGAAATTTTGGGTTTAATTATGTCAGCTATTATCGTCAAATTTACAAGAAAAAAACTGAAAATACTTCACTTTCTGAAATCAATGGCAAAAAAGATTCACAATATTCAAATGATTTGTACCTGTTTAATTTGTAATAAGTAAATCTGATGCCAGTTTCTCCAGTAGCAGTCACTGAGCGCCCAAACGTAGTAATTTAAAAAGACCGATCAACTTAAAAGTCATGAATATTGGACTGTAAAGCAGTAGCAGCATCAGCAGCAGTAGTAGTAATAGTAATAGTAGTAGGAGCAGTAACAGTAGTAGTAGTTAGCTCGCAAAATTTGCCACCAACATCGCTGCTGTTTCCACCACACCAAACTTTTTTTTTTTCAGAATAAACCCCAAATTAGACACCAAATAAAGTAAAAAGTATTTTATTTTACCTTCGAGTCTTGTGCCTGGGCTATGTAGAAATCTATGCTGCTTGTGTGATTCCATGAGAAGATAATAACGTTGCTGCTACATTCTCGCAACAACATCGGGTTGCCAGGAGGGCAGGAAACTAGACAGAAAGAGATATCAAATGTGTAATTCAAACCTTATAACCACATCATGTCATATTCTTTAATACATATACTCACATAAAGTTATCAAAAGAAGAATAGGTGGTTGATGTATAACAGAAGAATTAAAAATACCAGTAATTATGGTTAAATGTCACAATCAAAGGGAAATTTCTCATATTTCTTTTTAGGTTAAAACGCCCTGATACAGATAGCTGTGTTTCTCTGCATTCAGGTTTTATAAAAGCACAAGTCTATTATGAAGAGAAAGAACACAACACAATGTGATATTGAGTGAAGCTGAATGGGAGACCCATTTTTTTAAAAGATAATTCAAACATGGACGTGAATCTGGACGGATTTGAAAGATGAAACCTGTAAGCAAGTATTCCCCAAAGTAATGAGACTCATTTTAACGGATTTAACATAACAAATTTTACGTCTTATATTTAAGAGAAAAATATTTTAATTGATTTTTTTATCAACGTTTATTATTACTACAAGGGGTTTCTGAGTTATAATCACCAGATTTAGTGTCGCAGCACTGCAAAACATTTAAAAGACGTTTAATTTAATTGAAAAACATGGAAAAAAAATCTTCATTTCTTGTGGTTGTTTAATTAAACTTCACTGCAAGAACACAAAATCTAAACAAGTATTTTCATGTCATTTATAGTGAAAATATCTTAGCGCACTTGAAATAAAACAAAACTAACTTACCAGCATCTTTTCCCAACATAGAGGAGTTTGTTTTGAATAAATAATTTCTTCATATTGATGAAAAACTGGCATATTATTTCACTTACAACATGAAAATATATCTTGTTATGAGTAAAATTATCTTTTGCAAAGTTGCTTGTCTTAATTCAAGTGTGCTCACATATTTGCATTAGAAACTGGATGAAAAATACTTGGTAAGATTTTGTTTTTGCTAATAATACTTTCCACTAAACAACACAATAAATTCTGCTAAAAAATAGTTTGAACATGATGAATGTTGTCATGTTGCGTTAGATTAATATTTACCTTACTAACGCACTCACTCATGTTGCAACACAGGATATAAAAACATGCCGCTAAGACTTCTGGGAAATAGTAAGCACTAATTTAAAAACCCTGGTTAAATTCATAAAAGGTTAACACAGCTGCCTCTCACAAACTCACACATTCAAGAAGAGTAAAAGTTAGCAGACACAACTAAATGTTTTACAGTGAAGTCTTAATTTTTTCTATTGTTTATCAAGCAGACTGAAAAGATAATCGGCGTCATGCGTGACCTGCGTGACGGGTGAGGCAGGACAGCGAGTCTGAGCCAGAATGTTCAAAAGAACGGAGCGACATACGAGATGAAAGCACTTGACAAAAAGACACACCGGGGTGGAGCAGTAAAAATTCTCACCGTCCAAGAATTTGATAGAACATCCCCATTCATTTCACCGGCGCTTAGAGGATACGTTACATCTTTTTATTGCCACATAATTAATTCTTAAGGATGAGGTTACAGTTCTCTGCTGCCTGTGTCAGTTCAGAACCAGATACACAAGCAGGCAGGTTACCAGACATTTAAATCAGAATGATTATTGGATGTCTCATTCAGTTTCTTTATGTGTCTGCCGGAGTTATTTTTTTCTGGCTCTCAGGATTTCTGTAGGAAAATGTAAAAATTAAGAGATTTCACTTGTTTTTTGGTTATTAAATCTAGAGAAAAGAAATTAGCCTGAGCAATGGTGTTGTGATTTATTACCATTTTTCCTTTTTAACTATCAATTAGTCAACATTTTACTTGTTTATTTTGGTCGCTTTAATCTTTCCATGTACAAGTCAATGCCAAAAAAACAAAAAGAGAGAGAGAAAAGAAAAGTAATTGAGAATATTAAATTCCTGTCAATGGCAAGAACACAAAGTGTAGAGCAAAAAATGTCTATTTTATGGTAACTACAATTTTTGTAATTTTATTTTTTGGGTCTAATGTAACAGTTTCTTCTTATAGCAGTGTTTTTCAAAGTAAGGGCCACTAGAGGGCACTCCAGAAAGTTGGAGGGGAAAAAAAGATATGCAATACATTTTCAAATTATGTATATACTTAAGTAATACAATCTGATTTAGTTTTTCAATCATTATTCTAAAAATTTAGGTTAAAATAAACTTTATTTGACACGTTCATACTGGCTATGTTAGCTCGAGGCGATTGCATCTGGAAATTCAAATGTTTCCGTCAATAAAAAGACAGAAGGAAGGAGCCATTACTGGCTACATTAATGCCAAACAGATGTAACCATTAATGAATAATGAAATAAAAAGAGGAAAAACAGTAAAAAAGCCAATGTTTCTTCACATATTCTGTAATATTGTCTTATACATATATTTGTCCTGTGCAAAATGCAATCTCCCCCCAACATCTGGTTCCTTCTCGCCAGGAACCAAATGAGGTTCCTGGCGAAATGCTAATGCTGTTTATTTCCAGATCATCATTATTTTTCTGAGTTACCTTTTCCCTCAGAAGTCAGAACATGAACCACAGAATCATTTGAAATTTTGTTCCAAGCTTGTGAAATGTGTGGTTGGTGAACAAAAAAAAATACTAGTATAAGTAAAATAATCAATCAAAAATGATCCATTTGTACTACCGCTCATACACATGGCGGCCATATTGGATTTTGAGGTAAACACCAACAGACTTTCCAAGTTAGAATTCAAACTTTAGGGGAGAAAATGTGATTTTCTTCGGACTTTGGAGACAGTTGCAATGCTTACACTGCAAAAACACAAAATTTTAAGCATTTAGTCTAGCTTCTAGAGAAAATATGTTATTACACTTGAAATAAGACTAAACTAACTCACACGCAACTTTTGAGTAAGATGTAGAAACTTGTTTTAAGCAAATGAGTCAATAATTCTAAGACTGGCAGATTATTTCATTTAAGACATTCCTTAAATATTGTAAATAAAATAATCTCCCACGAGAACAGGTCATCAATAATCATTATTTATTCAGTATTTTTACAGTGTAGTGTGTTGGGGGCCTGTTATGCTAGTAGAATAAGGTGTTTATGTAAAACAAATGCATGTTTATGGGTCTCAGTATGAGACTGAGATTTACTTTGTGTTTTTCTTTGCTGTTTTGCGGCTCACCGGACTGAAACGAAGCTGAAGTGGCGTTGACCTGGTTCTTGCAGTTGTTTGACACGGGTGTGACGTGCACATTGTACTGTTGGCCACACGTCAGTCCGCCGATGGTGCAGCTGGTGCCCTGGCTCGTGCATTGCACCTCTGATCCATTTTTGTCCACTGCCGTGGCAATGTAGGAGTTGGCTCCAAAGACAGACGACCAAGAAGCTACGGCGGAGTTTGTGGTGCAGGAGTAATCCACCGATACAGACGACACTGGTGCCAACTCTGTGAAAGGTTGAATATAAGAAACTTGATTAATTTGGGGTATTTTTCACATGAGAAAACCTCCTATATTACGAAATATGACCAAATATTATTGGTCTAGTTTCTACTGCAAATATCTCAGTACCGTTGAAGTAAGATAAAACCAAACTACAAGTAACTTTTCGGCAAGAAGAAGAAGCTTGTTTCTGGTAAATAATTCCTTAATATTGATTTTTTAAATTGACTAGTTTCATTGGCAGATTATTTCACTTATAACAAGTCAAATAGTCTGTCAATGGAACCAGAACTTTTTCATCAGTATTAAGGTATTACTGAACAAAACAAGCTCCTACTGAAAAGCTACTTGTAAATTAGTTTTGTCTTATTTCAAAACTTTCTATTTGCAATAGAAACTACACCAAAAATACTTGGTCAAATTTTGAGTTTTTGCAGTGGTAAAGCTTTACACCATTACACCTAACAATAAATTATTACTATGGGAAATGATTACATGTTTTTCTTCCTTGTAACTTTAAATTACTCCCTATTTTCTGTATATTTGAGAGGCTTTTGGTCATTAGGCTGCTGGAAAAAAGGCATTTTTGAGCTGCAAAACCAAAAAGCCTTACTATGAATTTCTGTTTAGCTTCTAGTGCATATAAATATCTGAGTATATTAGAAATAAGGTCCAATTTTCAAGCACGGTTTCAGTGAGATATCAGAGCTTTTTGAGTAAATAATTCCTCAGTTAATATTGATTAAAAAAAAAGTTCTGGTTCCACTGACATTTGTCCAGTTTTGTCAGTGAAATATTCTGCAAGCTGAACGTTTTTATCAGTATTAAGGAATTATTGACTTAAAACAGCTACTATATTGCATTTAACACTATATAGTTTTGTCTTATTTTCAGTGTACCAAGATATTTGCAAGAGAAAACAGACAAAATACTTGGCAAGATCTTGTATTTTTGCAGTGTGAAAAGTTCAGAAACAAGTCAGTATCACTGACTAGATAATCATTGGCTCAAATTTGACCCTCTTTATTGAGATTTTTTTTTAAAAATCGCCTTTGGATTGATTTCTCCCAGGGATTTTTTTATACGACACCCTCAATAACAAGATAAGATGCTGGATAATCTGAATCCTTTTTATCCTGAGGATCATCTTCTGCATGTCTGAAAGGCTGGCCTGAGAGAGAATAGCTGACCTAGATCTTTATCCAGAAGTTATTGATACAGCTTTGGCTCTGGAAACTCACTGTTGGTGCTGTAGTTGTGGTTTGTGGGCTCGCTCAGCACCAGGAACTTGCTGAACGAGGACACGGATATCAGGTAGTTGGAGCATGGGCGGATGCCGTTGATTTCCAGGTTGGTTTTTGTGACATTGTACACAGAAGGCTTCATGTTGGGTTCATCGAGGTTCCGAATGGTGACCTGGTACATCAGGACGTTTACCACCGACGTCCACGTAACGCTCACCGTTTCTGCATTGGTTTGTGTTGTTTCAACTCCAACAGGAGGCTGCACCACTAAAAGACACAACAGATCGCATAAATTCTCATTTATTATTAGATTATGACACATTATTTACTTATATTAATAATTAGAGTTTAGGAGTCCTCCTCATTACATTTTAAAGTGACTTATAACATTACGGTGACTTATTAAAATAATATTTTAAAAATCAAGTGGAGCATAGCAAAAGCTGTCGTACTTCACTTCTGAAAGTAAATCTGCTGCTGAATCTACTGTGTAGTGCAAGTTGAGTCAGATTTATTGTTAGAAACAAATAATAAAGTTCTGCTGGTTTTAGATGATGCGTTTTCAGAATATTTTAGCAGCTCTTGTAACTCGGATAGTTCAGAATTGAACCAAACAAATTCCAATTGGAACAAGAATAACGTTGGTGGGAAGGAAAACAGATACGCCTGCCCCATTGGTGACTTGGTCAAGTTGGAGACCATCTTTGCGCTGCAGTAGTTCATGTAATATGAACAAAATGTAGTTATTTAATTTTTTTACTGCACTTTAAAACTATTGATATTTGAAACATATCCAAATATAGTACAGATTTAAGGAATTAGATGTTGTACATAGGACTTGGTATCGCAAAATGCTTAATCACAAATAACTATGATCGGAATTACAGACAAGAATTCTTACTCTGGGCATCCTTAATTAGGATTATTCAGTTTGAGATTATTTTAATCCTGTTCTACTTTTGATAAAACAATTTAAATGCTAGGTAGGAGGGGTTTTCCAACCAAAACATTAAAAATACTCAAAGCAGAAAACTCTTTAAGCACCACACTAGCGTTGAATCCAAACTAAATTAAAAAAGAAACCAAATATAAATGCATATAAACAGACATAAGCTCCATGATGATCAGGGTCTTGTTACCTCTTATTTTCCTATTTCTAATTTGGATGCAAATCAAGATTTCTTTATTCAATAGCTAACAACTTGTCTTCAGTAAAACAGATTATGTTTCTCGTCAGATTTTTCAAACTCACGCGTTGTGATGGTCCTGACGTTGCTTCTGCTTCCCAAGCCTGCCTGGTTAGCCGTGTAAACGTAGCAGTCGTAGTTGGTGGTGGGCTGCAGGTTTGTCACCGTGGCTGTGGTGTTGGAGTAGGTGAAGTTTAGCATAGTCCCTGTAGCCTGGGAGATCACCTGCAGGATGTAGTGCTGAGCAGATGGTATTGCTGTCCATCTGACAGTAATGGAGGTACTTGACTGTGACCAGCCTTGTAATATTTGTGATGTATCAGGCACTGCAAGTGAAAAATAGAGAAAAGCTTCATATGCACCGAAATGTTTCTCATCTAAAACGCAAGTATTTTATTTATCTGTTTAATATGTGAGATATTAAGCAAAAATGAAAATATTCCCTGTTGGATTTACCTGTGAGTACCAATGCTGACGTCACACAGCTCACACTTAAAAAATTTATCACTTTAAGAGTCACATTGTACTCAGTTCCAGGACTGAGAGCCAGGATGTTCCTCTCAGTCACCTGCGCCCCTAATACAAGGACAATCGGCGCCGTATCTGACGAGTTTCTCCTTCTGGTGTCCAACATATAGCTTGTTGCTCCTGGATAACTCTCCCATTTTACAAAAATGGAAGAGGCAGTTGCTGACTTTGCTGATAAAATTTTACATGCTGAAAATTAAGAAGTATAAAGCAGAAAAGTTAATAAAGTTTTCTGAAAAAACATATAATGGAAAAACAACAGTTTTACCTGTGAATATTTAGCTTTCTAAATTCCATTTTTGGGATTGAAATTGAGACAATTTTTTTTCTTACCTTGTGCCCTACAATGATGTATCTGTAAATAACAAAATAATTATGTGATATGATTTAAATTTCAGCAATAAATTACAATACATTCAGATTAAGCATAGATTTACCTGGGTGAGAAAAACCAAAGCTAAAGAAAATCCTATGGCTCCCAGCAATCCCATCTTTCACACCGAGACTGGGATTAAAATCTCTTTAATGTACAAGGGAGCTAAACACAAAAGATGTGCAGGATTCTTTTGAGCTTTGATTTAAGACGGGTAAGAACCAATCATGTTTACCTGATGAGGAGAGGCGGTCCAACCTGTAGCCTGAGGCAGTCACAGCTGCAATGGGAGGGATGGATAATTATTTAGCTAACATTTATGTACCAGCTTGCACAATCCTGCTGGTTGTGCAGGTTGCACAACAAGGTTGGTGGTTGTGTTTATAAGCTTTTCTAAATGTTTCTATCCATTTCTTGTTTTACAACTTTGTTTTCTCTATTTGTTATTTGATAGTGTTACATTTTAATTTGTTCATGAATACCTTGTCACTATTTTAATCTACAAAACACTTGAAAAGTCAAATAGTTGCTAGAAAAAAATGAGGCACTTTCATTTCTTCACTTTAAGAAATTAGACATTTGTGGCCCTCATCCCGAAATTTCTAGTTTTTTATTATTTAGAAAATAAGAAAAGCTAATTTTTTGTTCTCTTTGTACTCCAAAAGTTGAAAAAAATTGCTTGGAAAAAGTATGGACATTTTTAGAATAATCTCCGAAATTTTCTGTAAAAAACATTTTCAAAGTTCTAAAACATGGAAAGTCAAAAGTTTCTGGAAAAACAAAAAAAAATGTTAAGATTAATCTCAAAACGTTTCTAGAAAAACTTCTACATTTCTTAGTTTTAAAAGTTTAAAATGTGGTAGAAAAAATATTAGAAATGTTAAGCTTAATTGCAGAAATCTACAGTAAAAAAAGCCAACTTTTGAAATTCAGAAACATCCAAGTTTTCTGTAGAACATTTCTGAGATTTATCTAAAAATTACCGCGTTTTCATGGGGAAAATTTATTCCTCTTGAAACTGTTGGTGTTTTCGGTTTATCCACCATTTTAAAGCACCACACCATGGATCAGCTGTAGTTGTCATGATCAGCCACTAGATGGCGCTTTGCTTTCAGAAAGTCAACGAAAGCGCATGCGCATGAGATCCTTCGCTTCCACCTCACTGGCTTCGATTAGCTTCTCAAAACAGTAACAGTAAAGTGCTCATGTAACGCAAATATTCATAATTAGGAATTGTAAATTGAACAACTTATAAACAGCACAACTCAGAACAATTGTATCCGCGATTGTTTTTGTGTTGCTATCCGCCGCGCATGCGAAGAATAAACCCGTGACAGAAACGTTTCTCTGAGACTTGTTACAGCAAAATAGCACCAAGAGTCCGGAAATTTTTCGATGGGTGGATCGGAACAAAATGTTACAGTTTAACCGAAGGAGATGGCATTGAATGGGCGAAAATTTTACCCGTTTATCCGCGGCTGCCATTTCGATGATATGAAGCTTAACGGAAGTTACCAACTCCTGCACTGTGAAGAGAGAAGGGCCCAGCAGAACAAAATGGCGGATATTTGGAAGCGGTGGTTGTTCACTTCCTCCGCTGCTGTTGACGTTCACAACTTCTCCTGTTTCCTGATTGGCCCGTTAGAAATTCTACGCACGAATCAAAGTAAGTGTAAGAAAATCCTTATTATTATTTATTTATTTTCTCCTTTTCTTTTTAGCTTGTTGTCCATTCTAACTCTTCAGAGCCAACTTACAATTTTGTAGAAAATTATTTTGCTTTTTCTCAATTATGAGTCAACCTTAAAATTTGAATTTCATCAAGTTGATTAGCGGCAATAGACAACTTGTCTAAGAATTGTTTCTTAAGTTTTCATAGCTCACTAATGTTGATCTGTCATATCTTATTAGTGTAATTTAAACCAAATAATTATTTCACAGTGTGCAAAAATACTGTCCTCAACCAAGTGCACATCTTTTATTGTCAAATTAAAATAACTACTTATTCTAAATTATAAGAAATACAACATTTTATGTTTTATAAAACATAATAAGTTACATTTTGACTTAAAGAGTAACTAAATATAGCTCAATTGTTTTATAGTGTATGACTTGCATAAATGTGTTTTTTAAAAATAGTGGATCATTGATTTATTTTTTTTACCCAAATATGATCTAAATATGAACAAGTTATTTTATTAAAACCATATAACCAGATTAAAACTGCCATAAAAACAGCATTGATTAGGTCACAGTCTTTGTTTATACATGAATCTCCATTTAATTTTAAGTTTTCATTTTCCTTCCACTTCCAGTTTACAGTAAGTAATGGTGTTTACGGGTTCAAACATCTTTTTTGTCATTTTTCTAGCAATGCACAAGAACATAGTGAATGACCTGATCCCTGGAGATAATGATTAAGGAGGGGCAGCTTATAAAAGGAGACAAGTTCTACTGAAACTGAAGAAAAAGAACATAATCTTAGGAATTTGGTTTTCATCTAAAAAGATGCATTCTTAGAAAAAAACCTAAGATGGGGCTCCTAAATGTACTTATTTACTTTTGAAAGATTTCAAACACAGTTAATAATAAAAAACAAAAATAACTATCAAACAACAATAGATCTAGAACTAATAAAGGGCCATCTCCACTTGCTTCCCTATGAATCACTAGAGAGAAAAATAGAAAGTCAACATGAAACCCTGCAGGAAACTTAAGCTGCCCTGTAAACGCTCAATTCTAAGCTCATTGAATTAGGACAAGCGATGTGAACACCCTGTTATTTCCTTGCATTGTCCTGAGAGGACACTGTTACAGGTCACACGTATTGAGCATCTTGTGACGCAACTTCCAGTAGATTTCTCAACTAATCTTCATCTTTTATGTTGGCAGTTTGATGCTTGTACCTAGCAACAACAACCCAGGAAGTGTAAAGGTAACCGCTGAAGTTTGCTGTACAACATACAGAGTTACATTTACTTGAGTAACTTCCTGGAAAAAATTTATTTACGACACTGTAGTTTTTACTTTTATTTGAATGATTTTATTATGAAGCATCATTTCTCTTATTTGCGTAAATGTCTGGGTTTTCTACTCATTTAAAGAAAAACAAACATGGTTTAATAAAAAATAAAGAAATCCACCAGACACAGACACAAACCTGCAGTTTTTGTTAAAGTTTCAAACGTTTTTATTGAAAGAAACTGATTTGGAAAAAGCGATTTTGCCTGATTTTATTATTTTTTGTAACTTATATGAACTCTTGTAATTTTGGTTTTAATTGTATATTTTGGTTCATCTGACGATATCATTTATACATTAATAATATTAATTATTAATATTAACTGATAATATTAATAATTTGATCAGTTTCTCAGTAGTTGAGTAGACTTTTTTTACCAAATACTTTTTTACTCTTACTTGGATAATTTTTACTTTTACTTGTTAGCAACCCAGAGCACCGCAGACCGTTCATTCAAAAAGAAACTCAAACAAATCCCAGAATCTGGTTGTGTTTGATGGTATTTTTAAAAATATTGTGTTGCCTTTTCTTTTCCCAACAGCAGATTTCTCATAAACTGTTTGGGAACCTGTGATGATGTTGCCTCTGTGGGACGATTATGGATTGAATTCAGAAATATTATGTTACATATTGTATTAACGCCATTCTTTTTCTCTTCATATGATTCACAAAGCGCTGATAACGTGGCAAATATCAGACATTGATACTTGTTTTTCATCAGATTGTTCACAATCTAAGTGTACTTTCTTTTTAAACAACTTTTAGATTAAATAAACTATAATTTATGCTTTCTTGACTATTTTTACATCATTTACATGTTATGTATTCTTTTACTTAATTATGTTACATTAGTTTGAGTAGCATTTTTATCAAATAAACTTTTATTCTTTCCTGAGTAAGTTCTTTCACGACTATGTTTTACTTTTTCTTGAGTGAAAATGTGTTGACATAGTGTTAGTATAATGTTTTGATACTCTTCCCCCCTCTGGTTGTTGGTCTGATTCCTTCACTTTGAAAAATAAACACAGGCTCAACGGCATTTTGAAAGTGTCTCCTAACTCTACAAAACAAGCCAAAACTTGAGAAGCCTTAAATCAAATGACAGATTCCTGACACCATTTTATAGATAAATGGCAATAAAAATTACTATTTATTATGGTTATTATCAGTCTCATTTATAATTTAACTTGACAGATCCAAATTGAGACTAAGGTTGTAACCTAAATCTGTTTTTTATTTTTACTTCTCTTTGCAGGCAAACCAAATCGCTCCTTGGCGACAAGAAATTTGATTTTAATCTGGGATTTATTATGAAAAATGGACTGCTCTTGTACGTGACATCCATAAATCCTCCTGGCTTCCCTACAATTACACAGAAGAGTTATAATTTCTTTGGTTGAGTTATTTTTCATGTGCTTTTATTATCTTTTTTGTGTATCTTTTATTAAACCAACCATTGTGGATGAAATGAGGGCATTCTTTTCAGGGTTCTGGGACGTTAGCCAACTGAAACTTGGGCTGTGAATGAAAGGTCATGGCAGCTCAGAGTGATCCTGCTATCTGGGTGTGTGTTAAAACACTCTCATAACATTTACAAAACATTGTAAAAAGAGTTTTATGATGATTATGTAGCTTTTTTTTTCAAAAGCATCGTGTTAATCTAGTTATAGATGCCTTTTTGCTTTACTACACTGCAAAAACAGAAAATATTATCAAGTGCTTCTGTTTTAGCTTTTAGTATAAATATCTTAATTCACCAAGAATAAGACAAAACTGACTTATCAATAACTTTTCATCAGCATATAGGAGCTTGTTTAAGTCAATAATTTCTTAACATTGATTTAAAAAAAGTACTGATATTGGGACATTATTTTACTTTTAACATGGAAAATGTCTTTTATAAGAAAAATAATCTGCCAGTAAATTTCATTTTTCTTCAATATTAAGAAATTATTTACTTAAAACAAGCTCTTATATGTCTTGCTGAAAAGTTACTGATAAGTGACTTTTGTCTTATTTTTGAGTGAACTAATATATTTACTCTAAAAACTCAACAAAAATTACTTAAGATTCTGTGTGTTTGTAGTGTATGTATGTTTTATTTTTGTTTCATTCTATAAATTTAATAGAAATTGTGTATTTAAATTACAAAACAGACAACAAGAGACATAATCGATGCTGATAATATGTTTAATAACTGAAACATGTTTCAGTTTTTCACATTTAAAACATATGAATTCATCCTAACAGTATGAAACAGCGCACTGAAAAATGATGTTAATAACTGGATGTTTTCATTTGAAGATGCAAAAATTTGTATCTGCTGCTTCAATGCAAGGAGGCTTTCTTCTTGGGCTGAGGCAACTAATAAAACGACAAATTTAAAAAAAATCTAAACATTTATTATTGAAAATATTTGAAGGAACTTGATTTATTTCAGTTTGATTTTTGCTGATTGATTTACTTGGCCATTATGTACAATATTGTTATATTGTCATGTCTGATGAAAGAGAAGAAGAAGAAATGATCCAGGAGAAAAGTGTGTTGAACTCCACCCAGTAACTTGAGTCTGCTGAGAAATAAACAAAATAAAATTTGCTCAAAAGTGAAAAAAATGTTTAGATTTTAGGTAATTTTTTGCAGAGAAAATAATACATATTTTCTTTATTTCTCGACAAAAGGTAGTCCATGTCATTTAAAAATAAGAAATAAAATAGATCTTCTGAATTAAGGAGGCTCAATTGTGCAATCAGAATCCAAAATAAAACACATAAAAAATGCATGTATATTTTTCAAGTTTACTTAACTATATTTTATTTTAAATCCTACCACTAATTTCCCAGTTTACTAGCAAAATAATATTTGAATTAATGTCAGGAAACACATTTACCTTAATCTTCAGCATATTTATTGATTTATCTAGAAATAACTACATCTTTCAAAAAGCTTTTTTTTTTAATTTTTGACAATTATTGTTGATACAGTTAGTGAAAATCCAAGATTCAGTTTTTTTATTTTATGCCACTGGGATATGAAATTCCCAAAGTGGAGAGCCACAGAATCCAAGTCTAGTCAGAAAACTGATTGTATTAAATCTGAATCTGGCAAAAGTAGTCACCCTTTATATGCTAGAAAAATACATTTTATAAAATGTCAAAATCACTCGAATCTGATAATTACATCCTTTGAATTAAATTTAATGTCTATTTTTCGCTAAATCTTTGTACAAGTTTGAAGTTTTCAGAACTCTGTAATTAGAAGTCAAGCGCGTTTGGCGCCACCTGCTGGCGGGAAAACACGAAGCAGCAACTTAGTTTGAGTTTATTTCCGGGGTGTCCGAACTTTCAAGTTAAAATCACTAAAAAACATATTTTAAAAATATGGGAAAAGAAACAAAATACAGATTTTTTTTCTAATTTCATTACTGACTTTACTTAAATAAGAAATTGTATTTTTTGGGGGGGGGGAATTGATGTAGATTGAAAATGTTAAAAAGGTTTGGAAGGTTTTCTCCATTATAATTGATATGTAGAAATAGAAGT